ATGTTTATTTCCAGTCCTAGTTTCAGACTAGGTTGGCTTTCTCCTGATTTCTCCCGTTCCGGAGAGGGAGAGAGAGTTTGTTTCCAGTCCTAGTTTCAGACTAGGTTGGCTTTCTCCTGATTTCTCCCGTTCCGGAGAGGGAGGAAGAGTTTGTTTCCAGTCCTAGTTTCGGACTAGGTTGGCTTTGGATTTCCATTGATTTCTCCCGTTCCGGAGAGGGAGAGCGAATTTATTTCCAGTCCTAGCTTCGGACTAGGTTGGATCTCTCCTGATTTCTCCGGTTCCGGAGACGGAGAGTGAGGCTATTTCCAGTCCTATTTTCGGACCGTGTTTGATTTCTCCTATTTTCTGAGGGAAGATTTTACTTTTGTCCTAGCCTCGGACTATGTTTGATTTCTCGCGCTTTATGTTTATATGTTCCGTTCTGGAGAGGGGACTTTATTTCTACTTCTAGGCCTAGCTTCGGACGAGGTGTGATTTCTCCTGATGTCTAGCGTTCTACGGAGGGGAAATCTTTTTTTGCAAGTCCTAGTTTTCTCGGACTATGTCGGGCGTTGGTTGTCTTCTCCTGTTTCTGGAGGGAGTGAGTGTGTTTCTATTTCTGGTCCTGGTTCCGGACTCTATGTTTGACGTCTCCTGTTTTCTTTGAGTCTGGGGCGATGGGTTTCGCCCCAAATCCGGGGGGGTTTGAAACACCCCCCAGATTCTTGCTTTTCGAGTTCTGAGGAGGGAGGCTCAGCCTTGTTGCTGATGATTTGCGAGTATACCCCTATCCCCTTTGTTCTTGAGATAGTTGGGAATCCATTTCCCCTCGGGGTCGATTTTGTTTGATTTCCGCGTCCGGCTGTGATTGAGGAATGAATCTGCGCCCGTTTTCGCATCATTCCCGCGTTTTCTCCTTCTACATCGGAGTATGCCCCTTGCGCCAGCGAGCGAGTTTCAGCCCTGCTGTCAGGCGGGCTACTTGGAGCAGGTTTGTCGCCACATGTCTCCCGTGCTCGCTGGTGAGGAAGTATCGGCCAAGTTTCTGCTGTTTCTTCGGTGTTTTTCCACTCTCCCCGCTCGGCGAGTAGGCTGTCTTGGATTTCCACTTGTGTTCCAGGCTCTCCCGTGTTCGGAGAAGGATTTTAGGGCCTAGCTTCAGGCTACTTTCTGCTCTGATTCCCGGCTTCCGCCGGTCTTGGTTTTATTGTGGGTTTCACTTTATTACCCATTTTTCGAGGTGTGTGTGTGCTGGCGAGCGCTTTTCTCGCGGTCTACTTGCAAGTTTTGTTCTCTGTTGTATTCGATGAGTGGCGTCTTTCTGACCTTGGTTATTTTCATTTCAACCTTGCTCGGCTTTGTGGCACTGGCGGTTTGAATCCGTTAAACCTAAAAGAGGGCAGGCGCGAGATGGAAAGGCTAGGGATGTGCCCGGCGCCTATGGCGCCGGGGCTTTGTTTTCGCGGATTCTTTTGCTTCCGGTTTCCGGGTTTTTGCCGTCCCTAGCTTCACGAGCCGGGTCAAGGGCTTGAAATGAAATGACCAAGGTCAGCGGTGGCGCCCGTTGCGCAGATTTTCCCCCGTCGGGGCGAGCGCTTTCCTTCGAGTTGCGAGTTGCCTTTGGAGGGAATGATCTTGCATTATGGGGCCTCGTGCTCCTATTTTGTTTGCCTGAGGTCTCAGGACATTAGCATTAAGTTATTTTCAGGTCCCTGCTACACAGGGGGCAAGAAGTGTTGCGTCTGTTGTGGGTCCGATTGCATCGCTACGCAGCGATATGCTATGCTATTCCGAGTCCTGTGCCCGCCTTTCTTCGGTCCAGGTGGCGAGGCCGTTCTTCTTGATGGTTTTCTCAAGTTTCCGGGCGACCTTTCGGTCTGTGTGTCAGAATTTTCCGTAGGGGTGTATAGGCCTCTGCGCCTTCCTTACACAGGGTTTGGTCTTTTTCTCTCTGATGATGCAGCATTCGCGTTGCATGGAACGCAAAATATATCTCCGGGAGCTAGTCGCAGCTGACGGCTACAATCTTTTAGAGGGTTCCGGAATCTCTTTCTGTGGATCTTGGTGCCTGTTGGGGTGAGTTTTGGGCGACTTGTCTTCGGAAAGGCTCCCACGCCGAAGTTTCTTTTTCCGTTGGGGACACAGGACTTGCACGGGCGTTACGGCCACCGCCACGAGGTCCGTTCTAGTGTTTTGGGAGGTTCGTTTCCGGATAGTAGGTTGGTATGCAGGTTCCCGAGCTGGGGGCGCGCTCACCCCCGTTGGCTCTTGTTCTTGGTACTCGCTGTTGCTCGATATTTTGGAAGCTATTCTCCAGCCGCAACCCGGCCGAGTTTCTTGGCTGAGTCCTCTATTATCCGTGTGCGAGCGGTCAAGCGCACTACGTGTCCGAAGTGTGGTAGCAACTTCCCGGGGTTAGTCCTCTCTGTTATTAGGCTGATTCTTGGCCAGCGCCTCTGCCACTAGCGTTTCTTCTAGTTCCGGCAGTTGAAAGGATATTGCTAAGGGCCAGTGCGATGGCGCTTGGGTTCGTCGTTTTGGAGCCTTGTTGGGATGCTGTGTGACAGTCTTTGGCCTCTCAGTCGGTGTCGTCGCGCGCGCCCTTGCGTGTGGGGCGGCTGTTCGGTGCCCAAATTCATCTGCAGCGGATGCTGCAGGGTTCTTTGGGCCGCGTTGTTGCGCTGCGTCTCCGCCGGTGGGGTAGGCTCTCCACATGTTAGGTCGCGGGCGCCTGCACCTCCTGATTCCCGGAGCGCACATCCAACGATGATCATCCATAGGATGATCTATCCGTCGGAGAAGATGTTGAGTAGATCATAAAATATGAAAAAAATCTTGTTCCTACAGGCGCTGGCACAGCAGGTGTAGCGAACCACGAAACGACCCGAGAACCTCCTGTTCGTCGAGACGAGAAGATGACCTGGTCCGTGGAGACCATAGCACCCGACGAGGACCACGTCGTGACAAGCAATACAGTGCAGCCAGCCCTTCTTGAGCAGGCCCCTGATCATGTGCAGGAGCAGCAGTCAGAAATAGAACGTGACGTCGCAAAAACGACGATAACATCACGGCAAGTAGACGAACAGAACAAGGAGACCCCTCTCGGCTCTGTTCTTCCAACAAGACCACAGGAATCAAAACTACCCGACGAGATGAAGCAATCGGCTCTAGTACCTCCGCAACAAAAAACCCTGACAAATGAAGACGCAGCCCCATCTTCTTCTTCGTGGTTTCCGTATTCCCTCTCTCTCAGCGGTTCCTGGTTTCAAAAGTGCAACCACCGAGCCGCTCCGGGTGCACCACTTGTGTTGGGGAACTACAAACACCTGCCGGAAGAAGAAACGACCAGAGCAGGGGCGCAGCAGCCTCCGAGCAGACCGCCGCGGCACGGCAGTAACGGGACGAACAGTAAACAGCATAATGGGGAACTACAACAAGCAAGGCAGTGTGCGGTTTATCATCTCGATGACAGCCTCTTCACCAACAGTCTAGAGGAAAGAGGTGTCTACAACCTGGACGAGGTACTGTTGCAACTCTCGTCCTCGTCCGTTAATCACTACGAATACCACCCCTACGGACAGCAAACTGGGCCGCGAACAAAAGACGCTGGTGAGACCAACATTTGTTCCAAGAACGGAAGTGCAGAAGCGCGTCGCGAGTTCGAGTTCGAAAATAATGGCTCGCCGGCGTCGAAAAACACTCCAATAGATATAGACCCCTACAAGAACAACTCCCCCTACTGCCTCCAGGTGTCGAGCAAAGAGAGTGGCGGAATTATCAAGAACACGGGCCATGCGGAAACCATGATCAGCAGCTTCGTATTCAAGAAGCAGCAGCACGTTCAACATCTTGACGCCGCTCTTCAACAACATCTGGAGGGTGGAAAAGTCGGAACCAACAAGACCAAGGCGCTGTCCACGTCAAATCTGTTCACCGTAATGCAGCGAGGACAAAGACAAACTGAAACTCCTCGTGCCGAGGAACACAGTGCCGAGATCAACGATAGCTCCTTGAAGATGACTTCCAGAATGGTTTCCTGCTTCTACAACGATAGCGGAACCTCCCCAATTTTGAACAATACTACGAACGCGCCTGCATCCTTGACGCCCCGGCGGCCGCCGCAATCTCAACAACCTGGTGGGCAGATGAACAGCACCGGTCAACAAGCCCCCGCCCGGAGCGGGCGAGGTGCGACACCAGCTGCACAGCAACATCCGCGAGCCCTGCGAAAGAAGCACATGATGGCGGAGCAAAAGAGGTTGGGCCTGGTGAAAGTCCAGCCGAAAACGTCGAAGTTCGAGCGAGACCTGCGCGCCGAAGCAGAAAGAACACAGATGTTCAAACCTTCGGGTTTGCAGTTTGGAAACGGGAGGCCGGGTGATTTTCTGTCGGAGGAAGAGAAGTCAGGTTTGGAAGAAGAGGAGGTGGGTACTTCTAGCGCTTCCTCCAGTTCCTCGTCCTCGGCTCTGTCGTTGCAGCAGCCAATCCACGAAGAGCGACTGATCACGGAGGAGAAGTTTTTCCTGGTGAAGATCGGGCAGGATCGCTTTTGCCGGATCGACTACGCGTTCGGCAATGTCACCCGCACGGTGGTCACCATCCGCACCGAAGCACAGGAAGTCATCACGCTGATCGACGACCCGGAAGCGAGACAGCGGCCGGCGGTTGCAGGTTCTTTGGTCGCCCATCAACCAGCTTCGGCGGCTGCCGCGCGAAGTCGTGGGGGGGCCACGATAAAAAACCGAATGACAGCACATAATGTTGGGAGCAGCAACAATGGAACGAGAGCGCGTGTTGGTGGACGGGGTACTGCGTCATCTTCATCGCCTCTGAACATGGATTTGAATCGTTTCACGCTGCTGGATACACACCACCTGCCCACCAGCTCCGCGGTCACCACAGCGCCGATCGGCCAGGAGAGCGCCATGGGCTACGGGTCGATGCAGCGCGACCGGCTGCTGCGCGTCAGGAGCGGCATCGCGGGGAGCGGCATGAATGCAGCGGCGACCACGAGGACGCCTTCAAAGATCAGTGAAATTGTCGGTGGGGAAGATCAGGACACCGTGGTTGCGCAAACAGCACGAGATGTTGACCTGTTGCCACCGCAGTTTGATAGGACAAGTCGGGCGGCTTCATCAGGCAGGGGCAAGAACAGTGCGAATTCCTGTACTTTCCTCTACCTGGACCTGCACAAGCAGCACCAGTCGCACCACCAGCACCGACACCACCACCACGCACACCATGTGGAAGACGTGCATGTGACGATCGGCGCGGAACTGCCGTGGGCCACAGGTGGCACCAGAACTGATGGCACTGTTGCTCCCTTTAATATTGTGGGTGCCCCAACAAGCCCACTTTTCTCCCCCTCGTCCCGTGGTCCCCTTCCTCCCGACCAGCAAGGCCAGCAGGCCCGGCCGCGTAACCTCGTGCAGCTGCACGCGCGTCGACCGGACTACCGCGAATTGTGGGAAAACGCGGAGTGCGAGCGGTTTCTAGTGGAGTCCGACCTGCTGGAACCAGCGGACCAGCAGCGGCTCTTGCCCGAAAAGGGGGAGGCGGTCAGTTTGTACTGCGGCAACTTTGACCCGGGGAGCGCGGCCCTGCAGAACCCGCACTACTACCACCCCTGCGACGACGAGCACGTCGGGCGCATGCTGGTGCCGAAATCCGTCCCCCGCGACCACATCTCGCTGTGGAACCATCCACGGAAGGTGTCGGCGGTGGTGGTCCGCGGAACAGCAGGGAAGAAGCTTGCTTCGGACATCAACGGAACAAGCGTCGCCGCTGATGTTGATCCCTTCCAGCCCGAGCCGATTCTGCCGCCGAAGCCGGGGCGGGACCTGCGCGTGCTGGTGATGAGGGACGAAGAGGCGAGGAATGAGTTTAAGTGGGAGGAGGGCACACCGGCAAAGTTCGGGAAGTTTCGCACCAACGCCGCCGCGTCAAAGTACTTGGTGCAAACTCGCCGGGGACAGGAGGGGGAACAGGAAGCGCAGCAGGTCTTTGCATTAGACGACGAAGACTATAGTGCAGCGCCAGCGGTTCTTTCTGGATTGATGTACAACACCTCCGCCGGCAAGATGAACCTCTATGGAAGCGGAGCTCCAAACAGTCCCGCTGGCACCCAGCGCACGCTGTCACCGGAAGGCCGGGCGAGTAGCCGGGCGCAGAGTCCCACCGGTTCTCCTCGTCGCTGGGGGACGACGAGTGGCGGGACAGACAACGCCGGTTACGAAATGCTCCAACGCAAGCAAAGCACCGAATACATCCGCGCTGCCCCGGCGGTGGACGGACTGGATGGGATCGATGCTGAAGCAGGAGAGATGTTGACCTACGGTCGGGAAGATAATTCCTCTGCCTTTTTCTACATGAACGACGCGCGATTAGGTGCTTCTACTGACGCCGCCAGTGAACAACAGAGCGAAACCAGAAGCAGAAACCAAGGGAAAATAAACAAGGAACAGGAACCGTCTAGCCAGGAAAACAACAGCAAGAACGGCACGCGCGTGGCCGCGGGGCATCCCTTGCACCAGGGCGCCGCGTCCGCGATGCACGTGGATTCCGTTTCCCGGCTGCTGAATGGCGGCAGTGTCAAAGCGCACCGTCATTCGGAGCGGGACGACCAGAAGCACCAGCACCACCACCACAGACACCACTTGGGCAAGAAACGGGAGGACGCAGAGGACTCGTTGTCGTCGAGTAGCACGAGCTTTGAGTCCTCCGAGATCCAATCCCTCGTTCATCACGACGACGAGGGCAAGGAGGTGCCCGGGACCACGAAAGCAAAAAACGCGAACGCGAAAAATGCTACTACTCGAAAAAGTGCGCTGAAACAGCAGACCACAGGTGACGCCCTCGATCCACCAGCGAATGTTAAAGAGCAGAAGAAAGTTGTCAAAGTGTCCGATGTCCTCGCGCGCCACGACGCCATGATGGACCGTATCGAGGAGGCGGCGCGACTGCGCAAGCAGGGAGAACTGTCGCACGATGCGGAGCGGGCAAAACACGTCGCCGACGCGGGCAAGCACGTGTTGAAGATGGTGGTCGGCGCGTCTTCTCCGCCCGCCCGCCCGGGAGAAGTTGTAACTGCTACAACAGAGAATAAGAATATCATCACGGAACAAAACGTTGACGCAAGAATCGAGCCCGACCACGATTTCGACCTGTACAGTGACCGCGGGCATTCGGACGAGGATTTACGGGACCCGCATGCCCACCTGTTCGCGGGCGGGGACCACGACTTCCCGCACGTGGCCATGAAGCCGTTGCAGATCAGGGGGCACCTGCCGGAGGACAACGTGGCCCCGCAAACCCCGCCGCACCCGGGCTTAGATCCGCCCCGGATCGAGATCGAGCCGCTGGTGGATCCGGTACGGCGGATTCTGCTCGCCGAGAAACCCCAGCTGGACAACATGTGCGGTCCGCCGAAATCGGCGTTGGAAAGCTTCCTGGAGACCGGGGAGCGGCTGAGCCGCAGCAGCGCCGTGGACCAAACCCTGGTGGACTTGACGCAGTTCTTGGAGGAGATCAAGGCGGAGGACAAGTACGCGATGACCCTGCTGAGCCCACCGACCAGGTCGCGGTCTCCCTCTCCACGCGCCGGTGGTGCAGGATGGAATGGTTCGAAAGATTATACGCAAGCGACTACGTCGACATTCGCAAGTCATGCCAAAAGAAGTGCCAGTACACCAAAACCCGGATTGTCCGCGGTGATGCAGGGGGAGCAGGAGCCGACGATTCACATCATCATCGATGCGTGCGGCAGCTTCTCGGGGCAGACGGGGAAGGACGTCTACAGCTTGCGGAGTGCCAGCAACGCGAGCAACAATAGAACTACATCGGGAAATAAAAATAATAACAAGGTGAAAAGCGATCAACTACTGCTTTCTGCGTCAGCGCGGTCCCGCAGTCTGTCCAGCGAGAAAAGCTTGACGCACCGCACCACCGCGGGCGTGTACCTGACCACCGCGACCACGGACAGAGGTGTCCTTCGGGATAGAAGTGGGACGCAGGTAATGTTGCAAGAGGTGATGGCGGTGAATGGGGAACACTTGGGGCACTTAACCTGGGAGCAGCTCCGGGACAGCGACGCGGCACGGGAGCTGATCGCGGAAAATGTGAAGTGTGACAAACTGGACAAAAAAGCCCGCCGGAAGTCCGCGAGGCGGCGGAGTTTGGAAGGAGGAGCGTGTCGTGGGACTACTTCGCCGAGAACAAATTATAACGTAGACAACAGCATGCTGTCATCCACCGCGAGCAATTATTATCCCTATGATACTGCAAATGCTATGGCTAATGTCTCCGACGGTCTCGACGTTCTTCCGGAGTACCAGGGCGAGCCTTTCATTCCGTTCGAGCAGGACGAGGAAGACAAAGCGCTCCGGCTTGTGGGCCCGGTCGGGGTAGTGCCGAAACTGAATCTTTTGGAGGGCGCCGAGGTGGACGAGAAAACATCAAAGACGAAGCGACCCAAGAAGCGCGAGCCAGCGGGGTTTCAACTGGTAGAAGAGACTGCAGAGATGACCGACGGCAAGCAGAACAACCTGGCACTAGACACGCAGCAAGGTCGTGGAACCATTGCTACGCCGCCGACCTCAACCCGCGTACCGGGCCTGACGACCCCTCGGCTGACCCACCCGGCTTCGAAGTTGGAAAACAAAACGTTCACGAGCGGGGAAATTTCGCAGACCACACCGGCGGCGGGCCAAAGCGGCATTTTTCACCAGGCACACCTGCAGCAGCACCACACCCACAGCCTGGTCGCGCCGCACGCACTCGCACTGCAGCTGCCGCACGCGAAGGCGCCGAGCCGTACCGTGCAGAGCCACTTGGCCCGATCGAGGTTGACGGGCGGGGGTGGGGCGTTCATGACTACAAGACCGAGCAATAGAGCCGCTTCGACTGTTGTTCATCCCGCTGCATCAGCAATATCCGCCGCGACTGCGATGAATTACCCTGCTGTGAGTGCAACAGCACCCCTCTCCCCGCAGTCCGGCGTTCTGACGCCATCGAACCACCCCCCGTCGCTGTACCCGAGAAACGACGCGCCGATTTTGATGCACCAGACGGGTGAACAAGCAGGCGCCTCGCCGTTTTTTGTGAATCAAACGCCGCTGGTGCCCATGGCGGCGAAGCAAGCGCTGCGGGGAAGTCTGGCGGGCGTGAACACGGCACGACGGGGGAGTCGAATTTCGACTGGCGGAGGAACTCCTGCCGCGTTCTTCGGTTCTGTGCGTGACATGTTTAGTTCCATGTTCTCCTTCACATCGACGTCACAGCAGCACCAAAGCCAAAGCTTGTGGTCACCACAAGAACATCTTCTCGGTGCTGGAGCTGGTGCAATGCAACTACCTCTACAATATCAGCCGGACGGAGCAGTTTTTGTTCCGCTGAAGACCAATCCGGACGCACTGGCGGGGGAGATGACGCGGATTTTTGAACAGCAGCGGCAGCATGGGAACGACCTGTCGGCGAGGCTGACGCAAGCCGGCACACGCGCGGCGACCGCGAGTCTGCCCGCCAGTCCACGGGTGCGATTGGACGACATCGCGGGAGCGGTTTTCGGGAAGGGTAATAATGTAGTGGAGGAAGAAGGCGACGACGAAAGTAGAGAACGGGAAACCAGGGAGCAGAATGGCGCTTCCCAGTCTTCTTCTGAACAGTGCTCGTCCTCCAGCAGCTCCTCCGCATCAACCTGGCAAGAAGATACAGCAAGGGAAGATGAGGGTAAGAACAGGAAGAGAAACAAGAAAGCAAAGAGACCAGTAAAAACCGCCGGTCGTGGAGGTGCTAAAATCCAGGTTCCGCTACAAGCCGGAGCCTTCTCTAGTTCCGCTTCCACTCAAAGACGAGCCTCGCCTTTCGTGCTGGCGGCGAAAAAAGGTAAAGGAGCTGCAGCAGCTTCGCAGAAAGAGAAAGAGAAAGTAAACACTAGGGCAGACGAGTGGGAAAACTTGCACGCGGCAAACCACACCAAGAGCTTGCACGAAAAAAACTTCGTGCCGAAAATGTTTAAAGCAAGGCCTTCGCCGGAGGAACATGCAAAAACGGTATTTGAAAGGAAGCTAGAGAAGGGCCTACTGGAGCTGGAAGAGAAAATGAGCCGAGCGCAGACGCTCTTAGGGAGGAAATAGTTCTAGTAGTTTGTCGATGAAACTGTACGGACTATATACCCACTGGCTTTTTCGAGAAGTTCGGAATTTTCATCAAAAGCTGTTTCCTCGCCCAAAAAGGTTAGATTTCTCGTACACCGACATATATTTCAACATTTTGGTACTAGAGATAATGCCCGCTGTGTATGATCTACTTAAGCATGTTGATGCTCGAGGAAATTTGCCGTTTCAAAATCAAACTTGTGCGTTTTTGCAGCCATTTGATCATGGCTTTTCTTGGAGTTGGAAAATGAAGTTTCAAAAGAAACAGCCCCTCTTGGAGGTTCGAAAAGCATTGGGTGCAGGAGGTGCACCAGATGTTCATCTCGTTGGATACTTTAGTGGAATCGGGTGAGTGTCGTAGCCATTTTGGTCTCCATGACCTTCCTTTCCGAAGATCAAGACGGCTTCTCCTACGGGACCAGTCCCTGTTTTCAGAAAATATCATTCTCCATTGTGAAGTCAACTTTTTTGTGACGATCGAAAAGCAAAAGAAACATCGCGATCGCTTCTTGTTTTTCGCAACATGACGTGTGCGGCCTGGAAGTCGCAACCTTACATAACGAAGTCATTTTTTCATTTCCTCGTTCTTCCAAGTTGAGAGAATGCAGCACGTGCGACCTTTATCCCGTTTTTCGTGCCATCCGCGGCCACGGGCGGCGAAGTTGCTTTCGCGAGATCAACATTACAGGTCTGCTGGTTCTCGCACCCGGTTCTTGTACGACGACCTCACACCTGGTGGACGTGCGGAACAAAGGTCCTTCGCGACTGCCAGCGCTAGTAGTACGAGCGCCGTTGAGCCCAGCTTTCTAGACCGCCATGCCGAAATGCAGCACGCCAACCGTTCCATGCTCCGTCCCTATCAGCACCTGCGACTACATAGTGGCGACAGCTTTGGGGCGGTTGGTCCAGCAGGTGTAGCGACAAGCTCTGCGGGTGCAGCAGCTGCAACAAGTGTTTCTTTACAAAACAACCCCTGGTTGCCGTCGTCCGAGACAATGCCAAAATCCGTACCGCTCGCAATGCCCAAGTTGGTCGTCGAGCCTTCGAGGTCGACAAAGATAAACGCAACTTCTACGCCTTCACCGGCCGATTGGCTCCGGGAGATGCGCAGTATTCTGGATTCGAGGCTGCACGTGACGGGGGCGATTTTGTTCCGTAACGTGCTCTCCGACAAGTTCGGTTTTCACGACGTCACCAGCCAGCTTGGCTATCCGCCGATCAACAGCTACGCCGGCGGGGCCGCGCTGCGGGAGGAGGTGGGAGCCGATGGAACAAAGGCGGAGACTGATGATGAAACAGCTCCCGCCTCCAAGGGACCTCAACATCAAGCCGTGTCAGCGCCGGCAGCCGCTGCGGTTTTCACTGCCTCTGACGAGCTGCCAGTTGTGATATTGGAGCCACACCAAGAGGCGAGCTACATGCCGAGCTACCCGCAGAAATTTTTTCTCTATTGTTCCGTCCCCGCTGTGGAAGGCGGGGAGAGCTGCGTCACGGACATGCGCGCGGTCACGGCGGATCTCCTGGCAGAGAAGCCTGAGCTGATGGAAAAATTGAAGCGAAAGAAGGTCCGCTACATTTTCCGCATGGGCGCGGATAGTGCGGCCTATTACAACTGGCCCAAGCAGCTGGGAAACGGAACGGCGGACAAAGAAGCCGTGGAAAAAATGCTACACGAAAGGTACGTATCAAATGCAAAAATGTCTGGGTCTGGAAGAATGCAAGATTTGTCATGCATATTTCTCATGACCCATAATGCCTGGAATGCGTGACCTAGCATCGTAGACTTTTAGAAAGCTTCCCGATACACCTTCCGCATGAGAAATGCCCTGTCCGTGTAGCACAAACTGCACCCCTCTTGCTGGTCATGCAATACAAATTTTCTTAGAGTCCGAAAACAGCATGACAAGTTGCAATCTTCCAGACCCAGACATTTTTGCAGTTGATAGTACGTCAATCGCGACTTGCGGACGAACTGGTCCGACAACGCTACGGGGCGAGGTTTAGTAAAAGAATTATTGTCCTCGTCTTCTTCGGATAACTCTACTAGTAGAGGTAAATCCCTGCCGCTGCCGGAGCTGGAATTCTCCTACACAAACGAAGCTTTTGTTGAGCACCCCACGACGGGCGAGATACTTTTCTTCAACCAGGCTGCGGTCTGTCACAGCAGCTACTTCAGCTACCACCCCGATTGGAAACCGGTCACCAAGTCCGCGACGGTACCCGGAGGTAAAAATCACGAGGACAAGACGAGAGACCACGATGTTCCCCGTTGGATCCGCATTTCGGAAAACAACACAGCACAATACGCCCCGTTCGACACGTGTTTCGGTGACGGGGAGCCGTTTAGTGAAGATGACGTCAGTTCCATCCGGCGAACCGTCTGGAAGCACACGATCGCGCTAAAGGCAGAAAAGCACGACTTGTTGGTGTTGGACAATTTGCTGGCCGCACACGGCAGGTTTGGCTGGGACGGCGACAAATTCGAGCGGAAGCTGCAGGTTAGCTTGATGGAACCGGGGATGTGGGGGCGCAGCGAAAACAATAGTGCGACCACAGAAGTCGAAGAGGGAGCAGGAGAACCTTTCAAAGAAGTTGCGCCAAATAAACTAACAGCCGAAGCAGCTAGCACCCAGGAAATCAATCTTCCGAGCTCGTCTACTTCCCCCTTCGGCATCTTTCCCGCGCCGGCGAACGCGGACTCGCCGGCATTACTGCCCTCCCTGCTTCATCAACTACCGGACTTCAACGGGCTGCTAGTTTTCCGGAATGCTGGGTCGGTGTTCGCGAAAAACCTGCAGGAAGCGATTTTAGCAGCTGCTGCTGATGATGAAAATGGTACAAGGGGATCTTCTGCTAGCGACCCGCCCTCGTCAGTTCTTCTTGCAAAGGAGTTGTTCGGTCTCGACCGGGCAAGCACCACGAAGTGCATCTTCATTGAGGACGTGGACAACTGCAAATCTGCGTCTGCGCCCTTCGAACTTGTCGCCAAGCCAACATCTTCTACTTCTACTGCAAGCTGCCCTGACAGCACGACAAGTGATGTTCTTTTTGAGGACGCCGCGAAGAAAACAACGCCACCTTCCCTCGTGCTGCACCCGCTGCATGGGCGCATGAGTGTCACGAGCGCTGCCTTGGCTGACGCCACCGGACTGGTCCTGAAACCGAAAAATGCACCAGCCACGACAATGTTAAAACAAGGCAGTAGTTTTTCTGCAGATAATGCTAAGATCAAACTGCAGCCCAACGACGTGATTCTGGTTGACCGTTTGCTCGCCGACATCGAGGAACTACCCGGCGCGGCGATCGTCGTGGGAGGGGGTAGCAGCAGCACGGCACCAGCGCGCCACCAGGGTAGTGACATATCAAATGCAAATAGTTCTGGCTCTGCATGACAAACTTTGTCTGGGAAGTCTGTCTGACAGACTTGAGAGCCATGCTGGCCGAGCATGAGAAGCTTTGCATTCTTCCAGACCTCCCAGACATATTTGCTTTTGCAATGCATAGAATGCATATGACAGCGCATCAAGAACTACTATGACGGCACCTGTACAACTATCCTGGTCCGAATCCCGGGCAGATCTCTGGTCCAGCGCGGAGAAGTTTACGACCCACGTTACCGAGCACTTTCACCCGAAAAACCCCTTCAACTACGTGCAGCCCTTCAGTCTGCTGTCCTCCCTCGAGAAGGATATCGAGCTGAAGCGTGACATGGCCCGGGCGCACCGGTTGTTGAACCACTTCGAGCTCGACGAGCTGGTCTGGAACCACGTGTCCGGGCGGTCGTTTGCGCGGAAAAACCGTTTTTTCATCAGTAACGGGGACAAGACCTTCGAGCAAATGTGCGAACAGGACATGGTCCTGGAGTCGAACGGCAGCAACCAAACCGGGCAGGTGATCCACGGCGCGGTCTACATGGCGCGGCCGGACGTGAACGCGATCGTGCACGCGCACAGCCCCGCCGTGGTGGCCTGCTGTTGCCTGAAGAACGGGCTGGAGATCCTCGATCAGCGGGGCGGGGGGCACTTGCACCGGATCGTGTACTATGACTGGAATGGGATCTCCGACAGTCTGGAAAAGGAGTGCCGCCTGTTCATGGAATGCGTCGCGTTCGAAAAAGTGAATACAATCATGCTGAAGCACCACGGAGCGCTGGTGCTCGGCGGCACGTATCCTGTGCAAAAGTATCGCACTCGTAGTAATTGCATTCATGCATTACACTCAAGGCAAAGAAATCAGCATTACAAATTTAATTTGTAATGCTGGGCTAATTTGTAATGCAATTTATACTAGTGCGATGCTTTTGCATTGCATAGCACGGTGCGGGAGGCCTTCGTGAACTACTTCTACTTGGAGCGACTGTGCGAAAACTGGCTCAAGGTGAACGCCAGCAACCTGGAAATCGAGCGGCCGAAAGCCGAAGTGGCGCAGGAGAGCGCGGCGTTTTTCGATTTGCCGCAGTACAAGGCGGGGAACAAGGAGTGGGCGCCCCTTGCGGCGATGGTGCATCGGAACTTGGGTGGAATACAGTTTTGATTGATAAAAAGAACGAACAAATCTACGGTGGCACAAACTGACACTTCGCTTCTGTTTCGACCACCACTTACTGGGTTAGCTCGAAAGAGGCGCTGTTAGTTCACTTTATTTCTGAAAAACTAGATAAAAACACGAACAACCCAAACTCGTTTTTGTTTTTGGCGCAACAAGAAAAAATTACAGCATTTTGACTTTTTTTTACCGCGTTGGAAAATTAACGCAGGAGATGCACGCAACATCAGATGAATGCCAAGAAAAAATCCACGCGTGCCCTCGATCGTCCGTGTCCAGCAACATGAAGAAATCTTCAACTTGTTTAGGTAGTGATCTTATCAAGAGATTGATACTATGAACGAACAACACTAAACATTTTGAATCGATTCTGTGTTGTGACCGGAGCGATTTGTGTTTGATTGGTTCCTGCATTCTGCTTTTGACCGGATCGCTCTCGGGGGTAAGTAAGCCTCAGTTTTGCTTTTGACGCAGTATACTTTTGGAAATTTTTACCGAAAAATGTCTGTAGCGTCCGGTCAGAGGGAGGGCTCCCTACCTTGCTAGTAGAGTGGCTGCTTAAGTACACAAATAAAAAAATCAAGCTGTGCCCGGCTGGCTTCATTTTTCCATCCGGTAGTTCTGGTCGCTTCCTCGGATGGTCGAGATTATTTCCGTCTCGTGGTTCCTTGGCCTTGCAGCGAGCATGGATGAACCTTGTTTGCTTACGTGTTCGGCATTGTCACAGGAAATTTGCAGCGAAGGCAAAGACAAACAGGTCAGGAGAGTTGCGCTGTTTTTCCGTGACCGTGTAGTTGAGTAAGTACAAAAGTTGTACTTGGAGAGATGCTCATTTATTGAGCGAAAGCAGGAGACGAGACGCTGAAACATCAAGCAGTGCGGGTCGGTACTTATTTTATTTTACGAACACCTCAATCAATCCTGCGACATAGATAGCAGTCTCGGCCATGGTGTGAGAGCTGTGATAAGCCACACATCAAAGAATGACGCCCGGTGTCGACGTGTGGCTTCTGGCAGCTAAGAGCAGGCGTGCCGGCGACACTATCGGGCCCGCGTGCATGTCCGGCCCCTCGCCAGCGCCGGGTGTTGTTCAAAACGAGGTGTAGTCGTGAGGCTTCGGCCAGCAGTTTATTTTGCACTATCTGCGCCGCTTGCCCAAGTAACGCGGCGTGGACATCACCAGCAATCATGGTGCGTCTCGGAACTAGAATTCTGTTGGCGCCGGTGCTGCTCGGTTGTACTATCAGCAACTATTCTTCCCCGTTCTACGTCCACCTCGTGCAGGCTGAAGAGCTGTCCTCCTGCGATTGCAGCTGTTGCACCGTGGAGAAGCGGGATGAGGTCCCCGCAGAGCAAATTCTGGACGGAAATCTGAACACCGTGGAGATTGAGTGCGACGTCCGGGTGGTGGTGCCGGAGGACCTAGCGCACCTCCACTTCCTCGCGAAATCGCAGCTCCAAGCATGCCAGGCGAAACGATGTCTGCAGCCCGCGGCCGACATGATTCTCGAGGGCGCATCCAGCGATGGCGAACTCGACCAAGAGCGGTATCCATCTATTGGTTCTATGTATCTTCAGTTTGCTACGAGGTAGGACTTGCTTTGTCATCAATGAATAGCGCTCGCGGCATTTCGTGGCAATGTAGCACCTGAAGAAATCCAAAACCAGAAACAAGATTTAGCAATCATCTCTGTCTCCGTCTACGTGTTACAGGTTCTGCCGCGCCGAGTGCGCCCCCACAGCCGCACACAAGGGAGCGGATTGCTCACGGAAGCCGAACCGCCCGGATAGCGCGGGAGAGCGGGCGTTTGTCCATTTCGCGAAAGTTGTAGCTCCAGTAGTTGTGGGGGCGATACCGAACAACGCGGACATGTCCCTCGTGGAGGCCGGGCGCAGGGAGTTAGGAACGAGTGCTGCGCACCAGAGTCGGGCTGGGAATGAATACAAGAGCGAATTCAGTATAGGAATCAAGACGAAAATAATGACAGTACACACAGACGTGTAAATTGAAAAGAATCAATCTGTAGCAGAAGATCATGAAGATAAAGCCACTTACTTAAGTAGAATGAGGTCAGGCCGAATTTTGACTCTACTTACACGGGGGACACGTTCTATCCCTCCGCCTCATCCCCCCAAGTCAGTAAAAAATCTAAATCACCACAGCAAAAGCTCTGGAGAAGCTCCTGGTGAAAGGGAAGGCCGTGGCGCAGGACGGAGAGCAGCTCGCGAAAGAGGCAAGTGCCGCGGCGAAGACCGCCAAAGACGGCGCCGTTTTCGCGAAGGCCGCCGTGAAGAAGAACACGAACGCCGCGGAGACGAAACTCCCCGAAATCGCACTGGAAGCGGAGGAGAGCCAGCTGGGGTCCTCGAACATCTTGCAAAAGTTGTCGGAGTTGGAACAATATCCACTGCAAAAGCATCGTACTAGTATGAATTGCGTTTACAAATTGTAATTGAGTCAGCATAGAATTTGAATTTCTTGTAATGCGGGTCTACAGAAACAATTACGAACTAGGTCTGTAATGCATATCTGCAATTTTTGTTGTTGTTCATACGAATGAGTGCGATGGTTTTTCAGTGGATAAAGAAAACGTTGAATCCGCGGCGAGTGAAGCGGCGGAGGACCATATCGAACGGAAAAATCCCCCCTCCCCATGTCAAAACGAAGTTTCTGATGCTGGATTTGCGTACACAAATCAGACGCGTCTTGCAGTACAGGACGCAGGCATGTGCCAAGTCTGAGGAGACTGGTTCGACGTAGCAGGCGCCTAGCGTGGGAAAGGTCTACCGCTTGAGGCCCAGCAGCATCACGAACCGCCTGCATGAAAATGCAGCGGAGCTGCCTGTGGAGTTGCCTTCTTGCAAGACAGGGAGACGATTTGTGGCCACAGATCAGCAGCTCTTTCGATATGTGGCAAATTTTCTGTGGCGTGCTCTTTCGATACGGGGATGGGGGGATTTTCGCTTACGATAAAGCAAGTGGCGGACACGGTGAAGGGGGTCGAGGAGACTGCGCTTGCCGCCACGAAGGACGCAGCCTTGAAAGAGGCGGAGAAGAGAAAAGAAGAGATGGTGGCGAAGGCGCCCGCGGCCGGCGCCGAGGCAGAGAAGCCGTACGTCGAGGCCCAGCAGAGGGCAGCGGACAGGGCCGCTGAGTACCAGAAACGGGGGGACGAATTTGCGCAGCTGAGCAATCAGTGGCAGATGGAATCATGTAAAGTACGTGTCTGATTCACTTGCAGAAGTCTTCGCGAAAATCGAGGTAGAGGTTTGTGATGGCAAAATTTGTCCTGCAATAGCAATACATAGCAATAGCAATACTGCTTGGGCCAAGTAACCCAATAAAGCCTGTATCTGTAAAAACTGTATAGTACGTGAAAGCTTCTCTACAGCCCTCGCCGTGAACAACGCGAACCAGCTGGAGCTGCTCGGAAAAAAGTACGAAGCGGACCGCGCGATGGCGAAGGCCAGGTTCCTCATGGACCAAGCTTCGGGACTGACCAACACGGCACAAAACCTGTACAACACGGCGGAACAGATCACGGAATCCCTCCCCGCCTACGGAGCACAGGCCTCCGCGGCGAACTACCATGCACAGTTTCTCTTGAATCCGGACGTGCCCGCCCCCAGGCCGCCGATCGTGTGAGGAATATACGAGAGTTGTTAGTTGTCTTGCGCTTGTTAGTACTCGTCCATCTATCAGTTGCAGCTCGAGTCAGTCGTTTTCCTTTTTTTCCTTGCCAGTTGCTTTCCCGATCGATTTGGGTATCTTTCAAGAACCAGACAGAGTATAGATACCATGCGAAGCACATTGAAAATGACTGCGGAAGAAGAATAACTTTTTGTCGACCGGAGGAAAAGTAGTTTTACTTTTTTTTTCGCCATTGCGGAAAATGACCATCTTACTTTTCGACTTCCTCGCCTTCGTTGACGGCAGTGTCTAAAGTCCTGTTCCCGGCACTGCAACTCTGGAACCGTTTGAGCCAGCGGATTGCGATCTTTACTTTTTTTCTCAGATTGAGCAAGCACGATGGATCTCGTCAAAAAAAAGATCACCTTGCTCAATCGCATCGCACGAGATAAGTGTCCATGAAGAATGGCGAGCAGTTGTTCCATGAAGGAGTGACAGGAGCAAACATTGCAGTATTAGGGACGTTCTGCCGCATGGAAAAGTCAGCTCCAAGTGACAGTCTACTACGGGCCGCGAGACGGCAGCCGCGTAGTCCTGCTCCAAAAAATGCCTTTACGGGTCTACCTCGTAACTCAAGTTTGGCCGGATTATGCCGGCTTCTGATTTTCGCCTCGCCGTGTCCGCTGTTGGTTCGCAGCGTTGCTCTGCGATCGACTGCTTTCCGGCCAACAACAGCAGGGAATAAAACCTCTGTGAGTGGTACGAACGCCAACAAGCCTGAGGACGGTCTATCCGATGAGCTTCGGGCTGTGCTGAGCCGGCAGCGCGCTAGGATTGATGCGAGGTCCAAAGCTGGCACGGTTCTTGCCATCGGGGATCGAAGTACAACTACGGCAGGACCAGCGGAGGGCCCATCTAGAAACGCGCCGGCAGCTGTTGATGTGGACGAGAGGACAAGTACGAAGCCTGTAATAGAAGGTGTAGCTGCTCCAGACTCATTTACTGCTACCGAAACCGCCAAGGGGACTACAACATCTAACCAACACCCCGGCGTGAGCAGCTCAGAGCTGTCTTGTTGCTCGGAACCAGACGCGGAGCCTGAATTCAGCAGCCCGAAACGAGAAAAAGAAGAGTCGTCTGATGCAACTTCAACAGCAGCGTTCGTGAAAATCGGTGAAATAGATAAACCTAGTTGGAACACGGAAAGAAGTCGAACTGCACTGCACGAAGCGAACACAGCTTCTTCAACACGAGGGCTCCTCTTTGCACGACCGGCTAGCACTTCTAACGCGAAAACCAGTGTCGTGACCAGCACGAAGGATGCTAGGGCTTCTATGGCCGTGGATGCAGGAGAAACCAGTGCAACGGCAGCCGAGGAAGCACGCCAGGAACTTGCTCGGCGCCGTGCTGCGCTCGAAAAGTGTGTAAAAAGTGGAGCGCTCACCGCCGCCATGGCGGAAAAATGTTTGCAGAAATTTTCTGAAAAAATGCAATAGTTAAACTCTTTGTCTTTCTAGGTTGCCACGACCGGTCGTGGTGCCAGTGTACTATGCTATACCGAGAATGATAGAGTGGCAGCACATTCTTGGCCGGTCTCGAGGCTCGATCAGGGGGTTTCGATCAGGGGCGACAGTCGTACTGCAGACGAGAAAGACACTCCTATTTCACGAACTTCATTTTAGTCCCATGGAAGAGGAAATCGAAATGTAAGAAAGAGACATGAGAGATCACCACAGAAAAATAGGAAGGCTCATGCTTAGATGAAGATGATCCGCGACACATTGACTCTGCCTACCAGTTCTGAGTAGTTGTACTACGAGTGTGGTCATTCTGGTCCTTGTGTAACGTGGATCGTCGTACTAGCGAAGGAAACGATCCAATCTGTAAAAATCCAAAAAGAGGTGATCAAAAAAAAATAAGGAAAAGTGGGATCATTCGACGAGGAGAACGAGATCAAGTTCCACATACGAATTGGAAGTTTCCTTTTCAAAAGAGATGCATTGAAATTCAAAAACAAGTCACAGGCGAAGATGAAGTAGAATTGTGATGGCTGTTTTGGTTTTCTGAAGTTGAACCTTGACGAACAGAAGCTATAATTTCTCCCCCAATTGTTCTTTGTACAATTTCAATTTGTCGTTGACGACGACTAGCAGAGCTACTGTCCCTGTATAATTTATAATCCGACGTTCTTTTATTTCCCGCTTCCTTGCCTCTGCACGATTTTGATCCCACGGCGACACACGAAGCAAGTGAACGGCGTAAAGATGGCCACCGTAGTACCGAGATCATTGCGATCCTACCCGCGCGACCTGCGCGTAGTTTTCCCCGCGGGTTTTTTCACTGTGATTTCCCTTCTGGCCGCGCAACTATCTCTCGCCCTCCAGGCGCAGCCACCGCAAGCTCCGGGAGCGCCGCAGAATCCCCCCCAGTTTTGGGGCCCGATTTGCTTTCTGAAGAACCGGCGGACCCTCTCGCTGCCGACGGTCACCTCTGCCTACAAGTACGAGTGGACGGACCAGGAGCTGCAGAAGGTGCAGCTGCACATGACGCAAGTGACGGGCTACGTGGAGATCAACACCACCAGCTGGTCGAAGAATGATGAAAGCAACGGTCGGACCCCGTCGCCGAAGAAATCCTACGGGTACTTTTACCTTGTCTACCCGGACCCCGACTACTACCTGCGACAGGGGGTTCGCCGCGCGTTCTACCCGGAGGACTGTCTGGATTCGCCCGTGAAAAACTACAGCGATCTGTTTTATGCGTTGAAAACGGCACAGGGGAAGTCGTTGACTGATTCCAAAGCGTACAACAAGTATTTCAAGACGAACCCGGTGTACGGCTTGCCGATTGCCTCCGTCACCCACGACAATGACGCAGACCTGAAGGCGAGGAAATTTGCCGACCCCATCGACAAAAATTTCCCGGTCAACGCGAATTTCTACGACATCGAAGTCCAGAAATTTGACGTCACCAGTGCGGACGCCGGAAAGTGGGTTTTCATCGTGGTCCTGGTTTCCGTGGTCTTGTCCACGCTGTTCGTTTTGATCCTGCTGGTGCAGTTCTGGCCGGCGACTAGTAGTACAACATCAGCTCCTGCTACCAATGGGATAAATGGCGCTCAACAGCAGACTCGTGACAATGATCCCGCGGCGGGGGCGCCGCAGCAGAGTTGTGAGGCCGAAATTGCGCTATGGGATGAAGCTGCTGCTGACACGACGCACAATGCGGAGCTGGCGTCCCCTACAATAGTACCCAATGTTGCGACAGAAGAAGTACTTGTGCAAGGGGAAGCGATCACAAGCCCAGCTGCGAACAGTACGACAAGGTACGACAGCGACGATCGGGAGAGCTCCAGGGCAGCGTCGAAGGAAGCAGGTGAAGTCCTCTCGACGGCGTTGGTGGAAAACAAGCCTGCAGTTGACGTTCCGCATCCTTCAAGATTGGCGAGGGACAAGGACAAGTACTACGCCGGTGGTGAAATGAATCAAGGCCTCCTTGCAGCAGCTGGACATCATCACCAAAATGAACCGCAGCAGCAGGAGCCACGAGGAACGCCACCTCGCGCACCAGAAGCCTTACTGACTCGTGGTGGAACCAATGTCAGCCTCGGAGCAGCCAGCAGTGCGGTGGGCAAAGCGCACATCCCGCCTTTGTCTGACGCCGAAGATCTGGACTTCGTGCAGACAAACAGAAACGGGACGAGGCGAGCCGATTTAGATTTTGTGCAGAACGGCCGACAGTATCATCACTTGGTTGGGGGAATGAGGGATTGATGAAAGGAGCGACAGGGCCGAAATGGAAAATTGACGAGAGGAAATGGAAAGAGGTGGAGAGCGAAAACTGAACTTCTTTTTGCTTTCCATCATGTACAAATTACTAGTACTAGACGAGCAAGTAGCTCCAAAAGCGAAATATTATGACAGTACATGTACAAGTAAAACAATGTCGTGTATGATTATACAGTGCTGGAGAATTTTCTACCGAGAGGCTCCTCACTGTCTTTTGGATGATGGATGTTGGGAGAAGACATTGAAAAGGAATTCGGTCCGCGCTCGCATCGGCACGCGATCGGACAACGTAGTATGGGGTTGCCCATATTGGCTGCTGCTTTGTAGTGCGATGCTGTTCTCATGCTACAGCTTTTTATCTCTTGCCGCTGAGGATGACGATGATTTTGGCAACCGCAATTATTGCCATCTTCACGAAGTAGTGTAAAGTGAATTTATTATAACTCAAAGTATGTCGGTACTTGTCTATCTGTGCTTGCTCCTTCGGTCGGTCTTTATTTGTATTGTGGAATGCTTCTGTGTCGGTACGCTTTGTTGCCACGTATTGCGTGATGTCTCTCGGTTTTACGATGTTGTATATCTAAAACATTGTCTTGAAAAGGTCGGTTCACTCTTGTAGATTGTGGAAGCTGTTTTTGCCACGGAAGTAGCAGCGGACTCGTCGGAAACTCAGTCCTTTAGGTGCGCGCACACTGGCTGCCTCCAGTTATTCCTATTTTCAGCCACGCAAATTTATCGCCTTTGCCATGATACAGGTCAAGATCTTTTTGTTTTCACGCGCGCTCGCTAGATGCGCTCTTCATTTCACAAAATTATTCCCCATTTTGATTTTGTGCTTTTCCACTTCACCGAATACATGTGGTGCACGCAAACGTGAATATTTGCGTTAGTGCGCTGTGCATGTATGCTCGTTTATTTGTCCTATGTTGATGTAGCTCGTTTCCATTTCCCTTTACTACCCTTCGTCGCTGTTTTTACGTAACCTAACTTTAGTATCATGAAACCCCTGCCTCACCTACTTGCCCGCCCGAAAATAGTCGGCAAGAAGCCCCCTTCTGCGCCGGGCGGAGCGGCTGCAAAGGGGCCGGCCGCTGCAGCCGCGGGCGAGGCAGCGCTAACGCCACGAAGTGGAGGTCATCTGCGTGGTCACAAACACCACCCTCCGGTGGACCACCACACAACGAATAGCGTCCCGGGGACGCCGCGGAGTGTTTTATCGAATGTGACACCAAGACCGCAGCTAGACGAGGAAGATTCCGGAGAAGCGGACGCTGCAGGAGAGAAGATCAATTTTCTCACCCCTGGCACGACTCCACGTGGTGGTGGGTCCTCGCGTGCAGCCACTGCTGGAGCCAGAAGGCCAGGCGGACTTGTTGGTGGTGGACCTGGACCATCTTCAAGCAAATTATTGTCTGCCGCGAGGGGTAAAATAAAGGCTCCGAGGAATGATGATGTCGACCCGGCGCCGGCGTTTGAGGAGGCTGTGAGCGCCATTCCAGTGGAGTGCACGTACGGAAATTTATCCTTTTTGACCCCGAGCCAGCACCAGAAGTTTCTTCTCTGGATCAAAGAGAAACCAGCGTTTGACGACGCTGGAAGTGTTCTTTTCACCACCAGCGCAGATCTTGTTCTACAGAATAAACAGTGGCAGTCCCCGACCGCGGGCCGGTCCGTGGCGTTAACCAGGGCGGAGGCGCAAGCGCGGGAGCGACTGCGCGACTTTTTGCGCCAGGCGGAGAGCAACGAACTCGAGCGGAAACACCACGAGCAGCTGGCGCTGGACCACGAATGCCAGGCGTTCCTCCAAGATTTGGTCTACCAGGACGAGCAGGCCGCGAAGGGCCACGTGGTGCCCGTGAAAAAGGGGCCCGCCCCACCCGCCAAACCGCAACCCGTGAAGGACGTGCACGTGCCGGACAAGCGGCTGTCGCCCAAGTATCCCACAGAAAAAAGCTGGCAGGGCATATTTGTAATGCAAAAATAAATACACAGAAAAACCCGTCATGGGCGACCTCGTAGCATGCTGTTTAGGATACGCAATACAGATTTTTCTGTGTATTTATTTTTGCATTACAGATGTGACCTGCCAGCTTTTTTCTGTGGGATACCAAGGAACTGGCGAAGATGAAGAACCAGCTCGCGCACACCTTCGAATCCCAGTTATGCATTGCAAATATGTCTGGGTCTGGAAGAATGGGAATGCAAACTTGTGATGCGCATTTCATAAGACACAAAAATCTCTCATGCATAGGCTGCAAAAGCTGCCCACTTTCTGTCACCAAAATCGGGCATTTGTAATGCAGATTCGGCATTGCGGAAGCTTGTCGAAACCTGTGATGCTAGAGCTTCCACGCCAGCCCTTCTTTGTCATGCAAAAGCAGCATGACTCTTCCAGACCCAGACATTTTTGCATTTGATACCAGTACCGCGAGAACAACAGCGGCAAACCGCCGAGCGAGGCGCAGGTGAAGGCGTACGTCGCAAAAACGCTGCACGACCGCGGGGTGGAATTCGAGGAGAACGAGCAGGAGAGGAAGGAAGCCATCGCAAAAAAGAAAAAGCAGCTAGTACAAGGAGCGCAAAATGCCGCCTCGTCGCTAGGGACCACATTGGGGAACAATGGCGAAGGTGGTCCACAAAATCGAGGAATAAACGGAGCCGCTGCGGCGCACACCGAGTCGCTCCTCGCTAATCAGGTCGAGCAGCTGGAGGAAACTTTGGCCCGTTTGGGTCTGAAGGAGGAACCCAACGGGGAGATTCGGCGGGACTTGACGAACAGCGGTGGTGGTGGTGGTCTGCTCAACAAGAAGAATCTCAACGGTACTAGTTCCGATGACGACTCGTTTGAAGCCTTGACCGAAGCGCAGCTGCAGCACAACGCGATGGTGGCGAAACACAACGAGGTGGCAAACAGCACGAAGCACTTGGACCAGTTAGAGCGGCGGTTGGTCAAGAAGCGAGTGGAATTGGAGCAGCAGTATAGAACCCGCATCCACCCGTTGCGCCGGGCCATTCTGCTGCGTTTGTACGCGGATTTGGAGTCGGTCTGCCTGAATCTGTACGGCTGCGGCCCGGTTGCGCAGGACCACCAAATGTTCCTGCCGGAGATTCAGCAGCTGACAACCGGGAAGGCGCTGTCGCCGGACCGAGCGTCCGCGGCCGCGAACAACAAGGACGGCACGTTGCAGGATTTGCGCCGCGATCAGCACCTGATCTTCCTTCAGCAGGAGGCCGAGCGGAAACGGCGGGAGGCGAACGTCAACGGCAGCTACAACTTCTTTACGCTTCGCCAGGAGCTCTACCAGCGGCTGCTGCGGGGCGGCTCCGAGGTCGTGGACGATTTGCTGTTCCGGAGAACGTGGGCGTTGTGTGAGGACGCGTTTGAAGAGCTGCGGGAGAACCGCACCCATTACCCCATGTACGTCGAGCCTGAGAATGAGGACGACGAGGAAGTAGACGGTAGATCGAACATCAACAATAAAAGCAAATTCACTTCTTCTTACCCGGTATCCGGCGGCCGGTCCATGACTCCTGCTTCGATGAGAAATAGAACGGCGGGGAACAACAACGCTAAAAGTAGCTACAACAAGCGCGGCAGCGGTCGGAGTAACGGCAAAAACTGGGACACGGTGCGGATGCCGCATAGTTATAATTCTGGAACATCAAGCTATGCCCCGGACGACCCGCGATTTTTCGTGAGAAAGGAGGGTGCGCATGGGTCCTTGGAAGCGCTTGAGGAGAAGCTGGTCTTTGATTGGATCGAAACCAAAGATCTCCCACCCATGCTCGAAACCTTCACGCGGGAGCTGATCGCGCAAGCGTGCGGGATGGAGGCGGTCAGACGGCTGAGGGAGAGAAGCATCAGTGAACAAGCGTCGCAATTCGCAGAGGAGGCCCTGGATTTTTTGGCGGAACGGCCAGAATTACTCTTCCGCCAACAATACCAAATCGTGCGGGTGGAAGGAAATTATTATACTCCGGCACCACATCCACAACTACCTGTCGTGCCGTCACCGGCCGTGGTTTCATCATCTCCGTTTGACGTAGACGTGGGGCCGACGGCTCCTGCTTTGCTGAACGTTCCTGGGTCACTCTTTATGCCGGTGGGAACAGCTGCAACATCTGGTGCAGCTGGTCAGCAATTCACACAGCAGCTAATGGAGGGGCAACACCAAAACGGTTCAGGGTCTACTATTGTCGATGCAGCCGAAGTAGTACCAGGGGTTGCAGCAGCGGAAAAGAAGCCAGGAGAGCTCCATTCGAATCTCCAAGGCAAGGCTCCAAGTGTGGGACCAGAAGCGAACAAAGCTGGCGCACCCGCCGCCGGAAGTGTGGCTAGCCCGGGCGCCGCAGCGGCAGGAGATTCGAATGCGGAGCAGCTGAGAGAGTTCGCTCAGATTCAGAAGCTGCAGGAGGAAAGACAGCATGAGCTTGTGGAACACAATGCCAGCAACATAGCGGCTGAAAATAAACCCTCCGCCGCGACAGCGCTTGTCAACGGTCACGCGGGTAGCGAAGTGCACAGCCCAGGGAGGGGGCAAAACGACGATATTACCGCAATGATGGAGCAGCAGTCCTCTCTACTGCCGGGAGCTGCGAAGGCGCATCTTCCTCACGACCTCGCTGCCATGGCTGCAAGTGCAGCAGCACAGCACACAGGGCACAAGCACGTTGCAGCCGCGAGGGAAAAGAATGAAGGCGAAGATGGAGTCCTAGGCGCCGCTGATGTTGCACAACACGATGCAGGAGCTGTTCTCGGCAAGAAGAAGGTTCTTCACCATGCGGCCGCAGAAGGGGAGGAAGAAGAAAAAGTGATTATTTCCGGTGGCGAAGTAGATCAAGATCACGAGGTGCCAATTATCGGAATGAGCGACTTTCTATTGGGAATCGACACACCAAAGGGGAGCAAAAAGACCGAGGAGGACTCGAATGCAGGCACTGTGGTACCATCGGACGCTTCTCGGACACCGAAAGCAGGCGCAGCTGCAGCTCTTTCCGGTACTAGAATGAAAAAGGTTTCAGTTGCTGCGAAGGCTGGAGGACCTGGGCCCGGTAGTGCCGCCGCTGCCCCCGCGGGGGGCCCAGCGGATTCGCTGGCGGCATTCGAGGCGCCTGCGACAGCTACGGTAATCTTGAAGGAGCAGCAGGACCAGGGCCCAGCTGCAATTGAGGGCGGAGGAGAAAACGTGAAGAGCGACGGTGGGAGTAGTATTCCGAAACGGCAACCACGCCCGCGCATCAAGGAAAAGGACGGAACCAGCAAGCCAAGCAAGCGGCTGGCGGCTCCAGCAGAGGATGGGAAAATTTCTGCCACATCTGAGAGGGAGAGGGAAAAAACACAAGGAGACGCTTCTCAAGAGGCGCGGAAGTCCAAGGCCTTGCCAGGGCGATCGTCACAGGCCGGCGAAGATGAAGTAGGAGGGGATACTATTAAAACGAAGCGGGCGTCAGTTAAAAAGTCAGCACCAACATCAACTTCCCCGGCGGGGGAAACATCAAAGACCGGCACAGATACACCTGCGGACGGCACCAAATCAGAGGAAAAGAAGAAGAAAAAGAGAGTCTCCGCTCCGAGCGCGAGGAGTGCGGGAGAGGACCGCGGTGGGGGCGCGAGCAGCACCAGTGGCGCCGAGAAGATGGTGGAGAGTAAAGAAAATTCGACGAGAAAATCTGGGGCTGGTGATCGGCAGGTAAGCAGCTTTTTGAAAAGCACTAGAATCACTGTGGGAAAAAACGAAGATGAGCTGGACTCAAGGAAGCCTAGTGCCGCAGGTGCAACCAAAGGTGGAGACAAGGAGGCGCCTCCAGACAAAAGCTTTTTGTTCTCGCCACCTTCCTCCCAAGATGAACAGAAGCCGCTGGGTACTACTAGCGTCCAAAAACGCGCCGACGGTACGCCGGAGGTGCGACACACCCGCGCCTCGAAGATCCGGGAATCGCACATTGAAACGAAAGCCTACAAGCCACCCGCCACGACCTCCAGCAAACCAGCAATCCTTCCCACGAGAGCTGTTGCAACATCGACCAGCGTTTCTACTCAGGATAGTACGAAGCAAGCAGACGGCGCCAGTAGAAGCAGCAAATCTAGCCGTGTTTCCCTAACTGCACAGTTGAACACGGCGAGAAAGTCGGTTGGATTGAACAAAATTTCAGGCGTTGTGCCTTCTATCAGTGGCGCTTTTCCAGACCGCCGGTCGCTCTCCGGAACCAACAGTAGTTCGCAGCCAGGTGGCTCCAGCGACAACAACATCGACGGAGACACCGCCCGCGGAGACGCGTCCCAAAACAAGCGCGTGTCGCGGCGGGACTCGGAGACCGCGTTTCTGCGGGACAACTTCACCTACAGCGTGGACCGGACGATGCTGAAGGGCATCGAAGCGACGGCGCACGCGGTGTACTACCAGTACAACGCGAAGCCGCCACCGGACGAGCTGGTGTGGAAATTGCGGGAGCAGATCGTCGACGAGCACGACGACCCGGCCAACCGACCAGAAGTTGACAGTGCCGAGACGTTCCCAGAACCGCGAAAACCGGCCACACCGCCACGGGAGGAAGCCAGCACTTCGGAAGAAGAGCCGGCGTTTAACTCGGAGTTGCACAATATGATCGTCGGGAGGCTTAACAATTGAGTGCTGTGATCCTACGTTGCTTCTAGTTTGAATATCAATTCCTCCTGGGTTTCTCAACTCCCCTACATGAACTTGGACTATCGCACTTTGTTTGTAGTCCACAGTCCCACGACCCTGTGTACTGCCCAGGACAGAACATATAAAGTCAGACTGTGATCATAAGAAAGCGCCTGTGAAAGAATTATGATGTAGTAGGCCGACGCCATCAGATTCAATTTCAAACTGCTGCGGTCGATGTCGTTTCGTCACCACTATGAGTGGTTCGCGTCGCGTTGAAGTTGTCATGCAGGCCAGCACGACATTGAAATTGAATACGAAAGATGAGTGTGAAACAATTCCTTTTTGTTTTTGTTTACTTATCCTTATGCACAGCTGCAGCTGGTGCTGGCTCCAAACGTGTTCAAACGCGATTGATCCACCAAATTTCAAGCTGTACTATTAAACCGGGCAGTATAAATACAATAATATGGCTCTGGTTTGTTTTTGATGGTTCTCGTTCTTTGCCTGCTCATTCTCTTTTGCAAAAGGTCGAGATCTTCTTTTGATTCTCACGATATAGTATGTGATAGAAGCAGCCGCTGATCCTGATGTTGAAGTGGAAGTTGGATTTCCAAGCATGATTTTTACTTTTGCTTCTGGAGATACTTTGTTCAGAACTTGTGATTTTGCTTTCAATCTGAAGTAGACCTTGATATTCATTTTCTCCATAATTCAGATTCAATGTCAATGCGCAGACAGCGACAAGAAAGCGACTCCGTACTTAGCGCGGGACCCGCGGTTTCGCGTTGACCACGGCTACAAAGGACGAGGACCATAGTTCTTCTTCTTACTAACCATCACTCTGTTTTTTAGAATTACAATTGACTACCCGTTTAGCAGGAGCATCGCTCTTCGCCGGGTTATTTCTTATACAGTTTTATACATAATTTCAATAAACGCGAGGACCGAGAGCAAAATCATGAAACGCGAGCGTGACGACAAGGATGCGGAAGATGAGCAGGACCAGGACAACTCCGTCCAGGACCTGAAGCGGCTGATCACGCAGAGCGTGAAGCAGCAGCGACGCCCGAAGAAGACCCATAATGTGACTCCCATTCACAGCGACGAACAGTCGACGTCTGCCAGGTCGAGAAACAACGATCATGGGGCAATGGGAACGGATAATCGAAGTGCTACGACCGGCAGCGCTTCCCTGTTTTTCCCCGACATTCCCGTAAGCGCGATGGCGGGTCCGTCACCGCTTGCGAATAGTAATCTTGGACGAGAACAAGCAGATGTTTCTTTTCCACACGACAAGAAAGGCGCGAGTTCTGGCAGAACTCATCTTCCCGTATTGGGAATATCGACCTCCGACAGCGTTCTCCCTCTCCCTTCGGAAGCCGCCCGCAGGTCGAGGAACAAATCTACATCGAAAATAAGCCAGTTCTCGGGACGCGGTGGTCAGCACTCGAAATCCGTTTCCGAAGCGGACCCCTCGGAGGACGAGCTCTCGCTGGTAGCTTCGCCGATGAACGAAGTGTTGAACCAAAATGTCATCCCAACGCCCACCGCAGCGGAGACGGCAACGGGGGTCGGGAGCTTTTTCACGGGCTTCGTGCAAAACGAAAACATAAACGAGGAAAAGCATGGCAGTGGAGCAGACAAAGCAGGTGAAGACGGGTCCGAGAATAAGATAGGTCAAGTGCCGAAAATGCACGTAGGTCCTGGTGTGAACTTGAAGCTGGTGCAGCATGTTGACCAGGCGGCTGCAACAGGAAGTTGTAGCTCATCTGGAGGACCAGCGTTGATAGAGGACAAGAGCCCCCTGCTCGCCGCGACGAAGATGCGCGCTTCGATTGGGAGCCCGAGATTTGGCGGCACCGCAGGCCCTGAGATGAAAAGTACGTCTATCTTCGAGAAGCAGAGAGCGGCGGCCTCGCCCTACGCAAAGCCGGTCGCGAGCAGTAATAAAACGAGCCCCTTTTCGCAAGAGCACAAAGTGGGTTCGATTTTCGGTGGTGCAGGGACGACCACAGGAAGTTTTAGCAATACTACGTCAACAACAAACACCTCTAGTACAGGCTCTTCTATTTTCTCCGGCGGCATGGCTAGCGGCTCTTTCATGTCCGCCCTCGCGGACCACAGTGGCGGCTTTGCCGCACTCGCAAAGAGCACCAGCGCAGCTGCAGAACAAAGTACGAAAACAGCGACGTCTGGTGCGACTACTGGGGGCAGCTTGTTCTCCGCAATGGCGAGTGGTAGCACGACTATAGGCAGTGCTGTCCCTGAGTCTGGGACGAAGAACATCTTTTCAACGTTCGCATCCGCTTCGCCGCCTGCAATGCCCTCTGGCTCATTTAGTAACGGCGCAAGCATGAATGGCGGAACGACAGCGACAGGCTCTTCAATGTTCACGTTTGGAACGGCGGCATTCGGATCCGCAACTACATCGGGAGCAGCTACGTCCCAACAAGGCGTTGCCAAAGAGAAGACTAACGAGCGCAACGCCTTTGCGTCGTTACTGACGATCGAGAAGCAGGAGCAGAAGGATGACATCAAGGCTGATAAAAATTCAAGCAAACAAGCAGCCCCCAGCCTTAGTAAATCTTCGCTTTCCGCCGGCGCGGGCATGGGTCCTGGAATAGTAGACACCACAGCTTCAGGATTTGCAAATGGTAAGGTGCCCATGCTGACGAAAGTTCAGGCGGTTTCCAGGGCGCGGGCAATCGTGCGGCGGTCGGAGCTGAACGCTGAGGCGCCAAAGGACTATCTGTTATTCGCGGGAAACTGCAAGGCGTTCGAACTGAGCAAGGTATAGCCAACGTTTGATGAACAAGGATGCGTTTCAAGTGAACTACTAGAAGTGTGATACGTATGTAAACAACAGATGACCCGGTTTCCTTTTCCATTTGCATCAACTGGGTGCCATCATTATCAAACGAAATTACACTGTCACAGAACGACGACACCACCCAGCCACGCCCCAGCGAGAGCACCGCCTCTTCGTCGCGCCGCTGGCGACAAATGACGGACGCCGGCCAGGTGAAAATCAGCATGGACAGTGCTACGGGCGCGGTCAGCGTCTTGGTGCTGTTGCGCGGCACGCTGCGGCTGGTGTTGCATTCGACCATTCTCACCGCAGATTCCATCAAGCCGGTGGGGGACAACTCCGTCTGCTTCATGGGAACAGGGGGCACGGTGCAGGAGGAGGGCGCGGGTGTAGAAGTGGCTGCTGGTGGCACCGCAGCTTCGAAAGAACCTGCGTCTTCTGATGCGTCAACGGGAGCCCCTAGTACGAACGAACCCGCCGTCGCTCCTGGGAAAATAAACGGAACTACCACTAAGACCGCGAACAAAGAGAAAGACGGATCAACTAGCACAATTGAACCCATTTACTACCGTTTGAATTTGTTGTCTACCGATCAACGGGACACGTGCGCTGGAGTAATGAAAAGTGTCTGCGAGATCACCATGTCCCAAGCGACATCTTCTGGTGCGCAATGACCCAGTGTGGGATGGCACTGCGACGCGATAAAGATTTTTACACTTCAAGTACATCTCGATAGCGAAATCAAACACGATTTTCATCTGGTGCCTCACGTAATGATACGACAACTACTGCGTTTGTTGTGTTCGAACTACCACTGCTAGGAGCAGGAAAAATGGATTTTCAGTTTGCTTCCGTGTATTTCACATGGTTGTTTCCTGTACAAGTTTCGAAAGATCCTGGTCCTACTGACGAAATAACAAAACCCAGTAGCCAGGCTATGACGGTGCGTGTGAGGAGTTGAAGAGAGTAGATATGCTCATTTTTGTTCTCTGTGCGTGACGCCGCAGCTAGCCACGAGGACCGCACTGCAGAAGAACAAGAGGAGAGAAGAAAACCTCCACTCCAAGATGGCGCGGCCCTCGAAGGCCGCCGCTCAGGCGGCCGTCTTGGTTTTGAGCAGCTTTTCTCAAAGCGCCGATGCCCTCCGCGTTGTTGCCACGAGCAAATCAACTTCGAACTTGCTGCTGAAAAAAACCACCTCCACCAAGGCTGTTTCCACGGCGAGGACGAAAAGTAGATCGCGGAAAATATTAAAGCAAGCCCCTTTTGTATGGATTGCAAATATGTCTGGGTCTGGGAAGTTGCGAGATTTGTCATGTGAGTCTGGCATGATTCTTAACTCTGTGTTGCGTCACCGCAAAGAGCGCCTCAGGCTTGTCATGCTAAAACGCAGTTTCTCATGACATGCGGAGTACGCAACTCAGAACCACGGAAAAACTTGCCATGCCTGGCAGCGCATTACAGTCTGCTCACTATTCCCCTTCTTGCATCACAAGTTTCCTCCAGATCCAGACATTTTTGCATTTGATATTTTGGCATGTTCGCGACAGAAGATGCGCTTTCCCTCAACAGTCTAGACAGCAAAGTCACTACAATTTGCGAATCCGCGGTCCGCAAAGCCGAAGGGACGCAATGTTCCGACCTGGATTTGATCCACGACTACCCGGAATCCCCCGCCTACCACGCTTGCCTCGATGACTGGCACGGGATCCACGGCATGGCTTCCGAGTGCGAGAAGCAGCACGCCAACATCGGCTCTCCCTGCGGAAAAGCCTGCTTGTACAAGGGTATCCGGCAGCTGGCCGCGAAGCACGGCGCAGTCTCGGAGTTGCTGAAGTGGGGCGTGACGGACTTCAACTTGTGGAACCAGCTCGTCACGCTGGCCCAACCGGTGGCCGACGGCTTGAGCGAAGAAGAACTCGCTGGAGTGTTCAAAAAGTGCGCGGACGGCGGTGACCACACCGTGATGCCGATCCCGCGGGTGCGGCACATCTTCACCTGCCTCGACGCGAATGCCGACGGCACTTTGGATGGCGCGGAACTCACCCAGCCGACAAAGTGCTTCCGAAAATGCCTGGAGGTGAAGGAGCCGGCGGGGCACCTGGAAAAAATCCCCGATGACGCGGACTATGACGTTCTCAAATGTTACATTCTCAACTGTTACATGATTTCTCATGCAAAATGGCAATCAGAATCGACATGATCAAGCTGCTTCGCATGACAAATTCTCGAAGAGCCCAACAGGCTGAGAATCCGTGTCAAATCTGTCATGCGCGACGCGTTAGGTCCCCGTCCCCTCTTTCACTGTTGCCGTTCTTGCATGACAAATCCATGTAGCAGTTGAGGATGTAACTGTAACAGTTGAGAACGCCATACGGACGTGACGGACGTTCTGTCCCTGTGGCTGGGCGACGCGCAGGGCAGCGCGCGGAAGTTTGACACCATGCTGGCGGGCACGAGTCCGAACTGCCTGGACGGCATCGACGGGCCCTGCGAGGGCTGCGAATCCTACCACGTGGACTTCAACCCGATGCAGAAACGCGAAGCCCACGAAACGGAAGACGCGTGGGATGAGACGGGCGACCTGTTGGAAGAGTGCGAGGGCTACGAGGAGCGCTGCGAGCCCCACCTCTCGGGCGACCAAAACTCGGTCGAGTGTGCCGATCCGTTCCGCAGGCAGTACTGCATCGGCGTGCACAAGTTGACGGAGACCCACATGCAGGAGTGCGCCAACTACTACGGCCAGTGCTGCGTGAACGCGAACGAGTCCCACTTGAAAACTGGCGCGGCCGCCGGCGACGAGTTTCACCTCACCGACTGCCAGCCCTGCGACCCCGCGAACGGAGCTTCTTGCAATAAACTTGTGATGGAGGCGAGCGCGGAGCAGGGCGGCTGCTTCGTCGGCCACGACCCGGCGACCGGGAAGCCGCAGCTGGATTTCCAGCGGCTGGCGTTTTGCGCGGGCGTGTTTGAGCGCGCGCGCTACGACATGATGGAGTCCGGGAAACTACAGACCATGACGGGCGCCACCAGCATGCCGGACGACGTGGGCCAGACAGTGCACCCGGGGTTCTTTTTGTTTTCGCAGCTGAAGATGAAGAAGCAGCTGAAAATGAAAAAGGCAAAAATCGTGCTGGACAAAAAAACCATGATGGCCTTGACCGCGCCGATGGTCTCGGTTTTTCCAACAGCAGTGGAACAAGACCGTCAATTCGACAACCAGGAGCCCGCCACCGGGAGCATGTACTTCTCGGGGAGCGCCCCCGCGAACGAACCCCTGCCACTCGTCCCCTCCGGAGACAGCGAGTCGCCCATGAACCTCACCCCGGATGCGCAGGCAGCGGCGAACTCCGCCCCGATCCACGTGAAGACGCAGCGGAAGATCGATTACCCGGCCCGGGACCCCGTTTCCCCCGAAGCGCTCAACGCGCCGCTCGCGCACGCGCCGGGCGCCGTGCCGCAAATGCAGGCGGGGGACTACGACGCGACCGTGCACGAAGACCCGATTCACGAGCCGCAGTGCCCCACGGAAACGTTTCGGGAAAAGCGCAGCGGTATGAATTGCAAAAATGTCTAGGTCTGGAAGATTGCAATTTGTCGTGGTAAATCTGAAGCATGCAAAAATCTGTGTTGCATGAGTGCCAAAAGCTGTAAACTTTTGAACAAGTCAGAAGGGAGTTTCTCATGCAGGATAGACATGGCAGAGTCAGAGACCTCGCAGAGTCTGTCATGCTACGTCCCGCATTCCAGACCTGATGGGTCATGGAAAATCTGCCTGACAAGTCTACACTTTTCCAGACCCAGACACTTTTGCACTTGATAAGCGGGGAGTTGAAGGTGGTCCGGAACGAGGAGTACTACAAGAAATTTTGTGCTATTCTGAGTAAAAGCGTCCCCACCCCAGAGCTGTCATGCAAATCTGCATGCCAAGAAGGTTTCTCATGCGGAGCCCCATGAGAAGCGTATTCTCGTCGTGTTCTGGAATTTGTGATGCGAGAACCAGCACGGTATGCTAGATCTGTGATGCTGCTGGACTACTAGCTAAACAGGATTACACTGCGAGGAGAAACTTGTCATGCGAACCAAGCAAAGCTGGTTGATTTGTCTTGCAGGTTTCCCATCTTGACTCTGGTGTTGGGACATTTTTACTCAGGATATGTGCCTGGATGCACGAGGTCGCGGAGCCGTCTGCGGGCTGGGATTTGGGCCATTTTGTGGACCCGGCGACGAAAAACTTCGCGGAAAAGCAGTTCACGCCAGACTCGACGTGCGCACCCGAAATCGTGATTGGGGCCGGGAAGGGCAGAAAGGTAAAGGGTTTTGATATCATGTTGGTTGTAAGTAGATAAGGATGTGGATGTGGTTGTGTTGGAAGTTATTCGCATGACACAGTGCCCAAGAAAAGTGTCAACATTTCACCAAGTGCAAAACTACATCCAAAATTATGAAAAATCCAGCCCACTCGTGCGGAATTCGACGACACGAACTACGAGAACTGCAAGCGCGCCCACGAAATCTGTGCGGAAAGCGGGTACGTCGCGGACTCCCCGTCTTGTGGCTACGTAGAGTCCGATATCTGTGCCGGAATGCATTTTCCCAGCCCAGGTCCGAAAATCCCACCCCCGCACGTGGATCTCGAGAAGCCAACAAACCCGGCCCCGGTTACTGACGTTGGGAGTGCGGCTCCGCCAGCTCAAAACAACGCGATTCCTGCCGCGACCGGGGAAGCGGGGGAAGCCATCCCGCTGGGAACCGGTGCGGAGCTGCCGGGAGCGGGCGCGCCAGCAGCGGCTCCGGCACCCGCGCCGCCGGCTACAGCTGCGGGGAGTACTGATTTTTTTTTGTTCGAGTCCACCTTGCATACGTGATTTCCACCTGCTTTTGGTTGATGATGTATCAATGATATGATGTGCCATGACCTTATTAAATTTTTCTTTAAGGCAAAGAACAACTTGCCTTTTCGAAAAGTCAAGCAATTCCCAACCAAAAGTAAAAGTCCTCACATCAGGCGCAGCACCGAATAAACCCGCGGGAAAGGCTATGAACTGCAAAAGTATCGTATTAGTATGAATTGTATTACAAATTTGCTCAGCATTGCAAATTGAATTTGTATATGCGGACTTGCCTTAGGAGTCAGATTTGTAAAGCATAAATGCAATTAGTACGAGTACGATACTTTTGCACAGGATAAAGGCCGCCTTGGGCATCAAGGAGCCCCCCACGGAGGTGGCGAACATCGCAACCGTTGTATCAAAAAGAAAAATCTCCCCTCCCCATATCGGAAACGAAATTTGTGATGCTGTATTTGAGTATACAAGTCGACTTGTATTGCTAGAAGGCCAAGAGACGCAGTTGTGGCCTGAATTGCAGGCAATTTGTCATGCTGTTTCCCAGTTCCAGTTGCCTCGTGTCATGCTGGAGATGCAATACATTCCCTTTCCCGCGCTAGCTAGAACTACAGTCCGCATCATCTTTTGCCTTCTAGCATCACAAAGCTGATTTATAACCACAAATCTGCGTCACAGATTTCCGTTTTGATATGGGGAGGGGGCATTTTTGTTCTTGATACGTTGCGGCACCCTTGATGACGAATTTTCTCTTGCACGAGCTGCATGAGAAGGGGAAAGTGGAGAAGCCGAAGAAAAAGCAGCTGGTTTTCAAAATCACGGTCGAGGAGGAGGACTGATTTTTGTTTTTTGGCTTGACAGTTGTGAGCACGTTTTTCTTTTCCGAGTCTCCATTTGCATTTGCATCTGCATGCAGTAAAAAGATGTGTAAATTTTTTTGAGCCCCCTGTAGCTCTATGTAAAAACAGATGGCGCCCCTTCAGTGCAAGATTTTTTTCGGCGCCTCGTTGGTCGTTCGTTTTTCGAAGTAGATCAAGATGCACGCCTCGTTGTTCGTTCGTACCTGGTGCATGTTCTCGACCACCGCCACGACTGGCTGAGCAGCAATAGTAGAGTGCGACGCCTTATTGACGAACCGACGTGAAGAAAGAAAAGATTTTGGAGAGCAATATGAGCGGCTCGATCATCCGTCGAAGTACGATCGCTATTGTGGTGAAAGATTTCTAAAGATTGAGTAGGAGGTCTTTCTGCGCAAAGATTTTTGTAGAACGAGTCACCCAGCACAAGAGCAAGGCCAAGGCATCGTTATCGTTTCTGAGCAAATAAGTGGCTCTTTTCGCCAGCGGTATGCGTATGTGAGATGCAATCTTCGAGTCGGCAGCTATAAAAGTACTGTGCATGATGTCGATGTGCAAATCCAAATTCAACACGACAACATGAATAACTCTAGCCAGAACTGCAACGTGAATTTTTTTAGGGGTGCGCTAGAGCAGCGTACTACAGAGGCGCGCCGACCACCATTTCCTAACCAAACTTGATCCAACATTGTTGCGGCCTTTAAATGACAGTCTAGCCCCGTCTTGGACCCGGAGGCACCCTCCGTGCTCACACCTTCCTTCTGCGTCGAAAGCCGTTCCTCACTTGCCGACACGACTCTAGTGACGGAATTTGTGTGGGAAAAATGGACGACGGAAAGGAAAAGGATCTGACGCTTGACAAGCTCAAGGCGAAAAAAACAAAGGATGACAAACACAAACTGGCGAAGGACAAGTATATGTATGATTTTCTCACGAGAGTCATGTTTTGGTCATGCGTTTTTGATAGCGGATATGAAGTTGTCCTGCGTTATACAACGCAATAAGACTAACGCAATTTAATTATGTTAAATTAAAAATTGTCAGATACAACGAGGATGACCTGTCCCACTTCAAGGATCAGAAAGACAAGGACTACAAAGACAAAAAGTTCAAAGACATATCCGTTGCAAATTTACTGTACACGTACAAAATTATGCATCACAAACTTCTTTCCTGCTTGAGTTTGTCATGCTGAATACGGGAACGGCAACGGTTTGTCATGCACTTTATTTGTCAGCACTTGCATTTGCATTAGCATTTCGTACGTGAATGGGAAGAAATTTCCTGTGGATAGGGCAAGGACAAAGACTACAAGTACAAGGCGGACAAACTTGACAAGGACAAGTACAAAGACAAGATGAAGGACAAGGACAAAATGAAGGACAAGGACAAGGATATGAAGGACAAGGATAAGATGAAGGACAAGGACAAAATGAAGGACAAGGACAAGATGAAAGACAAGGACAAAATGAAGGACAAGGACAAGATGAAAGACAAGGACAAAATGAAGGACAAGGACAAGATGAAGGATCACAAGGACATGAAGGTACTTTATGAAGTTTTTACTGCCACCAAAAAGCACAAGCATCTGCATGTTTCTGATGTTGATAAAGTAGCACTTGCGGAAAGTATATGAGCACTCTCGCTACTACTACTTCTAAAACTTATCAGGACAAGGACAAAAAGAAGGACAAGGACAAATTTAAGAACAAGGACAAGGACAAAAAGAAGGAGAAACTCATCAAGGAGGAGAAAATCAAGGGGAATGTTATGCGAAGAGAACACATGATGCCCCGATGCCTGAGCCTTTTCGTGTTGCCCCTCAATATTGTAGATCATGCTGAGTGTGCATCTGCATGTGCTGTTTTTATTTGGCCTTTTCCTTGCTTGTTTTGTCGTGCTAAGAAATGTGCGCGCGGCCGAGGCATTGGCTCTCCGGCACATCAACACAGCGCAGCACAGTTGCATTCTAGTAAAATTTACGTTGCCACTTGATATCAGTTGTCCAGCGGAACCTGTCCATGTGCAGCCGTTCGAGGGCATCTCCAGGGACATGAATTGTGTTGCATACTTGCTGGAACCACAAAAAATAAAACGAAGCGAGCCGGGTTGATCTTTCCAGTAGCAAAGATTCAGAAGGAGTTGAGGGTAAGTAAGTACTACCTTTGACTGCTTTCCGTGTTTTCATGCAGTCGTGATGTTGTGCGACTGCTATAGTGATCGTAAAAGAGTGACTCTGATTCTCTAGCTTTACAACTCAGTCAACAAAAGAACTACGTATGAATTACACAAACAGAACATGCTCCCTGCAAACGCGCGATTGAACTCCTCCAGCAGTGTTTTCCTCGGGGGAGTTATCAAATGCAAAAATGTCTGGGTCGGGATGGTTGTAAACTTGTAATGCTGTTTTTGAATTCTACAAAAAATTTGTATTGCATGACCAGCAAAAGGAGTCCAGTTTGTTCTACGCGGGGATGGCATTTCTCATGCGGAATCGGCATCAGGATCAGGAAGTCCTCTAAAAATCTGTGATGCTAGGCCATGCATTACAGGCGTCACGTGTCATGCAAAATATGCATGACAAACCTGGCAATCTTCCAGACCCAGAGGACATTTTTACATTTGATAGGAGTGATGGAGTACGTCGTAGCAGAGCTCCTGGAAGTGGCCGGGAACACAGTGAAAAACCAGGGTAAGAAGCGCATCAACCCAAGGCACTTGCAGGTCGCAATCAAAAACGACGACGAACTGAACACGCTGATCCGAGCCACAATCGCGGGCGGCGGTGTGGTGCCAGACAAAACCGCGGTGCAAATGATGCACGAGAGGGATGAGAAGGCAAAACAGGCAGCGAAAAAGAGACACGAGGGCGGCGGCGGAGCTGGGGGGCAGAAGTTTGAAAGTAATATGCAGTTGGTGTTCGTGAAAGTGAATCATAATCATATTGCTGTTTACGTGATGTTCAATTCGATTTTTTTTTTTGGCTGAAGACGGAGAAAGCGCTTTGTTATCATGCTTTTTCTGATGCAGCTTGACAACAACAAAAAACAGTGTTTTCCGAGGACATGATATACGAGCCACCACAGAAGAAGCAAAAGGCCGCCTACGACAATGTCAGCAAGACCTCTGTGTTTGACGCGAATTTGAATATGAAGGTAACTCTAAGCACTATGCTTGTTGCACTCTAGCATTGTCACGCGCGTAGTTGAATACTTTTTTTTGCATAAGCTTCTTTATCAACATTTGTATTGCGAATTATATGTTGCTCATCAAATAATTCCAGAACTACGACGTCGCCATGTTCGAGCCGCACTTTAACTTCGGTGCGCAGGGCACCATGCCCGACAAGCTGGCCATGGGCGGCGGCGAGGGGAAGAAGGTGGTCGGGGGCAAGAAAGCCGCGGTGTTTGAGGCGCAAGCCATGGCGGAAAAGAAGAAAAAGAAAGCGGTGGCGGCGAAGATGCCACTCTTTGCTGCGGATGGCTCCTTCTTCCAGGCTGCGTAGGGAACCTGCTTCTAGGCTGCCTAGGCTCGTCGGAACAAAAAATGGTGATTCGCACCTTTACCGGAACTCTGCAGCGCAGAAAAACGTATAAGAAATTGAGATTACACAAACACATCAAATAGATCAGATTCAGACTCTGAGTCGAAATCAATGCACGCGATGGTTTCGATTTCGCACAGACGCAAGATTAGTAGAACTAGTGTTTCGAACTTTTACAACTTGAAACAGCAGAGGAAAACCAAATTGTTAACGCAAGGCCGATAGAGCTGCGTCCCCAAGCACCACGACGCACTTTGCAGTAGAGGAACCCTCTCAAGGAAATCAAACCGCAAACGTAGCGGTGTGACGAATAAGAAGGAACGCAGAAAATCACTACGGCAATATTTATACAGCACGCATGTGAAGCACTCAAGATTCAAATGTATTGTACTTATTAGCCCCCGCCCCCCGCACCGCGAGTGCAAACGATTTCCAATTATGAGCTTGCTCCGATACAAAACCGAACGACGCGGCGGGTCTTGTTCTGCCAGTATTTTTCGTCTGGCGCCATTTTTTTGAGCCACAACCTGTGTTCCTATTTTTGCCTACCGAGCTTCTCAGCAAAGAGGATCGGTTGAGAAAAGAGGTTTTATTTTTTGCCAAATTGAACTCAAATTCTGATTCGATCACACCGAGATCGAGATCAACCGGGCACATTTTACGTATTCTCCGCAGAATGCGGAAGAATAAGAAAGCAAGGTTCTCTAGTACTGCAACTTTTTACTTTTGGTGGTCATATGTTTCGTCCGACACAACTTTCCTAGCAGGCTCTACCTAGCGACAACCTCTACCATCTTTTACACACACGACACCACAATCACAAAAGCAACATATTATCAAAGTCAACAACGCATAGCGCGGTAGATAAAATTGAAAACAAATAAATCTGTGTGCTGCTGGAAGCTCGCATATTAAAGGGAGAATGCGCCAGCACGGACGAGCAACACCAACAAACGACAAAGCACATAAGAAGTCCTCTGGGATCATAAATTTTAACGTCTAAAAATTTCGGTAAAAACTGCTTCAAACGAAAGTGATCATGGGCGACGTCGAACTTGCTGACGCGGAGGTTCTGAACCCCGCCACCACTCCGTACCAGCAAGGCGCCAAGCCTCTGCAAATTGTCCACGTGGACTTACAAACGAACGAGGTGAAGGTGAATAAACCGAATCTGGAAAGGATCGCCCAAAACCTGCGGGATGCTGGCGCGGAAAAGATCTCGGTCGTCTCCGTTATGGGGGCCTACAGAACGGGGAAGAGCTTTTTGCTCGACCTGTTTTTGCGGTATCTGGAATACGAACAGGCGAGCAGCACGCGGGCGTCGACAAGCAGCGCCTCGTCCGCCTCGGAGTCCGCGAGCAGTAAGGACCCAATAGACGACAGAAGTTTCGTCAGCGAGTTCACCATACCGGCCTGGATGAAAGCGGCAGGTGAATATTGAAGCCTTTATTTTTTCGGGTCATTTTCGATCGATTTCGATGCTATCAAACCACTGCATTTCTTGCTGCTACGAGGAAGAGGATTCAAATGTTTTTTTCTAGTTTTTGCCCTTCCTCGTAGTACAACTCGTCGTCAGAAGCTCGAGCTGTTTGTTGCACACTATTTTTTTACGATGATGAAACTGAAAGTGCAACCCAACAAGAAAGATCGCGACACAACATCCACATCCACGTGAACAAAAAAAACAGGCAAGCTGAGCGAAGCATCCGACGGCACCACGCCCCGCGATCCGGTCGCCGCTGCAGCGCAGATATGGATTGAAAAAATGTCTGGGTCTGGAAGGTTGGAACCTGTAATGCTGTCTTTGGAATCTAGAAAAATCTGTATTGCATGACCAGCAAAAGTAAAAATGTAATTCTTCCTGCGCGGAGAGGGCATTTGTCAGGCGGAATAGGTATCAAGAAGCCATTAAAAAGTCTGTGATGCTAGGGCACGCATCACAGGCATCATGGCTCATGCAAAACGTGCATGACAAGTCTCAGAATCTTCCAGACCCAGACACTTTTGCACTTGATAGCAGAAGCGCTCGCCGCGCGGTTTCAGCTGGCGCGGTATGCATTGCAAAAGTATCGTACTAGTAGAAATAGCATTACAAATTTTTCCACAAGGAAAAATGGAATTTGTAATGCTGAATAAGCTAAGGAACCAGATTTGTCATGCAAGACTGCAATTACTACGAGTGCGATGCTTTTGCACAGGATACGCGGGGGCGCGAGTAGGTGCACGGAGGGCATGTGGATATGGCCGCAGCCGTTCATCAAGACTCTGACGGTCACAGAAAACGTCTCCAGCAACGAGGACGAGGAAGTGTTCGTGAAAAGAAAAGTCCGGGTCGGCTTGCTCATCATGGACACACAGGGGGCGTTTGATAGGTACCGCTACTGGAAAAAATGTTAGTACTTATTTGTGTGTAGATAGTCTTGATAAAATACTCTTTCTCGGAAGAAGATACCTACTAGAAGGAGTTGAAAGATACCTAGAATGGGATCCTTGTGGCAGCAGGATGTTCACCTAAGTCTCCCCCTCTAAAGTGAACGTGGAGTCTAAGGAGGTTATTTTATAAAAAAGAATGAAAATCTCACAGTCAAACGACGAAGCAACAGTCCGCGACAATTTTCGGCCTGACCACCGCCTTATCTTCCAAGCAGCTGTACAACATCCAGGGTAGGATAGGAGCCGACACCGTCGAGCACATGCACTACTTTTCGGAAATGGCCGTGGCGGCAAGCAGGCAGGGGAGCCACGACCAGGCGAAGAAACTGTCCAAGCCCTTTCAGTATTTGGAGTTGGTCGTGAGAGACTGGCCCTGCTTCGACGACGAGACCTTCGAGGACGAAGCGGTCTGCCGGGCCTACAATGTGCGAAAACAGCCCCCCGCGGGGGAGAGGTGGAGCGTGGACCTGTGCGAGAAGCAGATGCAGTGGCACTTGGACCAGCACTTCGGTACTGAAGATGTAGTTGATGGTTTACTTGAGAAACAAATTTCAGACACTGACTGTGTATATGGAATCAGACTGCGCGGTCGAATTTGAACTTCTTTCACGATGTTGTCAACTAGAAGGATGTACACATCGTCAAAACGAACCATGAGAACTTCGCATGGTGGTATTAAAAGCAAGGCATGATCTTTCACCGGCCCCCGCGTGACCACACCGACTGCGGCAACATCATTACAACAGGTTCCGACGTGAAGGAGCGGGAATCTATCGAAACGCTGTACGAAATGTTCGATGACATCAAGGCCTGGCTCTACCCCGCGCCAGGATTAAAAGTTTCCGAGAGTAAGAAGCGCAAGTGGGACGGGACCCTGGAGGAAATAGATGAGGACTTCGTCCGCTTCGTCGACCTCCACTGCCGCCGGACCTTCCGGGAGGTGCGAACACAACGGGTGTTCGGGACGGATTTGAGTCCGGACACCTTTGTCGACATCGTGGAAACGCTGGTCGGGGCCTTTCAAGGCATGGAGGTTTCCCAGATGAGCATGGTGGAGGCCATCGGGAAGGTAGAGATTGATAGGAATAAAGAAACAGCTGACTTTGTCATCCATGCAGCGTCACCCTGCCAAAGCCAATTTCTCATGCACGACAGGGATATGAGTTTGAGTATGTGAAACAAAACAAGAAAAAACATCTTCTTCAGGCCAAGAACCTCGCCAGCAAGGACGAGGCTGGGAAAGTGTACAAAAAGCACATGGATAAAATCATGTCTGCCGTACAGGCAAGGACAGGAAAAGACATGGACGAGCTCCAGAAGGACCACACAGCAGCATGGAAAAAAGCAATCGAGGTATTAAGTACTATGGCTATCACATTCACGCATTTATTTTTCAGCACGAGAGAATTTCCATTTCGTTCTGTGATCGAGTCGTGTGGATCTCAGAAAGAGAACAAACACAAATGCTTTAATATGTCAAAAATTATCAGTTTTACGACGATTCCGCGACTTTCGGCAATGTGGACGAGATAAGTGCGTCCAAGGAGGCGCTTTTGAAAGACCTCGATTTGATGTGGGAGCAGGTGAAGGAGGAGAATAACCGAAGAATGGAGAAGGCCCTCACCGCCTTCGCGGGCATCGCCTGTGTCGCGTTCACGGCCCTGATTCTCGATAAGATGTCCGACTACACCTGCGACTGGTGGAGCGACACGTGCGTGCAGGCAAGCAAAATCCTCGTGCTCTTTTACACCGCGGTGCTCGGGATACTGGGGTGGCAGGTGAATTTATTCGTAGTTGTTGCTGCGTCGTATAATTTTTACATGGAAAAACATGTCAGTGTCAGTCTACTGCTTTTGTACTATTAACGGATGAGGAGTAGGGGATTTACGGACGTGTTTCGTGGTCTCAATCTGCGAACAAGGAATCACGTATCAATTTTTTATTTCAACTTCAGATTTACAAGCTGCTCCAGACCCGGGGGCAGGCTGCTGTGGGCATTGCGGTGATCGAACTGGTATGCATTGCAAAAGTACTTATCGTATTCGTATAAATGCAATACAAATTTTCTCAGCGTGAGAAATAAAATTTGTAATGCAGATTTAGCTTAAGAAAGGGATTTGTAATGCATGACTGCAATACGAGTACGATACTTTTGCACAGGATAACTGGGCAAGCAGTGCGTCGTTTTGAGCCACCAGTGCTCCGTATCCTGAGTAAAAACGTACCCACACCAGAGTTGTAATGCAAATCTGCATGCTGAAAATGTTTCTCATGCGGAGCTCCATGAGAAGCATTTTCTAGTCGTGTTTTGCAATTTGTCATGCTCCAATCAGCATGGTATGCTAGATCTCTGATGCTGCTGAGCTAGCTCAAACAGCACTACACTACGAATCCAAATTTGTCATGCAAAACAGCCAAAACTTGTGGATTTGTCTAGCCGATTCCCCATCTTGACTCTGGTGTGGGTACGTTTTTACTCAGGATACTCCGACAAGGTTGTCTACTACGTGAAAAATATTGACGTCGCCAAGAAGGACGCACAGAAGGCGTACGAGTACGTCCAGAAAGCCTACGTCGAGCCGTTTTTGGTACCTGCCGGGGCCGCGGACAGCACTGCAACCACTTCCCCAACGAAGAAGACCGGGTCACCAAAACGCGGCGCTGCGAAGGCAAAGAAGGGCGACTGAAGCAGCGGCTACGTCAGCTTTTCTTTATTTTGTGTGTCATCAAATGAATTTGCGCGACAGATGATGTGATACTTGTAGATGGATCAAGCCAGGATCAGCGAGTGTAAACACCAGCAATGAATCCGCGCATGGATCATAATATGGACCTAATCATTTTATTTTTGGTTTTCTCTTCCCATGTTGACATGTTAACAGTAGCTCCCGCATCCGTCCGCCGCATAAGCTGTGCGGTCAAGAAGTGCGGAGCTTTTGAAACCTCCGCTACGCCCCAGTATTAAGTACCTTGCTCTACCCCAAAGCCTCGCTAAGAGGCTTTGTATTTCCTGGTAATACCCAAAACCCACACACGCCCGACACGCATTTCATTTACGACAAAGTGTTGCGAATGAATCCTTTCTGTCCACATGAGAGAAATACCTCAAAAATTTTCCAGAAACGAACCGAATGATGCGTTGTGAGAGAAACACAAACACCATGGTAAAAATAAAATTTTCCGAAGAACATCAAAAGATTTAGGTACAGCACCATTTCACGCTGGTCACACACCGAGGTAGAACTAGAAGTTTCACCTTTGTCGCGAAAGACAGGAGTTTGCTATATGTTGGCTAGTTTTCACTGATGTCCGGCAACAGTAGTTTTCGTGAAGTTTAAAGAGACAGATCGGCTGCATCGGTCAGTACAACACGCCGATGGGCAACATTACTCCGTAAGCATGTTTATTGTAGTGATTCCGAGCTTGACCTTGAGCCTTGAACTTGATCGAGATCGTAGACAAGAATACAGGACTTCCTCAACTAAAAAATATGTTCAAATGCAGGTCACCACCGTTTGCGTTTGTGTACCCGCTCGATGTAGTCCCCTCGGTTTTGAGTTTTTGGTATACCCAATTCTGTTCCCTCTTCCAAAGCCGAAATAAAGCCGCAGTTATTCATCTCCCACGACCTGTCTACTTCTTTACAAAAATATTTCATGCTCCACCAATCCCTGACCGTCCCTATCCCCAAATGTTGAATTGTTCCCTCGCCCTCGGCCGCTGGCGCCGCCGCGACGGCGTGGTTGAATATGAAGTAGAAATTTCGTACAACGACAGCGCTCTTTTGGATCGCCGTTGGAAGCGGTACAGCGAATTCTTGATTTTCCAGAAAGTTCTCCTACTCAAACTCGATAAGCAGCACCGGGCGACGGTCCCGACGATGGGCACCGACAACCATTTTGGCAACATTGTGAAACTACGGGATGACTTGCGGAACCTGTTCCCGGGCCGAAACTCAAAAAGACTTCTATTCCTTCGAAAGTACCTCCGTATCGTCGGAACCGCGGTCTCCGCTCGGCAAGCGCACTGGCGCTTTTTCGGGAAAAAGGCGACTGAGTGGGAGCATGCGATGCTGGATGATAGGGAGGCCCAGCTGAAAAAATGGCTAGAAAAGATCATGCTGCAGATTCAGGGAAAAGACGATAATATTGCAGCTCGTAATGAAGATGATGAAAATCTCCTGCAGAGAGCGACTTCCAACTTCGACCCGCAGTTGTCAAAACTCTTACAGGAGCACATCGTGCGGCTTTTCGGGTTGGCGGACTTCGCCCCGCCCTGCGGACCGCGGTTTCTGTTGTCCAATTGCGGTGTGAAGTGCGCGACCAGGGTGTTGCCCTGGACGGGTATGGAAAGCTCATGGAGGAGCCTTGAGGTGGTGAAGCAGGATTCTACAGTCAAATCACGGCGCTCGTCGAGTAGTAGTGTCTCCTCCTCCTCACCAACGTCTACTTCATGGCAGCTGTCTATCCGAAACGAGGGCGAAGCAACTTTTTCCCCAGCGTCTATTACGCCCGTCTCTGGCGCACAGGGAGGTGGTTTGGACCTGGATGTCTCCCCATCTGCGCAATCCACGGCCTCGACGACTGCCTCCTTGCAGATGGCCGGTAGTGATGTTGATGACGTCAACGCCGAGAATCGTGGTACGCCGCGGGACGACCAATATGGGCATGGCAGCAGAAATACCGTTATTAATACCGACGCCAGTAAAGTATCGTCGCACGATGACCACAGTAGAAATGATAGCGAATTTGTTAACTCGACGCATAAGCGCAGCAGCTCGTCGTCTTCGTCCTTATCGTCTCCCAATGTCACTCTGAAAATAGACAACATGCTGGACCGGGTTCGCGATTGTCTGGAAGTGGATGACCGAACGAACGCAAGCGACCTGACATCTAGAAGCGCAACCACGACAGTAGAGGATGACAAACTGACCTTTTTTTCCCCACGCCCTGATTTCGCTTTTGACACGATGTTGAGCCCTGTTTCTAAAAATACAGATGAAGGCGTCGAGCGGGGTAGGGCCATCATGGCAGAGCGGAAAATGAAAAATCCGAATTATCTTTTGAACCGGCTGAGCACGATAACTCTCGATATTCGCGAGTTTTTGGCGCCAGACAGGTGGACCTTAGCATCATCGATAACGTCGTATTCGAGCGCTGGAAGTGGTCGGCACAGCAGTACGACGAATATCAACACCGCATCCTCAACAGCTAGTTTGGGTGTTTCCGTTTCTTCCTTCGTGTTGGACCTGAGCTTTTCTCTAGGCTTGTGCATCCCGCCCGTGGAGGCGGTTGAGATAAGTGTACGGAGCTGCATCGTGGAAGATGAACACCGAGCAGGCCGTCTTTCCGAAAGTGCAGCTGCGCCTGTGCCTGGAACCAGAAAGGGTGAGGAAGTCGGATCGGCTTTTCTCGAAACGCAACGGCAAGACGCCAGAAGGACTGCTGGATCACAAGGTAAATCACTTGAAGAGCGTCAACATTGCATCACAGAGCAGTCCTGGGAGTTCCCGGTCGGGGGCGGAAACTTGCTCTCGACGCAACTACCAAGGAGCCAGGCACATGCAGCCCCAACGCAAGCGGACAGGCAAGTCGACGTCGCCTCAGCTGGCGATGGCGCAAAAAATATTGAGCTCGGGAACGCAGGAGTTACGGTTGAAAGGGGCCAAAATGGCTGGCTCTGCACGCGACCCGAGAAATTGTCGCCGGTGGCACAGCAGCAGCAGGTCGTAAAAAGGACAAATTCGACGTCATCAACTGACTGCAGAAACACACCTTTGACGCTCGATCAAGACGTGTGGCATACCCAGATTATCGGAAGCTTTTCAGAGATTCTTGCGCCAGGCGGGTGTGATCTCGCGGAACCTGCAGGAACGACAGGACCAAGAGGAGGACAACTTCCGCTCCGAGAATTGGAAACAACGACCCGCGGTCGTCCGTCAGCTAATTTGCTCAGAAAATTGGAAGTGCGGTTGAAGTCCAAAAATTTTTGCGGAAAGAGTCCTGTGCCGATGGAGTGCTTCTCGGTATACCTGCCTGTCGTATCGGAAAGTTAGTGCGTAGCATGTAGTTTTTGCAAAGATTTTCTTACACCGAGAAAGGTTTAGATTCAACAGAGGTGCAAGTATTTCCATTTGTCAGTAGTGTATAACAAGAAAGATGAAACTATAAAACAGCACCGACCTGATTTCTTCGAGGAAAAAAGATCTGATTGTTTCGAAAACTTCGCTGAAGCTCTTGTACGATGATGTCATCAATGTGAACATCAAAGTGAAGAGGAAAACCGAGGCTAATTGCCAATCGTCGTCTAGAGATACCTTCAGCATCAAAGTTGTGTTTAAGACCACGAGCGGTACGCAAGCCCCTGTCTGATGATTCAGCGTTTTTTTGATCTCAGTAATTGTCCACCTCCAGGTTGATTTTGGTTGCCTCAGGTGGCGGCGTTTTTTACACGAGATCAATGCAGCGTTTCTTTTCTTTAGCGAGGCTGACTTGGATAGTCGGAAGTGTATCTGTTTGTGGAACCTCCATGCATCACGCTTAGAATTTAAACATGCCAAAAACAACATAAGTGAGGAAGTTGAATTGACGAACCTTCTAGCCATATAGATCATACATGGCATCGGGCCGGGGGACAACTTAAATCTTCGAAGTGTGATGATGCAAACCTTGCGTTACAGTCACGAACCTTTGACCAAGAAAAGCAAACGGCGACCTAAAGTGTGTGAACAAAAAATACTAGCGCAAACACAGCAGAATATTTCGAATTATTTTGCAAAGCTGCTTGAGAAATAACAGATCCTTATCACAGTTGTTTTCTTCAAAATCAGTGCGAATCTTCTCAGTTGCAGTTCACCACACATCCATAACAAAATGGCCGCCCCGGTTCCGGTGGAGCGGCTGTTCCCGCACCTCTACGAGTGGCTCGCGGCCAAACCCGGAGGCCATATTCTGAACGCGCCCGACGTCGGCTACCTGGAGGCCAAGCTGGGTCCGCGGCTCACGAAGCGGTTTGTGGACAAGATGGCGAAGGACCAGCTGGAAATGCTGGAGTGGTGCGAGAAAAAGTTGAAAATGGATCCGGCCTACAGGCAAGAGCCGGATGCGACCGCGCAGGCGAAGAAGATGCAGTCTTTGGGGAATCAGATGAAGAAGACGGAAGGGCTCTTTGCCCCCTTGCTGAACGGCACGAAGCGTCCGTGGGAAAGGTTCCAAGCGGACGGAAGGTAGCACTCTTGGTGTAGTCGTCGTGTATGGGTTTTTAATACCGTAGTTGCGCTTACAAAAATTGTAGTCTGTCGTGAAAACGAGTGCTCTGACGCAGAAGCACTATCCACCATGAAAACAAATATAACACACATTCATAGTAGTTGCGCTGCGCTTGCATGAAGTAGTTGTTGTGAGTAGTATTTTGTCCTCACCACAGGCCCCCCTTAGTGGAGGACTTCGAACCGAACGATCGCGAGACGGTGCGGAAGGCGTACCAAGAAGCCGTCCTGTATCACAAGGAAAAATCCCCCCTTTCCATATCGAAAACGGAATTTGTGATGCTGTATTTGAGTACACAAATCGACTTGTAATGCTAGAAAGCCAAGAGACGCAGCTGTGGCCTCGTTTGCAGGCAATTTGTCATGCTGTTTCCCACTTCCAGCTGCTTCGTGTCATGCTGAAGATGCAAGGCTTCCCCACGCCACCCAGCACTACAGTCCGCTCTTTTCCCTTCTAGCATGACAAAGCTGATTTGTGACCACAAATCTGCATCACAAATTTCTAGTCTGAGTATGGGGTGGGGGGATTTTTCACTCTGATATCCTGCCCGCGACGTTCATCCGGGAGGAATGTTCGAAGGGGTACTATTTATGAAATGTAAAAATGTCTGGGTCTGGAAGAATGCAACTTGTCATGCTAAATCTGAAGCATGTAAAAATCTGTGTTGCAGTCCCGACCCAAGTGGGAGGCGCTTAGGGTGAACTATGTATGTAGCGCTTAGGGCCCTTCCGTACGGCCAATTTGTATGTCCCGCAACGGGGTTCGCCTAAGTCGATCATTTGTATGCAAGGCGTTGGGTTACCCGGTCGGCAGAGCCGATCCACAACGAACGAATGACTACCAAAAGTCGTCCAGTTTTGACCAAGTCGGCAGGGAGTTTCTCATGCAGGATAGGCATGAGAGAGATCGCACAGAATCTGTCATGCTAGGTCCTGCATTCCAGACCTCATCGGTCATGGAAAATCTGCATGACAAATCGCGCGTTCTTCCAGACCCAGATGACATTTTTACACTTGATACTACTACGGCGTGTACAAGATCATCGACCCAGTCACGGACACGGCCCTCGACGGACGCGACGAGTACAAGCAGTTCTACTGCTGGCTGTGCCGCAAGCGCTACAGCCTCGATGGCGGCGAACTGGAGCAGCACCTGAACAGCAAGGACCACCGGCGGAAGTGCGACGGCATGAAGGCGGACCCCAGTTGGATGAAGGACTACGTCGGGTATTTTAAAGCGGGCCGGGAACTTTTGTTCACCACGAACGGAGAGGAGTGCAGGGTCGGGGTCGAGGCTCCTGGGCCAGTTGAAGAAGAAATGGAGATGGACAGGTAGTATGAAGTACGTGGCTTCTACTTCTTTGCGGAGGTCGTAGTTGTAGTTGTTGTGCATAGCAAAGTGTTGTTGTCTTGTTTTGCGTGCATGACAAAAAACCACGAATTCTTCAATTTACCTCTCACAGTCCGAGTCCGGTCCAAGTCCACCCGGGGAAAAGTACTTCCTCTACTACCCGCGGCCCACCAAAACGCGCCGAGGAAGCGGGGTCCGGGTCCAGGGGCTCCTGGGAGGAAATGATGACGCCCAAAACGACCGTGATGCACGAGGAGGATGAGGTGGAAACTGACGCACGGTACTTGGTTCCCATGCCAACAACTACAAACAAGCAGGACCAAAACGACGGAGACCACAAGAAGACGCTGTCCAACAAGAAATCCGAGGCAAGCAGCTCGAACTTCCAAACCACTCCGAGCGACAACTATGCGGAGGAGGACAGCAGAGACAGGTCCTCCTCGTCCGCGACGAACAAAGGCAAAGGGAAAAGCAAGGAAGAGATGATTTTCGCGATGATGAAGGCAAAAGGTAAGGGTGGTAAGTTCGAACAAGGAAAAAAAGGTGGCGAAGATAATGAAGAAGACCACCGAAGCGACGGGGAGAACAACAACAAGTCGTACAAGGGAAAAAAAGCGATGTTCTCCGGCGCCGGCGGGGGCAAAAAAGGCGACGGCGACACCGACGATGAAAAATGCCGGTACAACTACGGGAAGCAGGGAAAAGTAGTAGATGAAGCTGATGAGCATAAGGGGATGAAAAAAGGGGTAACAACATCTTCAAGGCGCTATTCCGACGATTCTTCCGACGCCGGGTATGACTACAAAGGGGCGAAGCTGAAAGGGAAGGGGAAAGGCGGGGAGAACTACACGGCTGCAGACTTGACGTCAGAAAGAATTTCCGATGCACCACCAGCGGCGGAAGAGGAACAGCAAAACCGTGGGCGCAGCAATTACCTCCACTCGGAGTCGGAGCGGAAGTTCGACGAGCGACCCGAAGAGCACCACGACATCAGCGAGGTCCGGAAAGGCGACTGGGAATGGCAGAAAGCGACGACGTACGACACCAATTACTACTACCACAAGGGCAAGGACGCGTGGAGCAGGCGGTTGGCGAATGGCGGCAAGAACGGTTACACGCCCGGCGACATCGAGAACGCGATGGAGACCAAGGGGCAGGAGAACTGCTTCCGGATTTTCCTCCAGAAGGGGAAATGGAAGCATCACATGGCGATGGAGAGCGCTGGCGAACGCAGCAGGGCGGTCGATGTGGAAGGAAAGTCCAAAGGGGGTGGAGGACCACCAGCAGAACTCCAAGGAGAAAGGCGCCCGAGTTCCTCGGCTGCGCCGGTAGAGGAGCCAGCGCGGGAGCAGACGCCAGTTACTTGCTCTCCACGATCGGCCGCGCGGTTAGCAGTCGAAAGAGGAGTTGCGGACGCAGAACAGATGTACTCGAACCCCTACCAGTATGCAACAAAAAAAGATTGTAGCTGTAAGTGTAAGTATGCTTCTTGTACGGAACACCATTACATACAGGCATGACAGAAAAATAAACCTGTCATGCGCAGATAGTAAGTACGTAGAAACGCACTTGAATGGGGAAGATGAACCCTATAAATAAGCACGACCAGCAGCATGCTGACGGACGCCATGTCAATGATCTTGCATGTTGCGCACCACCATCACAAAGTTAAAACTACCATCTACTCTTTTTGTTGGATAGCCATCCGTTCGTCCCCAACCCGGCAAGGAACATCACGAACCCGGGGGACCAGCTTGCAAGAGAGCAAGTCCCGGACTACTGCATCTGCTGTGCTTTGGATTTGGTGGAAGACGATGGTAATGGGCAGCAACTGGAGGATGACCCGCGGCTGCCGACACTTGGTAGGAGCAAGGTATCGAGTGACTTCTTGTTCTTAATTGTTTCAAGCCAGCGGCGCATGGCGATCTTCACTCATATCCACTTACTTGAAAAGAAGCTACATCATCCCTTTTCCCACGCTCGCCTTCGTGGAAACGTGATGCCGATGAAAATGCGCAGACGAGACTCATTGTCTTCACTCCGGGAATGGGAAGTAGACGTTTATGTCCTTAGTGTCAACATACCACTTGCGCAGTTTATTCAATTTTGATATATACGAAATATGAAACAGATTTCCATTCCGTGCACGCCCGAGACGTTCATCCAGCAAGTGCGGGCAGCACCGGAGAAGTTTCCGAGTGTGGGTCTGTTGGATGACGAGTCCATGGCGGGCATTTCGCAGCTTTTCTGCAACGCCTATGGCCACGGTTACGACTTCATGAAGTTCTACAAGAAGTTGCTTCTCGCGAAGATTCGAAAACGGAGCCGGGAGTTGGCGGAGCGGGAAGCCGGGGGAAATTAGGTCGAGGGAAAAAGTCATCATTTTGCAGCAGGAGAAGTTCGCAGACCGATATTCATATTTCTTTGAAGAAGAAAAAAAAACCCGACGACCAAAGCGGAAATGACCTTTTTTGAGCTCTACTGTGGCTGGCCAATATTAACGAACAGGATTCTTATTTTATATTAAGCGAAGAAAATGTCCACACTGAAGATGTGAATTTGAATGCTTCGACGGACTCAGGGCTCAATATTCAGTAAACTGGATAACGATGTTTCTTGCTTTCAGAAAATGAACGGATAGACCACGAGAAGCAGCAGCAGTTGGGCCGGTCTATTACAAGGGTTGGATAAAATTTGCGAGCTACGAATAGGCTGTGTGTCTTTGATGGCAAGTTTGCTAGGCTACAGCGTGCGCAATATTGCATTTTTGCAGCCATCTTTTCATGTTCGTCGTGGCGACCGTATTTTTGCAACTCAATGTGCATGTGGCAGATGTGCTGCTTGTTGATCTGTATTTTCCAAGCAGCTCCATCGTCTAATTTCTATTTGTATTTCTATCACTATTTGGAATAGCCTTCTGCCTTCCAGGAATCACCTCTCGTCGCCAGCGAAAAATAGAGGCGTCGTAAGCGTTAGCGAAGGGAAATATGTGGCTCAAATTTAATTTTCTACTTATTTCTTTTTCATTTGTTGCTCTTGTCTGATGGGGCGAGTTCTCCTATGATATTTTTTTCTTTTCGTCGATGAAGTAGAAAGAGTAAGACCGAGAAGTTTATCCGAACATTTTGTCCTCATTCTATTCAAAAACCATGACGAGCGGCGGGAACGAGCAGTTGCGCGTGGGCAAGTTTAAGGGCCGAACGTACCAGGATGTTTTCAACTCGGAAAAACATTATGTCACGTGGGCGCTTGGCTTACCGGGTCCGAGTGGGGAGATGCTCAAATTTCAAACCTACTGCAAGCAGGCCAGCGGCATGGGTGCCGACACCCGGGTCGGCGCACAGCCAGATGCCATGGTGCAGCCGGCGGCAAGCAGCTGGCAGTTGCCGTTCGGCCAGCAGCCGCAACAACCACAGCAGAGGCCCAACATCAATACGCAAGGGAGCAACGGGTCCTTTCCCGGCACGATAAACCAGCAAAATTTTGCAAATCAGAGTCAAAATCTCAACCAATCTTTCGGGCGGCCCGGTTCGCAAGCTAGCGGCTTCAGCAATAACCGACCGTCTTCCGGCGGGTTTTCACACCCGGGGACGAACACTCCGGGCGCGTTTGCCGGTGGCGGGTTCGGACAGCAGCAGGGGCAACACCAGGCTGGATTCGGTCAGCAAGGCTTCGGAGGTCCGGCGCAATTCGGCGGCGCGCCGTTTGGCAATGCTGCGGCTTCCTCCTCCTCAACACAATTTGGAGGAGGCGGCTTCGGGACACAGTTTGGAGCGGGCGGGGGACAATTCGGAGCATCAACTGGAAGTGGGCAGTTTGGGGGAGGACAGTTTGCAGCAGGTGGTGCGCCCGCGCCGAGTTCGCAGTTCGGATTTAGCCAACAGCCGCCACAGCAACAAATGCCTTCCATTGTTTCACAACCATGGGCGAACCGAGGTTATTAGCGCGCTTTGAATGTTTACGTAGTCGGTCGGAACACTTGCACTTCCTCCTAGCGTCAAATATTTTCCTTCAATTTATGTCATGGCAAAAGAGCACAGCTACGCACTGTCACTTTTTATTCCTGTTGTATCCACATGTCAACAAGTAGTCCAAGCGAAGAACGCAAAAATCCTCATCCTCAGGCAGCAGCGCGTCTTCCTCCGCTCAGCTCCCGAGCGCGTTTGCGCAAATGGCAGGCGCAGGCCTGGGCTCAGCGACATCGTCCTTCGCAATGAACGGTATCAACCACCCCCCTCCCCAAGCCCGTCCAGCAAACCAGCCCCTGATCTGCTTGAAGAACGAGGTGAATCTCGAGCTCACTGGGCACCACACCGTCGCGCTGAAGCTCTGCGGCTTTGAAGGCAGCGAGACGTACCGCGCGCTTCGCGATCTACTTCCCGGCGGCCAAATTCGGCGCGGGGTGACCAGCTGTCTCGAGTGGCCGATCAGTTACAAGGATGCCCTTCTTCAGTCGCTGAACAACCAGTTCCGACAACCCGAGGGCAACAACGAGGACGACATTGCGCCCTGGATCCAGAAAATCCAGACGTTGATCAAGCAGAAAGAAGAGCGGCAGGCGAGGAACCCGCCGATCAACGGGCACGTGTTTCACCACTTGCACAAATTTCAGGACGAGGGCGTGGCTTTCGCGGTGGGGAACAACGGGAAGTGCATTATCGGGGACGAGATGGGGTGCGGAAAGACGGTGCAGTCGCTCGCCACCGCCTGGTACTTCCGCGAGGACAGCTGGCCGGTCCTGGTCGTCTGCCCCTCCACCCTCCGCTCGGTGTGGGCCGATGAGGTGGAGCAGTGGCTGACCGACCCGATGATGCAGTACAAGGGGCGCAAGCCCGTGGCGCAGGTAATCAAAAAGGGCGCGGACAAACTCGACCAGAACGCCGACTTCGTCATTGTCAGCTACGCGCTGCTCGCGTCAAAGGACCATTTTAAAAAGTCCGCGGCGGGACTCCCCTGGAAGATGCTCATTGCGGATGAGGCGCACTACATCAAGGACCCGAAATCAAAGCGGGGCGAAGTGGTTTTGAAAATCGCCAAAGACGCAAAGCTATCCACGGCAAAAGTGTCGTACTCGTACTAATTGCAATGTTGCGTGACAAATCTACTTTGTATTTGTTTAGCTGAATCAGCATTACAAAGTTTGTTTTCCTTACTGAGAAAATTTGTGATGCAATCTGTACTAATAGATAAGATGACGATACTTTTGGTTTTGCAAGGCATAAAAGCGGGCGATCCTCCTGTCCGGCACACCGGCGCTGAACCAGGCTGCAGAACTCTACCCGCTGCTGGATATCGTGTTGCCACCCAAGTCCATCCCTAACCAAACGCAGTACCAGAAGCGGTTCTGCTTCAAAATCGAGCAGAACTTCGGGGGCAGACGGGTGATCAACTGGAAGGGGGCGAAGCGGACGGAGGAGCTGCATTTCATCCTGCAGAGCTGCATGATCCGGCGGCTGAAGTCCGAAGTGTTGAGCCAGCTGCCCCCGTATCAAATGCAAAAATGTCTGGATGTGGAAGAATGCGAGATCTGTTTATGCAGTTTTTGCATGAGCCAGATCGTCTGGCATGCAAGCTCTAGCATCACAGATTTTGAGCGGGTATCCCGATGCCTAATCCGCATGACAAATCCCCTCTCTCGGAAACAAAAGGCGCGGCCTTTTGCTGGCCATGCGTGACAGATTTTCTCATGCTGTAGACTTCGCATCACAAATTCGAATCCTCCCAGACCCAGACATATTTGCAATTCATACCCCGAAGACCCGGTCGAAGGTGCGCCTCCAGCAGGACGAACTCGACAAGGGAAAGCTGAAGGAACTGCAAAAAACGATCAAAATGCAGGAGGAAGCCATGGAATACGCCATGGAACAGGGAGAGGTACTTAGAGGTCTTTGTTCTGTTTGAATTGGCATAATTTTTTGTTCAGATCATGATGTACATAGTGACAATCAATTTTATAATTTCAATGAAAAGTTTGTCCGCGACTCGCACTACGTCATTGTTAAAGTTATCTTTTTAGCATCAGCTGTTGTACTCAATTCATCGATCATCAATCTGTCACCCTCGTCGATCATGGCAAAAATCCACAACCCATCCCAACAGGGTCGCGGTCCCTCGCCCCAGATGATGAAACTTTTCCAGCTCACGGGGGAAGCCAAGGTTCCAGCGGTAATTTCCTTTCTGACGGAGCTTCTCGAGAACAGTCCGAAGGAGAAGAAGTTTCTGATTTTCGCGCACCACATGGCGGTTTTGGACGCGATTGACGACGCGCTGCAGACAAAAATCAAGATTGACAAGCAGGCAATCGGGTTCATGCGGATCGACGGCCGGACGCCGCAAGACGCAAGGGGGAAACTGGTGCACGAATTCCAGGAAACACCGGAAGTCCGGGTCGCGGTGTTGAGCATCACGGCATGCGGTATAATAATTTTATCTTCATCTGTACTGTTAAACCTAAGCTCAAGTTGCGTTTCTACCGCGGCTGCTGCGACATTTAGCCGCGCGCGGTGTCTTCACTTTATTCCGATGAAGATTCTGCCACAGTACCGGTTGCCTTTCATCTGTTTCATATCGATACATGATTGCCATACGATTACGAAGGAACAAAACGAAATTTTCCTCGCAGGTACCGGGCTGACGCTTACGGCTTCCGACCACGTGATTTTTGCGGAGCTGTACTGGGTTCCCGGACAGATGATGCAGGCGGAGGACCGGGTGCACCGCATCGGGCAGACCAATAACGTCACCATCCAGTACCTCTGCGCCCCGGACACCGTGGACGAAAAAATGTTCAAAATGCTCGACCGGAAGCGGCAAGATACGAGCGCGGTGGTGGACGGGCGGAATGAGAAAATGGATCTGGAAGACACCACGCACCAACCCCTGCCGAAGCGACAAAGAGTCGAGGAAACGAGCGACGACGAACCGGAGATCGTGGAAGTGGTGGGAGAGGGCGGGAACAAAAATCCTGCACGACCAGAACAGAAGCCTAGAAATAATTCACAGCAGAACAAGCGGCAGCCGAAGATAACGGATTTCTTGCAACAGAAGGCGGGAGCAGGAAACCAGGCACAACCGACAAAAGCTGCTGTAGTTCATCCTTCAGCTGCACCTCCGCACCCGAAGCAGCCTGTATCAAATGTGAAAATGTCTGGGTCTGGAAGATTCCGAGATTTGTCATGCAGTTTTTCCAAGCTCCACCAAGTCTGGAATGCAGGGCCTAGCATCACAGGATCTGCAGCCCCTCTGTGATGCCTGTTCTGCATGAGAAATGCCCCTTCAGCATGGCCAGAAATGAGCACCTTTTGCAAGTCACGCAACACAGATTTTTGTATGATGCGCAACATGCATCACAAGTTGCATTCTTCCAGACCCAGACATTTTTGCATTTGATAGCCTGTAGTTGGAGCAGATGAAAACGCACTTGAAACCGGGGACCATCTGGTATGGCGTTCTCAAAAGTTACATTCTCAACTGTTACATGAATTTGTAATGCAAGACTGGCACAGGTGAGAGGGAGAGCCTTGCGCGTCTTGCATTACAGGTTTGGTGCGGATTACAGTGCTGTTTATCTTCCCTCCGAGAATTTATCATGCGCAGCAGCTTGATCGTCTGGCGGGTCATGGTCACTCTGCATTACAAATGATGTAACAGTTGAGAACGCCATATCTGGCAGCAGTTGCTGGACTACACCCAAGATCCTCTTCTGATGAATTCGGGTTTGGCGCCAAGCTGGGCGACTTCGCTCTCGGAAAGAACGAGTTCAAGACGACGCAGTGAACAAAGAACGGTGATGGTCGAGTATGTTGACTTCGACTTCCATTCGGGTTTGCTATTCCGAACTGTGTGTCCTGTTGTAGACGGACGAGCACGAAGATAATATACCAAGTTTCATCTCAGTCGCAGTATACGTACATCAATCAAGTCATTTTATTCCAACGCTGTTGTTGATCACATCTACTACGCAAGGACGTAAAGATAATCCGAACGTCGACATTTTTTCTAGACATCACCGCTGTAAAGATTGCGCACCTGCTGCTGCTGTTGCAATACTACGTGACTCATCTTGTTTGCCTTCGCGAGGAGCAATATTAGAGTTCTGTTCTTCTTGATAGTGATAGAGGGTACCCGCCAAAGTCTTCCGTTCCTTCGATGTGAGCGAAGAGTGAGAAACATGTGGCACTTTTTAGCGAGAACCGGTTTGAAGGGCAATTATGTCGTACTTGTACGTTTTTTTATTTTCAATGCTGGTTGTGTGTCCTACTAACTCCTACTTCTACTAGTATATCCCGTCCTCGTCGAACTTCGTCAACATTAATTGTGTGCGTTTTTGGGTGGGAGAGAGCCAGAGCCGTAAAAAGCCTAAGTTATAGGTGACTCGTCGTCAGAAGTATCGTCATCGTAATAGCTTGCCGGTATCAACACCAGAGCGGTGCCACCTTCTGGTTGTACGTTGAACAATATCATCGTCATCACGTCTTCTTACCTAATATTTGACTTCAAAAACAATTTTGTGCCGCGATACGACAAACGACTACAGTTCTTTTTTTTTCGGGAACAAGGGAAAGAAAGAACAAGAGAAGTTGTCATACTGAAATCTAACGAAGCAAAACATGGCCTCATCGCAGGAATGGGTGCCTCCAAGCTTGGAGAGCATCATCAAGCGATTGCAGGAAGAGTGCTACCCGAAGAGGATCAGGCCTGCTGGTAATATTTTTGAAAAAATATGTGACAAGAGATTGATGCACGTCCTGTTGTTGTCCACGCATGACAAATTTCTTTTCGGAATTCATTCGAAATATCACAGATTTCTTCAAGGACTACGACCACTCCAGAAAATGCGAAATCACGGAGAGTCAGTTCATGAGGTATGCGATTACGAATTTAGATTTGTGTTTTGCTTATGCTCGATTTTGATTTTGCATGGCAATGCCAAACGAACCACAATGTTCTGCATGACAGTCTGTCAGAGGGAAATGCAAAACAAAAACTATATCAGGTGCATGAAGCTGTTGATGCCGACCTTGACGCCAATCGACTGGGAGGTGCTGATCGCCGCCTACAAACTGCCATCCGGCTTGGTGCACTACAAGCCATTGGTGGATGAGGTATGTCATCAAGTATGTTTTTTACAAATAGAAAAACATCTTCTTCACTGCATGCTAAAGAAACCTTGCATTTCAATTTCTTGAACTCTTGCTTGAGATGAATTTCACTCGTATAATTACAGATCGAGAAGATCTTCACCACGGTTGGTCTGCACCAAAAAGACCCAACGACCTCGGTCCCGGCTGCGGGGTCTGGGATGACGAAGCACGAGCTCCCACCTCTGGACGACTATGCATTGCAAAAGTATGGTACTCGTATAAATGCATGACAAATTTTCTCAGTTTGAGAAATAAAATTTGTAATGCGGATTTACCTTGAGAAAGAGATTTGTAATGCATGACTGCAATTACTACGAGTGCGATACTTTTGCAGAGGATAACGACCGAATGCACGCAATTTTGTACAGGGTATAGAAGATGACAAAAGCCAACTTCATCTGATTTTCTTTTTTGAGCATGACAAAGGCATGGCCTGGTTATGTTACTTAGTGTGTTGTTCATCTTCACAAGCTTCAGCTTGGTTGAGCTTCATTAATATACCCACAACGTTTTTTCCACCAGGTCGCCCTGCTTTCTCGCACACGCGCCGTCGTCTTTAAATACGCTTTTGAAGACGCGGACAGGGGGCAGTCCACCTCGCTCTTGGTCCCCCGACGGGCGGGTAAGGTGACAGAAGCGCAGTTTCGCAGGTTTTTCCCCCTGTATTGAGAGGAAAAATCCCCCCTCCCCATACCAAAAAGGGGCACTACTGAAAATTTGTGATGCTGATTTGTGACCACAAATCGTCCCTGTATTGCAAGAGGGCAAAGCCAGAGAATCAGCCGCGTGTCGCAGGGACTTTGTAATGCTGTATCGCCTACAGAGGATATGCCTGCCTTGCTAGGTGCCTACAGTCAAATGCCCCTGCTCAGGCACTGCGTCTCCCTGCAGTCCTCTACTGCTAGACAGATTGGATTTGTGTACACAAATCCCGCATGACAGATTTCGGCTTTGATATGGGGAGGGGGGATTTTTCACTTTGATACTCTGCAGAAGGACTTTTCGGACGAGGAAATCACACTTCTGATCCACCGATTATGGCGTTCTCAAACGTTACATTATGAACTGTTACATGATTTGTCATGCAAAGTTCCATTCAGAATCGACATGATTAAGCTGCTTCGCATGACAAATTCCCGAAGGGCCAAACAGGCTGATAATCTGCGCCAAATCTGTCATGCAAAAGGCGCAATCTTCCCCGCCCCTTTCAGTTTTGCCATTCTTGCAGTACAGATTCATGTAACAGTTGAGAATGTAACGCTTGAGAACCCCATACCGATACAGGGATCCGGAGGGAAATGTGAACTACAAAGCCTTGCACGACGAGGTTACGGACCCAACGGCGATTGTCAAGGACCAGCCAGTGCCGACGTCAAGTATAATAATCGTTTACTGTCCTCTTTATGGGATTCTCAAACGCTAACGACCTGTTGTATCATACATGATTTGTCCTCTTGCAGAATCTTCACTATCGTTGCAAAATGAAAATCTTTCAGAATACATCCCCCCACCGGAGCTTGCCTTGCAAAAGTGGAGCCATGAGAAGTATTCCATTCTCGACCGGGTAACCGCAAAGATGATTGAGCTGCGAATCAAGCCAAATGACTACTTTCTGGACTTCGACCCATTGAGAAAAGGGTTCTGCACCACCGGACAGCTGGACACTGTTTTTGGTATAACTTCTAATTTGACTTAATATGCATGACAACGTGGTCCCGAAGATCATTTCGGACTGTTGCATGATATACAAGTTGAGATTTTTTTTATAGTAAACGTAATACCAAAACAGGTATCCTCGGCCTGAAATTCCTCCCGGCCGAGATGCGAGAACTGAAGGACATGTTATCCTGTGCAAAAGTGTCGTACTCGTACTAATTGCAGATATGCAAGACAAATTCAACTTTCTACCTGAAACAGCATGACAAATTGCATTTTTGTTCTTGGGAAAATTTGTAATGCAATTTATACTAGTACGATAGTTTTGCAATGCATACATGTTCTGCAGCGTCGATTTGAACCTGGAAATGTTCAACTACGCCGAGTTATGGATTGCAAACATGTCCGGGTCTGGAAGGTTGCAACTTGTCATGCTCTATCCGAAGCATGCAAAAATTTGTGTTGCATGAGTGCCAACAGCTGTCCACTTTGACTTTCGACCATGTTGGGAGGGAGTTTCTGACGCTGGATAGGCGCGACAGAGACCTCACAGAGTCTGTCATGCTAGGTTCCGCATTCCAGACCTCATGGGTCATGAAAAACCTGCATGACAAGTTTACACTCTTCCAGACCCAGACGTATTTGCATTTGATACGAGTTCTGCAAGCGAGTAAACAGTGCCTTCACGTACGACCAGGTCCACAAAGACCCATTGGCGCAAGTCCAGGTACAAACGCAATAAATGCTGCTTGGGTGAAAATAATATTTTTTTACTTGCAGAAGATATAATAGTGCCGGCATCGGTTTTCGTTCTACTCGTGCAGAAGTTGTGATGCACTTCCTCGCGTATGCGTTCTTTCAACGCAATTTTGAAATCCTCACATCAGATGCCCACTTCCGACTCCACCATGCCGTGTAGAAGATCGCGGGTCGAGCTCACTGACGTGGAGAAGGCAAAGATCGCGGACATCGAGTCGGGCGTGAGACTAATGGTCGCCAAGAAGCGGGTGCTGTTCATCAATGCGTTCAAGGACTTCGATCGTACCAACCAGGGTCATATCAAATGCAAATAAAATATGTCTGGGTCTGGGAGATTGCGAGATTTGTCATGCTAGTCTGGCATGACTCTGAACGCTGTGTTGCATGGCCGCGAAGAGCTCCTCCTCCCTGTCATGCAAAAACGCAGTTTGTCATGCGGAATACGCAACTACTCAGAACCATGAAAAAAACTTGTCATGCTTGGCAGCGAATCATAGTGAGTTCACTATTCCCTTTCTTGCATCTTCACAAGTTTCCAGACCCAGACATTTTTGCAATGCATAGGTCACGTCACCGTCAATCAGTTCCAGCGCGTGATGGCCACGCTGAACTTGCTATCAAAATGAAAAATCCCCACTCCCCATATTGAAACGTAAATTTCTGTTGCTGGATTAGGATTTGTGTACACAATTCAGCTCTGTCTTGCAACGAGGCACTGCAGGCAAAGCCTCAGGCTGCGTAGGGCTGTTTCTGTGTAGGTGCTTAGCATAGCAGAGGCCTTCGATGTAGGCGTAACAGCATTACAAATCGCCGGCATAAAACGGCGGACTCTTTGCATTTGCCCCCTTGCAAGAGAGACAGGATTTGTGGTTACAAATCAGCATCGCAAATTTTTAGCAGCATGCCTTTTCAGTATGGGGAGCAGGGGGGATTTATTTTCCCTACGATACTTGCTCTCCAGTCAGGACGACACACCACTGAAACTGCTGGCCAAGAAATACTGCGACTTGGGTACAGCTTCCTATAGTTGTTTCTCGGGTTCTTTGTGAAGATCTGCAATGGTCGTGAGCAAGTGCATGTGCAGCAGCATGCATCGCGAAGCCATTTTTTCAAATAAAAAAGAAGTACTGCTTCGCGATAAAAAATACACGACCAGCATTTATTTTTCCCCAAAAAAAACCTCTACAACTCCAGGCTCCCCGCACTACTTCAACTACGTCGAGTTTTCGCGCGTGTGCGAGCCGCCAGAACCGGATCTGGTGCTGGCCGAGGCCCAGGCCAAGCTGCCGTACGAAAAGCCGCAGGCATCGCGGTACTTCAACCAGAATGGTTTCGTTTACAACGTCACCGACGGGCGCTTCAAGGGCGGAGACTAAGCGCGAATTCGTTTTTTGTACGAAAAAACACACGTCCACGGTGGAATATAAAACGGTTTCGAAGGAAAAAAAGTTTCGCAGAACGGAACGAGAACAGCAGAAAACTTGTACCATATTAGACAAAGTAGACAGACTCAACTTCCAGCAGAGTAGTTTCGAAGGAATCATGAGATCAGGACAAAGTGAATCAGACAAAAAGAACAGTCAGATATGAACTGTTGTATGACCATCAGACTTTGATATTAAGCAAACTTTAGCAGATGAATCTTAAGCAGAAAATAATCAGAACCTAAATTACGACTACCGGAATATGTTTCGCGAAAAGTCACAGAACTTTCTAGGAATCATTTATGGTCGTGTACGTACTGTCTCTGTCTATAGAAGTACTACACTCGCACCCAGAATGGCCATCGTTAGAATTTTATTCAGAGCAGAGTTAATGTTAAATCAGACTTCAGTCGGCGTTTGATCGTGAGCATAAACATTTTTAAGCGTGAGTATACTACTATCAGGCTGTAGTTATTGTACTTTAAACATCACAAACCGTCAGTCGCAAATGGGATAATATGCTCTTTATCTTCATCTCCAGACCTTTTCTCGTGTCACAGTATAGTTTTGAGAAAATGAACACCAGGACCGGCAGTACTAACAAAACCGTGATAACCAGCTACTTCTGAGTATGAGAATAAAGCTTATCTTCTAGTCAGTATCGTGTGGGAATTACTCGTCCTTGCTCTCCGCAACTTCTTTCCGTTTCCCCGGACGACTCTTCTGCGACACGCCAGGACCGCCGCTTCTGATCGCACGATTTTATTTCCACTGACAGCAGTCGGTAAAGTGACCCTTTGCTGCGCTTGAAGAAGATGAAGAAGAAAAAAATAGAGCGAAAATCTAAATTCTGAATGGTAGAGAAAACAACTTCCGTTCTTTTTTGAATCATGGGTTCTGATCTGCTTGACTTTTTTCCTGTGGTTTTACAGGTTGCCTCCCGGATGATCAAAAAAATAATGCAAATTCGAAAAAACAAGGCGCCATGTAGCGGAGACCGTCGATCGATAATCCGATCCTCGCCATCGGCTGAAATCAATAGTAAAAAAGAAGAACCCACTATAATGGATTCGTTCGTCAGAGAGAAAATCAGTTGCCATCTTCGCTCAAATAAAAGCAGGCGGCACCCAGAGCGACTCCTACGGATAGTCTTTTTTTTGCTTCGTGGCGACAAGCTGTTGAGACTACTTTATTCATTGTTTTTCTTTTTGTCGGAAATGTAAGGCTAAGGGCAACAAGCAAAATGAGCGTGAACAACAAAGCTGTCAACAGGGAACCATCCTTAAAGACGGCCGACGCCGTCGCCGCCAGTCCCCGCCCGTTACCGACATCACTGCTGGAGGACCACGGTGCTGTTCTCTGCGCGAGGACCGAAACCCCGCAAAGAGCAACCAGACCGAAGCCAGAAGACCCCATAACAGGTTCCAAAGTTGCGGGCGTGAAAAAAATTTTGTCTCCACCCAGGAACTCCTCCACAGCAGAGGCCGATCATCATGTTGTGGCCTCTACTTCCGTGCAAGAAAGAGGCACGACTGCGGGTGGTGGAACAAAAAGGAGTTTGTCCTCGAGTGCCATCTTCGAGGCCTCATCGTGTTCGACAACTCCTTCGTCAACATCAGCGGCTGACGTCGAATCAGCACAGAATAAATTTGACATCAACGCGCTCCTTACGCCAGTGATCGTAACCTCCCCGATCAAGTCCCAGCCCTCCACGGAGATGCTCGAGCAGACCGCGTACAGCTTTTTCCGCGCCTGTCCGGATTACAAGAGGCAAATCGTGGTCGCGTGCGACGGTTACTACGTGAAAGACAATGTGAACGAAAACAAACGGTGCTACGGTGCGGTTTCCGCCGCCCAAGCGGAGAGGTACGAGGCTTACATGGAAAAATTGGAAAACCACCCAGACCTTGCGAAATTTTTCAAAGTCCTACGACCCGAGAGTAGATCTCGGCCAGATGTGGATGGAAATGGGGTCGTGGAGCCCGACGTCGCGCGGAAGATGACTGCGAAAAATTCATCGTATTCGTCGTCCCACGTCGGGTTCGCCTGGACTTTACAACGCGCCATCCGCGAGCTCGTGCCTACAAAATTGGTGATGGTGCTGCCCCACGACGTGCGGTTCGATGACAAGTTTAACGGCGAGAAGATCTGCCAGGCGTGCGATCTGATCATGAGGACAACTTCAACTGGGGATCATGGTTGTGACGTGCCTCTTCAGGAGGTCGTGAACAAAGATTGCAGTCGTGTATTAACTCAGCATCGTCCGAAGATCAACTACGTCGGATTCCTGTCCGGGCGCACGGCGAATCTACAGCAGAGGTACTGGGAAAAGGCTGGCCTGTATCTGCAGAAACAGGTGGAGATCGCGTTTCCGGGGGAGGGCACAAGGGCGAAGCCAGTTGACCTGCAGCCCTTGCCAATCTGGAAGGAGAACCCGCACATTGCTTCGGTCGCGAAATACGAGGAATTTATCTTTTCTGGGAAGTTCAAAAGAATCAAAAGAGGGCAATTTATCGAGGAAACGGTCGGGCAGGAGATGCTGTCGCAGATGAAGGCGCTGGCGGCGAGCGGCACTGACGAGGGGAAACACAAAGCGCGGGAACTGCATCGGAACCACTTCGGGTGCTACTTGCTCTGCGACGACGAGGTTGCGGCGACGCGGCACTTGGACGGCAGGTGCTACGTGCCGGTGCAGGAGAGGAAAGAGCGGGGTTGGGTGGTCGACGACGCGGACTTTGTCGAGGACTGCACGAGACATTTTTACGGACGAGGTACTCCTGTTATAGTGGCCGGGGCAAAAAACGCAGACGGCGAAGTTCACACGGAATCACCTTCAATGCGCTCGGCATGTATAGTAGGAAACGAAGCAGCAGATCAAGAGCAGGTCGAGGACGAAAATCAAAATCCACGAGAAATCGAAGATGAATCAACAGATAACATAACGGTCTAGAGTGAGATTCAATGTTGGACCAGAGTTTGTAAGAGCAAAGCAAGGTGGAAACGAAAAGGCGACTTTCACCAGGCAGAAACTGCTGGAAACTAAGTGATAAACAGCCCATATCCCAGGCTATACGTTTGGCAGGACGCCACTTAACAACATGCGTCAGTGCCTGTTCCGAAAAATCTTACTGCAGCCAATTTTTTTTGTCCGAGCGATTTATACTCGAGTGATACAACCGCTTCCGTGCAGTGAACTTTGAGAAGTTTAAGCGATTCAAGTGGTTGGGTACTTCTTAGTTCTTGTTTGCTGTGGAGGTCTTGCTGGCATGCTATACATGTAATCCATTTGCTTGTGTTTGAAACATGTCCTCTTTTTCCGTGCTTCCGCTTCGTCGTGCGTTGTTTTGCAAGAGACTACTCTTGCTTGTTCTATCTACCTTCTCCCCACCGCCCGGGTGGAGGTCGAGTGTTTTGGAAATACGAAATCTTGCTCGGGCGACTACGGTGACAGCTGATGCCACAAGTACTGCAACCACTGTCGCCGACGCAGCAAAAACCTCACTTCTGGACGACCTGGCCTACGAATCCCCACCGGCAACGGAGTCGTTCGACGACCATGTCTTTGCTGCGTACAAAGACCTGGACGACCTGGACTGCGCTAGCATGCGAATACCCTTACGCGAAAAGGACTGGAACCACATCATGCACTTCATTTCCAACAACGGCACGCACCACCACACGAGGCTCAAGGACTTCGACAGTCTACCCCTACTGGTTGACGAACATCAAACAGAGACGGAAGTAGAACCCTCCGAGGAACTACACCAAGCGTCGAGCACCAGTTCCGCAGAGCAGGACGACACAAAAATCGTGGATTTGTATGCCGAAACGAGGAAAACAAGGACCGGCTTCAGCCTGGCACAGCCAAGTACAACCCCCAAAACCCACGCCCACACGACCGTCAGTCCGAGGAGCTTCTTCGACCTCTCCAGTGACACGCAGCTGATTCTGGAATACCTCTCCCGCCTGATCCCCCAACGGCACCCGGAGCTCGGGCGGAACATCCAGGGCCCCTGGCAGGGCGTTCTAAAGGCGAAAATGATGTCAAAAAAGTGGCCGGAGCACATGATCCAATGCCCGAAAATTCCGCGTTTGCAGACGCTTCTCCTCGAAAACGGCTGCCCGATGGGCGCACTCGCCGTCGCTGCGCACAAGGTGCTCTGCATGGCGCAGCTCGCGAACTTGTTCCTTTCCCGGAAGCACGACCCGCGGTTTACTTCCGCGGACATATACCCGGAGGCCTTTTACTTCCGCCCCTCGATTGCGGATTTTGGAACGTTCGTAGACGAGTTCGTCGGCTCCGCGGTATTTCACGAGGTGTACGCCAAGCCGCTAGTCGGGGTCGAGACGTATGGGGTAGAAGGAACCGGGTACAACAACGTGACGAATAAGAGAGCAAGAACTCATCCTGCGCGACCCCCTATTGACTCGGCTTCCGCGACTACAGATATAATTACAGAAGATCCTACAGCTCCAGCTAGTAGCCCACGACAGGATCCGAACACCTATTTCCCCGAGGAGATGCAGCAAGACGCCGTGCCGATGGAGCGAGACGAGAGGGAGTACGCCAGTTATCCGGAATTCGAGAAGTTCGCGAAGGAGACGCCGTACGGGGCGATCCAGGACCTGTTGCACAAATCGCTCGAGAACCTCGACCGCGTCTGGAACGTGGTGAAATCTAGCTTGCGACTGGAGTCCTTCCTCGGGTCGAAGTGGCGGGTGCCCCGGAGATTGGCGATGGTGGAGCACATACTGGACGCGTATTACGGTACCGGTTTCGTTAGGGTTCCACAAGATACTGCTGAAGAGATGATCAACGAGGAACAGCGACAAGGAGCTGCATCATCTCCAGGCGCCGGTGGAGGTGGTCCTTCCGCACCTCCCGCTCTCGTTTCTGTCCACGAGGCCCTGGGGATTTCCCAACCGGCTTTCTACACGCCAACAGCGCCGGAAGGGACGAGTGCAGCTGGGGGAGAATTCGTTCCTGAACCCGGGCGGGTGCTGGGGATCGCGGATTGGCAGGTCCCGCGGGAATTTGTCGAAGCGTACTTCCGCAAGTCCAACTGGACCATGCGCGTCATGCCGGCGATATTTGAGGAAGTGTTGCTGAAACAGTTCTTCTGGGGCGCGGGTTTGGTCGGAAAAATCCGCGACCGGTGGCCGGAGTCGCTGCGCTCGCTGGTGGGACAGATTCAATTGAGCGATGGTTCAACAACATCATCAACCTCCGAGAACATAACCCGGGCGAAAGCGGTGCTTCTGAATTACTACCGCCTCATGTGGGTTCTCTCCGCAATGGGGGCGGGCATGGGCTCGGGCTATTCAGGGGATTTCGAGATGTTGGGGCCCACGTTTGATCGGTACTTGCGGAAGGCGAGCTTTTCCGGGCTGATTCTTTCGCAGCTGAACCTGTTTGCACTTTTGGGTTTTCTGGAGATCCTGATGTGGCACCGGTTCGGGTGGATGCGGGGGATCTGGTACGAGGACATGCGGGACCCGACCAAATGGCTGGCAGTTTCGGATGCGGAGTTTGGAAAAGAGGGTCGTGAAAGCGGCGGGAGCTCCTCGTCCTCCGACGGTAGAGAGGATGACTCTTCTTCCTCAAGCAAAAATAAGAAGAAGCAACAAGCTACGTGGCATCGCATCTCGCAGAGGACAGCGGGACTGATCATGGATGAGCAGAAACAGAAGCTGAAAGCCGCTGCTGCTGCTACTGCGAGTGCAACTACTTCGGTTACCTCTACCAAATACCCCACTCCGGCAACTCGCCATCTCCTCCCCAATCGCCGCACCCTGCAGCTCCGGTTGGAGCACCTCACACTCCTGCAACGGATGCACCAGTGGCTGAAGGAAACAAGATTTGTCCGCGGCAAGCACATCGTGTACTTTAGTTTCGCGTTCGGAAATTTTGCGGCAAACCGAAACATGTCGAAGTCCTTTCTCCACTACGTGAAGAATTCCGGAATCACGCACTACATCTGGATGTCGGAAATTCCGCAAGAGGACGAGGTGCCACTGGAAGAGGGCGATCGTTTACAACTAGGAGCAGAACAGCTGCCAGGTACAACTACAAAATCTGGATCGTCTTCTGCAACACAAACTGGTCCATCCGCCGTGACGACGAAGCTACAGAAGACCCCAGTTGCAGGTTTCGAAGAGTGCTTGAAGGCGCAGAAGGCCATCGAAACGGACGCGGAATCGAAGCTGAATCTCCTCTGCCTCCCGCTCTCCGTCGACAACGGTTCGTGGATGCCCATCGACATTGCGATGATGGGCAAGAACCTCCCAGCGCTGCTGTTGATGCGGCTGGGGGTCGACTTCGTGGTCACAGACATGGACATTCTGTATTTGCGCGACCCGTCGCCTTTCCTCCTCCGCGCCGCGTACGGCTCCTTCTCCAGACACACGCAGTTCCACAGCATTCGCGACGGCGTGCAGTTCGTGTCGCAGCAAGACCAGGATCTCCATCCGCTGGAAGACGACAGCGTCGAGGCAATGACGCACAGTGCTAGAGTACAGGCGACGGTGGCGCAGGAACTGTTTCCAGGATGTGGTGGTACTGTCGCGACCACATCAGAGCTGCAGGCAGAAAGCTCCACTTCCAGTTCATCTTCCGTTAGCACGGTCGTAGCAGGGTCGACGTCAGCTGCGGCAAAGCCTAAAGAAAAACCGGTGATTACCCCGTTTTCCTCCCACTTCATTATTTCTGAGCACTGGGAATCTGCGTCGGTGAACAACGGTTTTTTCCTCGTGAAGGCCACGAAAAAATCCGTCCAGACCATGCTGCACTACATGCGGTGGATGCATTTTCTGCCCTTTGGCCACGACCAGAACGGGTTCGACGCCTGGACCTGCGTGACGGAGACCGACGAGCCCTGCTCCCCGCGGCTGAACTACCGACGGAACGCGACCATGCCGGCCTTCGACAAGCAGCAGGAGCACCGGGTTTGCCCCCTGATCTTCTCCCTGAACCAGAACCTGTTCGCGTCCGGGTCCGGGTTCCGGGGTGATACGGAAAAGTTCACGCCCTACATCTTCCACCTCACCGGGGGGTATTTAAAAAGGAAGTTGAAGCGGATCCGAACTTTGATGGGTCGGGAGGACGGCATCACCATTCCCTGGCGGCCTTTCTTGCACGAAGTTGCGGAGCACACTACGGGGCACGGGAACATCGGGTCTTTGCGCACGATTTTGCTGAACTACGAACCGGAAAAACCGGAGTCGTACTTCCTGTACAAACTGGTCAGACTAGATTCGCGAACCATTCTGAAGGAACCGGGATTGTTCGATGACGACCAGGACGAGCTGCTGCTTCTTGGTGGGAAAAATAACGACGGCGGCGAGACAAACACAAAGGCAAAATCGGTACTTCATTCCGGCAAAAACGCGTGGGAATCCTGTCGGAACGGCAGGAAAGCCGAGGTTTGGGGGTATTACCCTTCGCCGGATGAAAGTGCTACCAGCACCACTGGGCGGGAGGCAACATCATCTTACAAGGACCGGTATCGAATCTCGCGGTTGCCCAGTATTACGCTGACCCCTGCGTCCCTCGCAGGAGACCTGTAGCTCGTTGTGGTCGTTCTTCGAAAACCTGCACGAATGCAAATCTTTTTCACAATGGAACTTCGAGTTCCTTTGTTCATATTCTTATGTTGTTCAGAAACCGGAAAGAACAAAGACAAACCTTTATCTTTTTTCTGTGCTTGTTGCCCTTGCGCTTCAGAAGAAGCTTGTGACTCAACAGAGAAAGTAGAAAAACAGAATGCAACTGAACAAGACACACTTTCTGATGTGAGAAGTAGATTTCAGTTGTTGGCGCAGAGACAGTTTTGTTTGTTCGATGTGCTGCTTGTGTGACCACGCCGCGAAAACTGAAACCGCGGAGACGTCTTTGAGGACTAATCATTTATAGTTCGTTGCCAATGATGTTGATGAACAGGGGCCGATATTTGAGAGCAAGAAGTTGCTGCGGACAACGAGCATGCTGTTTTATCAATCCTAAAACCCGGGATTCCGAACAAATTATCTAGGTTTTCATGATTCTCCGTCAAAAAAAGCAGAAGAAAGCGGGACCACTACTGCAATTGAGTTGTCAGCAAAACAGACTCCACATCCAAGATGATAAAGCACACGGAGCAGTACGGGGGCGGTTCGCGAAACCTGTACGAAGAGCTCTCGCAGGATTTGGCGAGAAGAAGGGAAAAGGAGAAGAATTTTGTGATCTGCATTTTCTGCTTCCTCGGCGCCGCGCTCGGCTGGCTGTTTCTGTACACGGTTTTTGCTCTGGTTTCGAGCTTGCAGTGAAGACGACTCCCGGTAGTTGTACTTACAACAGACGACATGTAGACGGCTCGGTGCTTACTTGTAGGATCTTCGATGATGGAAAATAGAAAATGAAATGACGTTTCGAGCACATCACGCGCAGGCACACGGCGCATTGCGGATACGGAAGATGTCACCTCCACATAGCACCATCCGTGCCAGTTTCAGACAGAATGGTATACAAGATGATGAAATAAAAATCCTTTGCTGCCGCAGCTAAGCAGTACTAGACGAACAAAAAAAATGCAGAATGCGAAAGAACCTAGCTGCGTGGCTGACCCACGTGAATACAGCGGGTGTTCGGCACAAGATAATAAAGCTAGCTCCTTCATGTTCAACTTCATCACGTTCACGCACAGGAAAAAGATCAATTTTGCTCGCGCTCTCAATGAGCATTTACCTATGCACATACGTGATCCTTGGTTCTCATTGTCTCGTCTGACCGAACTCGAAATTAATGGCACGCAGCGATCCCTTTTCGTCTTTCACTTTCTCTTTTCTTGGGTTCTTTTGCTTCCGGTCCGGCCATTTAAATACCACGACGACTTGCTTGACTGTTCCAACTCAGTTTTCTGGAGGAGATAGCTTAATCTACATCCACTGAGTACTTCTCCTTTCGCATTGTTTGATCTTCCTGAAAAAGAAAAACATGACGACCGAAACTGGCGAGGATTCTTCTCCAGAAGTCCTCCATTGCGACTACCTGATTGTTGGCGGCGGCGCAACGGGCTTGGCCTTCGCGGACACTCTGCTGCACTCTTTTTCATCGTCTGATCACGAAGGTGGTGGAATAAGATCATCAGGACAAGCAGCACCCCGCGTCGCCATCGTGGATAAGCATCTGCACCCCGGGGGGCAGTGGAACGACAGCTATGACTTCGTCCGCCTGCACCAGCCATCGGCGATGTATGGAGTAGAAAGCGAGCCTTTGGAGGAGATGGAAACAAGTGTCAGTCAAGAAGGTCAACCTGGAACAAATGATCCTAAAAATCCACCCGCCCCTGCGAATGCTAAAACAAAAACGAAAGCAGCGCACCGTGCAACGAGACTGGAGATTTTAGCGTACTACGCGAAAGTTGTCGACAAATTGAAAAGGAAGTTCGGCTTGAAATTTTTCGGTGGCTACGAATTTATTTTCTCCCACGAACATGAAGAAGAAGCGACTATCTCTGCCGGCGACGGGTCATCGTACCAGGAATTTGTGTTGCAGCCAACAACTGCGATTCGTGGGGACGACGGTCAACCAGGGTACCAACAAGCGTACCATAACCTGCTTGTCCGCTGCAAAAAACTCGTCGACGCGCGGTGGCTGGAACCCGATTTACCCCTTTTCGTAGCGCCAAAGTTTAAATTCGACAGCAAAGTCGTACGGGTTGTAGCGCCGAACGAGCTTTCTGTTACACTAGGACATGATCAAACAGCTCCTTCATCGAGCGGCGAGAAAACCAACACCTCCTCGACAGGTACTATGACCGCCGAGACTGTCGGCGGAAGCGGAGCTGCGACGAGTTGGAGTGCTGTTGTTCTTGCCGAGCAAGATGCAAGAACCACAGATGAGGACCAGCAGCACGACCAGCAAAAGTTTGTCATCATCGGCGCGGGAAAGACTGGAATGGACGCGGTGGTGTATCTGCAAACAGTGCGGAAAATACCCCCAGAAAACATTGCTTGGGTGATGCCCACCGAAATGTGGATCACGGCCCGGGAAAACATCGGCAGCTGTATGGAGCTGTTGGCGACGTGCGTCGAGAGCGCGAGGGACGAGGAGAGCGGAAATATGAAGTTGCTGCATGACAAAAACCTCCTGCAGTCCGGCTTTCTGGAGTTCGAGAAACTCGGGAAAGTGTACCGACTCAGCGACGACGGCGCTAAACATCAAGTCCCACCTACCAAGTTCAAGGACGCGACGCTGTGCAAACGGGAGTTGGAAACTCTACGCAAGGTGAAGCACGTGTTTCGGGGCCAGCGGGTGAAAGAGATCAAGTTTTGTGAAGCGAAAAGCAACTTTTCTCTGACTTTCAACGACGAAACGTCGAAAGACCTGCCGTGGAAGATCAGGAGCGTGGATGGCAAGAAAGAACCCGAGGTGACTTTCGTCCATTGCAGCGCCGGCGCGTTCAATTACACGAAAGTCGTGCATGGGCCGCCGCGGCCCGTTTTCACGGAGAAAAAAATAACAATTCAAGACGTGTACGGTACGCCCGGGTTCTGCTTCGTCGGAAGTGTGATTGCGAAGCTAGAGGTGACGAGATTCGCCGTCGATAAGTATCAAGGAATGCCTCTGACCGACGAAATGAAAAACAGGATGTGTCGCGCGCCGGCGCCAAAAAAAGACCCAAGTTGCGACGACAGCGGTTTCGTGCGTGGCGCTTTGGGAAAAGACCACGGACTGGTGCAACGGTGCGCGAACTTGTTCGATTGGTACGAGATCGCGGGTCTAGGACCATGGCTGCATGGAGAAGACGGTGATGGTACAAGTTCGCAGAAAGGGTCTAAACCGCACCGCCTTTTCAACCTGAATCATTTGTCAAAAGACGAAGCGGAGCGGATGGTAAGGAACATGTGGTTCACCTTAGTTGGCGAGGGGATCATTGACGTGGCTGCTCACGCATAGACGTAGTGTACGTGGCATTTTCTACTTTTCATTGAAAATGCAAGTGCTGGAACGACGTATAGTGACAGTGAGTTTGGAGCTCACCAAAGAAGAAGAACTACGGAACGAAGTGAAACAAACAAGTAAAAACGCCAGCAAAACCAAAAGCGCAATCGAATTCGACGAATCATATTGCTGATACTTCTTGCAACTGCAGGAAGTTTCGAACACGCAGAAGACCTCCAGGGTGATGTTCCGCTATAGTCAGGGAAAAAAGATTTTATATTCATTTATTGTTTTGCTTTTGCCTTGCGATCTTCGATGAGGATGATGATGATCCACCAGCGACAGAACCACTTAAGTTGTTGATCTTGGTAAGGCATTTCCACACATTATGTTTCAAATCATTGTTTTTTTTATTTTTATTTTTTCATCGAAAAGAATTGTCGAAGAAAGTTTTCAAATCACGAATATATGACGTTCAAGGGACAACCTTTTGCAGCCCTCACGCATAGTAGCAATTATCGAGGTTCATAGCTGCAAAAAAGCTTCCTTTGCCACCGTTTTTCGTAACATTATTTTGCAATACCTCAATAAAATATCGAAAGCACGCCGTGCGTTTTTCTTTTCATTTCATTCGCAGGCCTGTAGTGACGATATCGATATCAAAGATATACCATGTTGTCCTCCGTGCTTCTGCGACGTTCCTGCAGCACGCAGACGCAGTCTCTTCGGAGAAGGAGTGCAAAAGCGACCTCCTGCGGCAGCCCGCTTTTCCTCTCAGTGAACAGAAAAGCTTTCGCAGGAGCCGCGACGCCGTCACTCTCAACGACCCACGTTCCTGGAGCAAGCGTAGGAGGTGCGAGCGAGTCTTCGTCCTCGGCGAAGATAAATCAAAAGCCGCCGCAGCCTGCTCCCACGGCCGCATTGTCTACTAGCGCTTTTCATCCAGCATCGAAGTCCACTAGTACCGCTTCCTCGACCACGAGTAGTCCCTCCTCCTCGTCCAGCAGTAGCAGTAGCAGTCACAATCCAGTGCAGTCAACTACATTTTCTGCGACATCGTCAACATCAGCTGAAAATAAAGATGAACAGCAACAGAAGATGATATCAAGTGTAAAAATGTCTGGGTCTGGAAGAATGCGCGATTTGTCATGCAGATTTTCCATGACCCATGAAATCTGGAATGCAGGGCCTAGCATGACAGATTCTGTGCGATCTCTCTCATGCCTATCCTGCATGAGAAACTCCCGCCCGACTTGGTCAAAACTGGACGACTTTTGGTAATCATGCAACACAGATTTTTACATGCTTCAGATTTAGCATGACAAGTTGTATTCTTCCAGACCCAGACACTTTTACATTTGATAGATGAACCACGACTACGATTTCTGGTTTTTCGTCTCTAAGGGGTTCTATCAAAATGAAAAATCCCCCCGTGCCATATTGAAAAGCTATGCTTCCGGAAGTTTGTGTTGCTGATTTGAGGTCACAAATCATATGTGTCTTGCAAGACGACAAGGGCAGAAGCGGCCGGCCCACTATGGAAGCGGCTTGTCATGCTGTCGGGCTTAAAGGGGAGCCGTTTCCTATGCTGAACAAATAGACCAATACGCCCCTATGTAGCCTGGGGATCTGGCCGCAATGCCTTCCTGCAATACACGGCTTATTTGTGTACACAGATCCAGCATCAGAAATTTCGTTTTGATATGGGGAGGGGGGATTTTTCCTTGCAATAGGTTCGGCTGCGTTTTCACGGGCATCCTATTCTATTACCTCTACCAGGCAAACTGGTCAATTAAGCAGGCCGAAATTCGGTTTATCACGTGGTTCCGGACTTTACCACTGTATCCGCCACCGACCGCAAAGACGGCGATCCGGAACAGCGTCATTGACGAGGAAATCGGGAAAGAATTCAAAACGGAAAAGACGTTTTTCCTCCTGCAAAACTGGTTTCTGAAGAAGGACGCAGAATTGGCAAGAGGTATTTATAATTGTCTTATATTGAATTATTGAATTTGTGAATATGCGAAGTCCAATATTCGGGTTCGTCTTTGTTTCCACCAGCGCATGATTGGCATGATTCACTATTGTCATATGGAGTTCCTATGCGTTTTTGTGGAATCTGCTTTTTGTTTTTCCTTGAGTTCCAGCATTCAATCATTTAAAATAAAATCAAAATATCAAAAACAAAAAAAGGCGTGACCCGCGACGACGTGCTAATTTTCGTGGAGGATCAAGCCAAACTTTGCCGCGAGGGCGACAGCATTTGCCGGAAGTTTCTGCGGCAGAACGGCGACGGGGAGAAATCCGACGAGAAGTGCCGGCTGATTGGTGTCGGTTTAGAGGAGTTTCTGCACTTCATCAGCCGTATTTTGAGTGTCAACGAAAAATCCGCGAACCTCGACCGGAAAGTTGCGGAGGAGGCAGTTGCCGCGGTGTTAATCGCAGCGGATCCGAGCCTTGGCAGGATGGGCAACTTCGCCAGAAGCAGAGCCGGACCGGGTGGGAACAGCACTGCAGGTTCGTTTTCTTCGACGGCGTTTATGACAGGTAGCGGAGCAGGAAGTTTGTCACCATCGGCTGCTGGTAAGCCCGAACCGGAACCGGAGCTGCACGAGATTCTGATGTACGAGAAAGCGAGACTGGAGGAAATTTTGGACGGGCTGCAGAGCTCCTCGCAACTGTCGTCCGCACAGCGAAGAACGCGGGCGAATGCCGCGGCAGAATTGGAAAAAGTAGAAAAAGATTTGGCGAAACTTCTTGCTGAGGGAAAGACGACATGATTGACAGCTACTTACAGAAGTACCACGAGGACGCGTCTTTAGTTTTTTCTGTGACTTCAACTCACTTCTGCAGCCTCGACGTAGACATCACAAAAAAAATGTTTTTCGTGACTCCATGCGTTTTTCTTTTTTCGTGTTCGGACAAGCGTTGTTGAGGCGTGACTCAACGCACTGGCTATGCGACGAAAAGTCCGAGTGCCAGGAGCAGGACAGAGATGATGATGAGTGCATGACTACCGCCTGCTTCCGAGTGTTGCGTGTGGGATTCGAGAGCGGGCGAGGAGTGGTTGATGCAGGTAGTAGTACGCGTGAACTGAAAAAGGCCATATAATCAGGACGATGCGTCCTCTACTGGTATTGCGATTGCGGTTCTTGCGGACCAAGTTCGCAATAAAAGCGCTGTCGCTGCTACACAGCCTGCGGCCGTTGCTTCGGCTGCAGAGCCCGGAAGGTTCGCAAAGTCGCATCCCAGGGCAGGAGCGGGCGTCTCTATCGACAAGATACCACATGGCGCGACGAGGCTCCAGCGGTCGCGCGACAGCCTAGCAGCCGAAGTGGGGAACGGGAAGAGGTCTGCCGAAATAAGTCGGGGCCGGCGGAAAAGAAGACGCTGCACAAAAATTGCGACACGCAGATGGGAGCCCGGGCCGCGGGCGGTTTGGGACCGAAGGGCGGAAAGATCGGACCCGAGGCCCGCCGGTGTGTGCGAGCAGGCGCCCGGAGGGGCAACATTTTGGAAGCCGTGCCGGCGCCCGGTACTTTTCGGCCTTGCCACTTCTTCTGGCCGATGCAAGCCAGGCGCCGCGCGGTTTGATTGTGTGCGTGGCGCGCCATAGTCCCAGCAAGGCTTGGCCAGCTTCGGCCACATCGTTCTACCGGGCCCGGATTTCCGCCGCCCAGGCGCGAACGGGCAATCTGCGTGGTTTCGTCCATGATGCCCGCTCCCAATGATAGGGAGCCGAGTAGCCACCCGCGCGCCAGGCATTCAGGGTCGTAGCTGCCCGGGGCGTGCAACGGTAAATGTGTATGTGCCGCCCGCCAATTCGGTTTTATTTTTGGATCCATCAATCTTGCTGTTGCGGCTCCGGTTGAGCATTGGAAAGACAGAGCATTGCCACTTGAAGGACTGATCGTGTTCCAAAAACTCGTGACATACTGCCTTCTTGAGTCTTAGGAAAGCGCTGAATTTGGTTCAGGGCCACATTATATTATCGTCACTTAGTAGCAAAGAGAAAGACCGAGGGAACACTCTACCTCGCGGGTGGCATCGCGAAACCGCACGTACACATGTGCCAAATACGTTGATGACGAGAACAAGCAGAGTGAAATTGGTGACTCAGATTTCAGGCGGAGCGAACGAAGAGCGCAGGCTTTAGCAAGTTGTTTTCGTGGCATGGTCGTTTGTATCTTTTTTTTTATCATTTTCATTTGTATGTTTGAAAGAATTAGGTGTTTAGCCCGATTATTTTTGATTGTAGGCCGATTACTTTATCAGCAACAGTTTTTGATCACGAGCGGCGCCAGTCATTGCAATCCGGGCCAACACTTGGCCTTGTGAGTGTGTCTGGCTGCGTGCCCCTATATTTCTACAACGGGCGACGCTCGGGACACAGTCGACCTTCGATATTTCTCAACATATCAATCGAAGGAAAGAGAGGTCGTGATCGCGATGAAAAGTTGAGAGCATCACTTTTGATACGGTACTTAATCCGGATGCGGAGATCCGAATCGGTATCCAAGAAAAGAAAGATGCGAAAAAAAAACCACATGCAATATATTTATAGACTTTGTTGGTGCTTCCAACATTATTTTGTCGCGTCAATCAGTGTTTTTTTTTGTACTAACATAGATACAGAAGTAGCAAGTACATCCAGCATTCAAAATGCCGAATTCGAAGGACACTGCTACACTGAAGCGACCACGGGACCACGACGATTTTCACAGTGTTAAATCCTCGCCTAGCTTCGTGGATGGTAAGGACTTACTTTGGCGAGTTCGTCATTGTGTGTATGTATTTTTCTTGATGATAATGAAGTTCACAAGCAATCTATTGGGTTGCGAGATGAGGACAGAAAAATTTTGTGCGAGGCGGAAGAGGTGGAACATCATAATGTAGTAATAAGTCAAATTATAATTCACAGCACCGGACAAGCGAACACTTTTTACGAAAGAGAACGCTGCTGCGACCAAGAAAGCCAGAGCGAAGTCCCAGGTGCAGGCTCTGCTCGCGACAGGGAGAGGTATAGCACTACACTCTCACTGGTGGGGGAATGATCATAATGCCGGTGATCCGTCTCCTGGAGTTGACCTTTGCATGAAAACGGAGACCAGACTTTTGATATTCTGAAAAGAGAAATGCTAAAGGAAAGCGACCACACTTTTACATTCTTCGAAAAAACAGGGGTCAAAGACGTTGTGGAGATCCCGTCGGCGCCAAATGCAGGGTCAGCTGCGTCGAGTGTCGAGCCCGTCCAGACCCGGCCACTCAAGAAGCCCAGCCCAGAGCGAAAACCGCCGAGCGTGAAGGAGGCGCATGTGATCTCAAAGTCGCCTGAGGCTAAACGTAGAAAGCGAGATTCCGGCCCCGGTTCGGGGAAGAAGGGTGGACAGGAGGGCTCGTCGCTCGCGCACCAGGACTGAGGCTGCAGGAAGTTTTACGCTTTTGCCGCAATGAAGATCTTTACAGAGGGTTGCTTTTGCTCCACTTTTTGCGAGATTTTGGAAATGAACTTGAAGAACGATACCAGCTGTAAATCAGTGCTCTGCAATGTATCATGGCAAGTATTGAGCTCCTTGCAACCTTTCTGTAATATGGTATATTTTTGTTTTCGGAACTGCTACGAGACTTCCTCTTGCTTCTGAACAATGATCAAGTTTCAAAAACACGGAGAGTGACAAAAAATTCTTTCGGAGCTGCTACTATCTAACCGAAGGCACCACTGCTTATTGAGGGCAGAAGACAAACAGATTCGCACTGCAGCAGCGGATGCAAGAGACAGTTGCTCTTTGTATCGAGGATTCCGACATGGCGGTCGTCCTGGCTGCTTCAGGAATTTGTTCACACGGCTTCATCATGTCCTGATACAGGCAGTGCCTATGTAGTTTCTTCGTCGTTCGCAGAAGTACTATGTATCAGTCATCGTCGAAATGAATTCGTCTTCGATTTTCGTTGCTCTGCCGAATCGTCGTCGCACATCAACATAGTAGAGTAAAAAGATCATGGTCAGGAGGTGAGAAATCAGTATGACGTTGACCGTAGAAGATCCGGTTTTTTGCTGCTCTTACTGACGCAGAAGCAGAACCGCAGCGCCTTTTGAATAGGACAACTTTCGCTTTGTTCAGTATTTCTGTCTGAGTTTGACCAGCGTCTTTCCACTATGTCCAAAAAGCGATCAAGGGAAGAGATCGAGAAAGAGGAACAGGAGGAGGTGTTCTACTCCTGTGAGGAACCGGCTACGGAGGATGAGGAAGTAGTGAAGAAAGGTACAGGCAGACACTTTGGATTCCATAAAAAGCTAGCCATGCATGCAAAAATATGAGAACGCATGATCACGAAATGTATTTCTTATTTATATCGAGATTGCGAAAGTAGAAACCATCTCCAATGTGTTTACAGCGACCGTCGTCGAGCAGCCGGAAGTAGCTGCGAAAAAAAAAGCTGCGAAGCAAAAAGTGGAGGCGCTATTGGCCAAGGCGAAAACGAGCCAGGGTATCAGCTTCCGTATTCCTTTTTTGCGATGATGCATGAGGTTGCCCAGAGCTCCAGCTAGCGTGAGCACATCGTGAAATGTCGGCCCCGATTCAGCAGGTGATAAAAGCACGAAATCCCAATCAGGTGACGGCAGCAACAAAGCGTCTAAGGATGGCAGTCCGCCCGCGAAGCGTCAAAAGAAGTGAAGAAAGTCGTGTTGAAATTCGTGGAGGCGACAAGCAGCAGACAACGAAGAAGTTCGAGTAGTGTACAATAAACCGAAGTACTAGGCAGAGTCAAAGTGCAGACGGCTTTCAGCAAAAACCCAAGAATCAAAAACTTATGTATCAAACCTGTTGTTTTGTTCAAACAATGAGATGACTGAAAGTGAAAAAGAATCTGCTATATAATCTGTCCCGGTTCTTTTACTTCAATGAACGATGACTATGTATCAGATGTCAGTGACAGCGTAGATCATGTGGCGTTTTTTTACGTACTTTTCTGAGAGACCGAGCATATTCATTTGAAGCAACGTTCTTGACGACAGCCCCTGTAGGATGAAAATCAGCTTCCATGCACAAGTCGGGCGGAGTTTCGAACGAGGCGAATTGGCCTTGTCGGGTCCTCGTGTTGTTCCTGCCTGGTCTTGCAGCATTCAACGTGGGCGTGTTTTTTGTTGAGTGAGAGCCGTAATGTAAGAACGCGTAGTCCCTTTCTATTTCTTTCTTTGGTCACACCGGAACCGAGCTGAAGTTGGTCGAGCGTCACACGGAGAAGAAAGCAAAGTTGCTGTGATGTGCGCCCTTCTTCACAACGATATCGTTCAGATAGCCATGACCTAAGCAAAGAGACGAGAGAGATATAATATTTTTGACTTTGAACCACCTCTCTAAGACGATCATGGCGCCCCTGTGCCTGTGGTTGTGCGCTAAGCCCACTGCTTATGTCTGAATGTGTCGCAACCACTGAGATTCCGTAGCAGAAGCAGAAGCTTGTTCAAAATGGCGCGCGCGTCGTCGGCCTTTTCTGCTCGTGATAGATGTGGGAGCCGCTGCGCATGGTGTGGCGCGAGGTCATAGACTTCGGCTCTGGCCGGGTCACCCCATGCGACGATAAGGGGCCGGAGCCAGTTGCGCGAAGTTCTCCCGGGGCCGGACGGCCGGGGCCGACGAAGACATGCAGGAGAGTTTGGGCGGGCCCGCTGGTTCGGCTGCGCAACTACAGGCGAAAAAGCGGCACGCAGGGTCAGGCGGAGCTGGTGGCAATCAGGGCGAGGAGCTTCGGGCGGAGGGTCCGAGCGGGCCCGGGTTTGGATTACAGCCGACCCCGACCGCGTCTACAAAGCCGGATGCTTCGTGAACGACGACGCCACGCGGACGCTCGACACCATGCTGCCGCCGAGGGACCTCGAGTGTTGCTTTGCAGCGAGGCAGGCGCCCGCCGGAACCTCAATGACTTGCCCCCCCCTGATCGCGGCCCGGTGGGGCGTGGTGTGGCGAAGTCGGGCGCCGCCGGCGTCGAGGCGGCCGCGGGCGGTGGGGGAGATCGCGCCGCGCCCTTGCCGCCCCTGTATTGGGTTGCGCGTTGTGGCGCCCCCGCCCCTTCGTTTTGCCGGAAGGCATCTGGCGGCATGAGTGCCTGCGCGCCGCCCTGGTGGGGCCCTGCGATGTCCCGCCACTGCAGGCGCAGCGGGCGCATAGCGTGCGGGCAACTAGATGCCGCCCCCTGTGAAACGTTGGCAGACGCAGGCCTGCCGGCGCGGCTCACAAACCCATCAGTGGCGCGCCGCGCTGGCCGACTGCTCGTTGCTGCGTGCCGTGCATTCGGACTCATGTGCATTGCCGACGTTGGGGACCCGTCTGGCCCAAACACAACTCCTGTGTAAGTGTGCCCTGCCCTGGTGAACAGGCCGGATAGCTGACTTTGCTCCTCGCTCATCTTTGTTCTGTTCCCAGTCTAGTACTACAGAAGGATGAAGTCTTTAAATAAAGTGTTACCTTTTCTTTAGAAGCAGCCACATGGTTATCTTGGTATACTGCAGTCCAAGTCGTCTGTAGTGTTTTTTTTTCTTTTTTCTCGCGTACAGCGCTATGCGCAGGATATTTGCAGTGAGACCGTCATGAGCGGAGCAGGTGCACAAAACAGAGTGGTCGTCGTTATTCTGTAAACCTTTTTTCTTTTTCGTTTTTCGAATTTGGCTCGGGGCGTATGAGTGCAAACCCAAAATTGCCTTTAGTATCTATATCTTCGAAATTCGCAGGAGTCGCATATCGCTGAGTGAAAAAAAGGCCAACACTCCATTTTCATTTTATACATAAGTACGTTTGTTCAGTGTTACCTGTTACCCCTTGTTTGTTCCTGTGTAGTTGCTTGTATCATCACCGCTTCGACAAGGCAGACACAAATTTCAATTCGGTTTCCAAACCAAATCATAGTTCCAAACCAAATTGATAACGTGTGAGGACTCTTTGTTGCAACCCAACCGCACAAAACAAGTATTTGTTTTGGTACATTGGTTCTTGCCAATATGTCCTCCGTCTCCACCGAGGCCTTTTCGGGGCTCACCAGAATTTCCCCGGTGAAGCTGGGCGTTGCAGATGTGTCCACAACTTTCTTCGCCAACTCCGTCAAGCAGCCAGGCGACCAATTTGTGGAGCTGAATCGCGTCCAGTCCGCGGTGTACAGTGAGATTGCATCCTCGAATGGGGCGGAAGCTGCCCAACAAGATGCAGCGCTACTTCCAAACCTCGTGCTCGAAGCTCCGCCTTCCAGCGGCAAGCACTTGGCCTTCGAAGTGGTCATGGAGCAGCCAGGCGAAAGACGTGCTGGAACTTCTGCGGCGGCAGCTTCGGCTTTATCAAGTACGAGCACGAATAAGCTGCGCAGCCTCCTCGGAAACAAGGCGTCGTCTTCCGCCGGTGGATCCTCGTCGTCTTCGAGCACAAATCAAGGAGCTCCTGGGTCCTCTGCAGCAACCTCCAAGCGCACTCTCTATGTGGCGCCCTCGGAAGCGCACCTCGCCACCTACTTCAACAGTAGACTGAAAAAACTCCGCCCCGACGCGGAGTGGGTGCGGTGGCACAGCACCGTGCGGAAATACAACTTCGGAGACAAGATCGCGAGCACTCTGCAGACCACCTCGAAGGCGATGCTGCAGTACGACCCGGACACACAGGAAGTTTACGAGAAGGCGACTGAGGACAAAGTCGACGGTGCTGCGGAACAAGATTTGTCCTTGACTGCTGGACTGCACAAGAACCAGCATGGTCTATACCCGACCTCCGACCGCGCGAAGCTTTCGGCCGCTTCCCTTCTGGTCGGTCTGCCGGAAGACTTGTGGTACGCGGCCTGCAGCGACCCTACGATCTTCACAAACCTAGATTTGATCTGCCTGGACCACAGCCATCTCTGGCTAGATGCGGCAGTGTCGAATGATAACCACATTGACGGGTTGCTGTCGCTACTGAAAAATTTGGGGAAGAACAACAACAATTTTCCGCCGCAAATCCTGCTCTTGGCGTCTCCGATTGCGAACGTAGAGATGCTCGGACAGTGGATTTCCGCCTCTTCGACCAGAAAAACGAAAATCCTGAAGTTCGACGAGCGATTTGCTGTCAAGCCGTGGAATCCGTCTGCCACGGGCATCGTGATCCCCGTTGCAGATGACGATCGGCAGCAACTGATGCTGAAACGGTACTTGGCCACCGTGACGAACTCGAACAATAAGAACCTGCTCGTTTTCAGCGGTTACTCGAGGCGGGCGGTCGACGCGACGGCGCACTTTTTGAAATCCGAGGGACTGGTAGAAGTCATGAGCAGTCGAGGGCCATTAGTTGGAGCTGGAGGCGATGACCAGTGGTCTTCGTTCGATAGCCAGCTTCAAGACGATGTCTTCATGACCGACGCGAATCAACATTCTCATTCTGCCCAGAGACCACTGACGACGGCACAACTGCACGAAAACAACACGTGGGCGACTGGTGGGGTGCAAAACCGCTCGACGCTGCTGAAAGAATCTGTAAAAAACGATACAATTTTCATCGCGAAGGTTGCGAGTGTCCAAGACGGAAACTTGAAAGCTTTGCTGCAGTCCGGCATTGGGGTGCTGCACAGAGAGTACGCTGCAGCAGATCGGGAAGTCGTCTGGACGCTGTTTTGCCAAGGGATGATCCGTGTCTGCGTCGCGGAGCCGTACTACGCGAGTTTCGGAGCTGCGCCGGAGCACCAGCGGCAGGAAGGTCCAAACCCTGCTGGATCTAGTACTTCTGCAAGACAACTTGTAGACGACGCTGGAGATGTTGTCATGGGAGCACCTCCGGACCATGGAGTCGATAGTATCCCCGCCAAACACCTCCCAAACAACGAAACCTACCGTCGTCTGCAGGCTGACACCGTGGTGATCGCCGGGATCTGCAAGTACGGCACGCTGGACATCCGCGACGGCACGGCGCTCCCGCCGAACAACCATTTCACGCCGATCGAGTTCCTCGAAATGCAGGACTGCGCGGTTGGCCGCCACGGGCCACCGGTGTTGCGGGTTCTGTGCCGCCCGATCGAGCAAATGTTTGTCACAGAGGTCTTGACGGGGAATTTTAGTGTTGATTCTGCGCTTTGTCGCGACTGCACCGGAATGGCGGCTAGTACGGGCAACGATCAGCAGATGAGCTCGTCGTTCAAAGGCATCGCGGCGAAAGGCGCTGGGAAAGGTGGCAAGCCGCAGGCGTCGCCGCGGGTGACCAACGCGCTGGCGAACGGCCATGGGACCACACAACCGCAAACACTTGCGGCACTGATAGACGGAGGGGCGTTCGACTTTCTCTGGCCCTACGTTCTGCACCAAGACCAGCTTTTAGTACGCGCAAGTGCGAGCCATCGAACCAAAACCACGAACTCGGTATTAACCACGACCAGCACCCAGCAACATCTCATTTCCGTGCTGCAGAACTCCTGGTTCGGGTTACGACTGAAACAGGACCCCCTGCGCTTCGCCAGGCTGTTTTCCAAGGAGAAAACCAACAACCCACTGCTGAACGCCGTGCCGGATGTCGACGCGGCACTTTCCCTGATCGTCGCACGGCTTCTGACCAAGTGGCAAAAGGACAAGATGATCCGGCTGCAGGAGCCAGACAAGAAAGGCGATGGCGACGATGACGAGATGGGTATTCTGGACTTGGCGGCGATCCAGAAAACGATCACCGTGCAGCACCATAAGCCCAAGATGGGCAAGAAGAACGCAGGAGATAACACGAACAACTGTACGTCCAACCTGACCACCACGTATGTTGTCGGCAACTATCATTTGAAACGCCACTCCGCGAGGTACCCGGATATCAGTCCTGGCTCGGTGCAGAAGTGCCTGGATATGGTTACGAAGAAGACCGCGAACCAGCCGGAACTGCTCCTGCGAAGTCTGTGCGCGCTCCCGGAGCTGCACTGCTGCCTGGCAACGCGGGAGAACACGGAAAGGGACGGCGCAACCGCGATAAAATGTCTGGAGTACGATGCGAACCTGTTTTTCTTGCCCGCTGGGAAGTTGTCCGCGGCATTGCCCGCGGCCGGAGAGAGAAAAGCGAGAAAGGTATACATCATGGTTGCTTGTTTTGTGTTGACGTCAGGGTCCACATGGTAGGAGAAAGTCTGTTCAGCCTTTCGCCTAGTGGCCTCTTGCGTTGATCGTTAAGTACTTCAGTGAAAACACGACGTAGCGGGTCAAGGAAGGATCTTCCACAGCGACACCTCATAGAATCCAGTGACATCATGAAAGTAAATGAAAATATCCGCTCCAATTACTTTACAAAATCAGGTTTTCGCCCTGTGGATGCACCATTTGGCGGATTTCCAGGAGGAGCGGAAGGAGGGCTATCTCACCAAGCACGATCGCTACAAGGTTGTGAGAATCACCGAGTTCTTTCTCCAACACGTCTTAAAAAGCCTCGCCATCGAGGTGCAAGACGGGTTCGCCCTGCTGAATCTAATCCGGCTGTCCCGCAGCTTTGCCCAGGGCCAGCTCTTCGTGGGGCAGAGTCACATGCTAAAGCAGTACCTGCACATGCCGCGCTCGCTGGTGTCGTCCCCGACTACATTGACCGAAACTGCAATCGGTGCGCGTGCGAAAGATGGAACAAACGCTGGAAATAAAGCCGTCTCTAATAGTACTGCGGTAAATAACGTAAACCGTGTCTACATCTCGGACTGGGAAACCTTGCTACGCCTACTCGACGACCTGCACGTCGGGACGCCGGAGGAGCTCGCGAAGTGCTTTGCGGATATCTTTGCGTACGTGGTTTCTTCCTCCGGCATGGACGAAAACCTGACCTCCGACCTTGCTTCGATCCTCGAGGGCGAGGCCATCGACCTGGTCGCGAAGATGCTGCACGCCTGGTATCCCTTTTTGGGCGATGACCTGGCGAAAAACCTCGGCTTCCTGGCTCACGGGCTGCTCGCGACGCAGTTCCACCTGGAGGTGGCGGTTGTACCATTAGAAGAGATAACCACAGCAGCTGTATCAGGGGAACAAGCTTTGTTGAAACAGCTGGCAAACAAGAAGACGACCTCTCTCGTCCAGCGACGAAAAAACGCGGCAAGGGGAGGTGGAAACAAAGCGCAGCAACAGCAGACCGTGGAGTTGCGGGTCAGCCGGAGGGCGTGCAGTAGTGTCCCTGATCTGCGGAAGCGCGGCCTGGAGGTCGCAGATCGCACTTTGGGCGAGGCGGAGAGAAGCAACAACGGTTCTTCTTCTTCATTTTCGACGAACAACAACCCCAGTGCCAGTACGTCAAAAATCAAAAACCGCAACCCGATCTTCCCGGCACGAAACAGCACATCTTCGAGCAACTCCAAGAGCACTGACTCTTCGCACGAGGATTCAGGAAATAATATCAATTCGAAAAATAAACCTCGAGACGTGAACCGCATCTTCATCCCCTCCTTCCGCGACGAGTTCCCTCGGTTGGGGCATGGCGTGCGAGCGGGGGACTCGAAGGAGCTGGTGACGTTTTGGCAGAAAGTTTTCTTCGACTCTGTTCTGAAGGACACATTGTTGCTCGCTTTTGCGGACACGGGGGCGCTTCTGTACTGTTCGACGTTGGATAAACTGCTGGTCACGGCCGGGAAAGACAACTACCCCTCCAGTTTGAACAAGTTCAAACCTGTGTCTCTATCCTACAAGAAGGGAATCACCGCGTACCTGGTGCACACAAAGTTCCACGGGTTCGACTCCAATGTGCGGATAAAAAAACCTTCTGCAACTACGGAGCTGCAAGGCGGGGGGCACCCGGCCACCGAGGCTCCTTCTGTCGAGCTACCATTGGAGCAATTTGTGAGGCAGGTCGCGCGGGAAGAGGTCACGGACCCGCGGATGGAGAACAACGCCTCTGGGGCAGCCGGCGGGTTCGGAAAACTTCTGCACGGCTTGTTCCTGCCCTCGAGGCAGCAGGAGCAAGAGCGGGGGTCTGGTGAACCCCCTACTACTACTAGGCCAGCTTTGTCGTACGCGGAGCGCAGGAATCAAGTGGTAGCGAACAAATCGAGCACCACCGCAGGAGCCCCCAATACCGCATCACAATTTGGAGGGGCGGTGAGTTCTAGCTCAAATACGAGCTTGAACACCTCCGGGTCGTTCCCAGTCGCGCAGCAAAATCAAAGTGGTCAGCAACCGTTTGTCTTTGGATCTACTTCAGGTTTCGGTCTTCCGCAGCCATTATCCACCAGTGCAAACAATCACGAATTATCACTACACCTCCCGGACCCGAGTCCAAGCACAGCGAGGAATCGGTCCAACGTGCCGGGGTTATTTCTCCCCGAACAGCGAAACAACTACAAAGGCAAGGGCAAAAACAGCAGCAGCGGGCTGCAACAGTTTGACCGAGCACGGATGCTGGCAAACGGGACGTTGGATGGTAGCAGCTTCGACGCTTCTTTCAGCAGTGGTTTATTGTTCCAGAGCAAAGGTGGTAGTAGCGCTAGCGGTGCTTCGTCGAGTTCGAATTCGTTCAACGCTGGAAAAGGAGGCTTCGCCACGACGTCGAAAAGCCAGCAACTACCGGCAAACGCTACTGACGGCACCATTTTCTGTAAATGCAACCTGCCTGCGAAGGAGTGTTTCGCGAACAAGACAAACAGGTACTTCTGGGGTTGCGCAAGAGGGGCGAAGCACAAGGGCGGCTGCGGCTTCTTTCAGCCGATCTTGAGTAATGAGGAGAAGGAACGGTGTGGCAAGAAAAGACCGCCGGTATTTGTACCAGCTGAGGGTCGTGCCGCTGCGGCGGCAGAACTCCATGACCAAGCAAGAACTAAAAACCCGGACGTTGGTTTCCTATCGCTGCCCCCCGGCGAGCCGTGCAGCGCTTGGAACAACCCCACGGAGAAGGCAATTGCCAGCGCCGACGCCCTGCTGAAGAGGATCCGCGCGGAGGAGAACAAGCCTCTGGGAACGCAGAAGGCAGATACAATTTCCTCGTTCAGTTCGAACGTGGAGGTGGAGCCGGTCGGCGCGGAAATGCAGCTGGAGGCAGACGACGTTGACATGGCGCAGCCTTTCGATCATGACGCAGGCGGGGCAGAAGTGTGTGACGAGGAGGAGATTTTTGTGAATCTTCAGGAACCTCCTCCTGGAGGGGGAGCTCAAGCTGAACACAGAAGCGAGAATCTGTTTTTGCAGAACCCGATTCTCGCACCGGCTGCTCCGCAATTGGTTGCTACTTCGGCGGGAGAAAACGAAAACGGCAGGAGCGGCACAGCTTTATTAAATGCAGCGGCGACTGGCGTTACTGATACTGACGCGGCCAAAAATAGCATCCAGCAGAAAAAGGTTGCTCCGACCGTGGGTTCCGCGGCACCGGTTGCGGTACAACCAGCAGCGCCAGCGCACGTGCCGGTAGTGCCCGAGAGGAAGCAGGCTGTCGTCACAAAGCCCGCTCCTGTGCCAGCACCAGCGGTTCCGTCTGTTGCTGCTGTGGCTTCTGTACAAACCCAACAATCTTCATCAGCTGCATTTGCTGCTCCACCAGCCGCGACTGCGACTAGTTTTGGTTTTGGTGGTTTCGGTACTACAACTTCGGGTGCTCTGCAGACTACAAACGCTTTTGGTTCCACTTTCGGGAACGCGACCACAAACTTCGGCGTTTTCGGCGCAGCAAACACGACAGCTTCGCAACACCAGCAGCAAGCACCGTTTCAAAGCCAGTTTGGAGGTTTTGGGAAAGTGAATCAACAAGCACCGCAACCAAATGCTGGCCAAGCCGCGACTGGTTCTTTCCCAACCCTTGCGAAACTCCCCGTAGTTACCAATCAGGATAGTGCGATGGCGTCCACAGAGTCCCAGCCGGTGAATACGGACAAGAGCAGCAGCAGCAACTCTTGTTCCTCCCGCGCCGGCGGCGGTGGTTCGTCCGTGATAGGTGACAGAACCAAAAATCAGCGCTTGCCAGATTCGCTGCAGAACAGAAATGGGAAAAATTTCAACGCAGGGCAGGACGAAGACCATCAGCCTTCTTCGGAGGAAGTGAAACCAAACGACTCCCCGGCAACAAAAGCGCTGAAGCGTAAGCGAAACGATTTCTTCGCGACTCTGGCCCAGCAGACCTCCGCAGACCGGGATCACTTGCAGATCGAGCAGGAGGACGAGGGTGGACTGGCAGATAGAGATCAAAGTGCAACAAGCAAGGCTGAAGACGACGGGGGAGCGCCCTCTGTCATTGCGGTTTCCTCTGTTGTGGACTTGACAAAAGACGACGATGGGCCCCCGCAACAAGTAGGCGAAAAACGACCAGTCGTGCAGCAGGAGGTCGCCATCGCGCCAAACGACGACGATTTTGCGGAACTGCAGGGCGTGCCGATTCGACAGAGAAACGCCAACCGAGGCTCGAAGAACAAAAGGCAGAGAATAGCGTTACTCAGCAACGACAACAACAGCGGTGGTGGAAATGTAGGAATCACAGCCGGGGACGACCAGGAGAATCCTAAATCAGATTCGCCGACGAAATCAAATAAGCCTAAGCCCTTCACCTTTCCCGAGCCAGATTTGAACCCGGACGAGAGGCTGGACACGGGCGCGAGAACATCAGCATTGAACATCATGGCTCTGATCGAACAAGCCGAGGAGAAGGGAGCAAAGAACCGGGCGGCGAGGCAGGCTGCGGCGAAGAATAGCCTGGATGCTTTTGTTCTGCCGAAAAATGGAAGTGCAGCTAGTACTGGTGCAGCTTCTGTACTAGGAGCCACTGCAACTACTACAACCGCGCCTCCGATCGCGACGTTGCGTATCCAGAAGAAATACCTGGACGCGATCAAATCTGGGAAAAAAACCGTGGAAGGCCGGGTGAAGACCGGAAATTTGGTGACGGTTCGACCGGGGAACACACTCCGGCTGGAATCCGGCCCGATGAACAAGTGCGAGGTTGTAGTCAAATCAGTTCGGGAGTTCGGCAAATTCTCCGACATGCTGGCTTCCATGGGCGTGGAAAACTGCTTACCGGGGTGCAAATCGGTAGCGGAAGGTGTAGAAATCTACCACGCCTTCCCGGACTACGAGGATAAAGCGCGGAGATATGGGGTAGTTGCGTTTGTAATCAGCCTGCCGGATGGCGGAGGAGCGACGGGACCTCCAAATGCGAAGGCGACTGCAGGAACTTCAACGGGGTTTGGATTTGGTGGTGCGAGTAACAATTTTGAAGTTGCTGGGAGCAGCACCTGTTTTCCTAGTGCAACCTCCAGCACCAGCTTCAACAACAACACGAACGCATCTTCAAACGTGAACCTGCCAGCATCTTCGCTGAAAGTAACTAAGAAGAAGCTCGGCTACCCACACTGTTTCTGCGATCGGCCGTGCGGCTTTCCCTTCCCGATTAAGAAGGAAGGACCGAACAGCGGAAAACTGCTCTACAAGTGCGCCGCGGCGGGGCAAGGAAGCGCAGCTGCTGCTGGGAAAAATTACAACAATAGCCGACGCGGCAATTTTTATGGAAATAACCGGCCGGATTTCGAATCTGAAGGTTTCGTGAAAGGGAAGGTTTGCCACTACCTGGTGATCACCGGCGAGGACGAGGATATTCCGAAGAAGTACAAGCCGGAGGGCCTGATGTGCGCGGAAATTCCGCTTTGTAGCTGCGATCGGCCGGCGGTGTGGTACGAGACGAAAGCGGTGCCGCCGAAGCTGTTCTGGAAGTGCGCGAACAAGCAGTGTCAGTTCTTCGAGTGGTACAACGGGCAGGTGGCGGTACACGACGATAAGATGCAGGTCGTGGTGGAGAAGGCGAATCAAAACAACAATCACGTCGCGGGGGTCGGGAATGATTTTGATACGAAAAATCAATTTTTTGTTGGCAAAAACCTGAAAAAGGAAAATGGTGTTCGGATCCCCATGCCCAAGGACAGCGTCCCATCTGGCGATGCTGCAGGAAATCCAACTGACAAGCTGAGGCAGCTACTGGGAAAAAAGCCGGCTAAGATGACCGAAACAAACCAAAATGCTACACGCCACCCGCAGCAACAGATGAGGCACGACTCGATGCAGAAGATGCCAACGGCTGCCACGGCTCGGAACAACCAGAAAGATACCAGATTCCCCGCACCAGCCGCGTTTGGAAACGTCGAAGGAACTACGAACGGTGATGAGTACAAGCAGCGGAACTCCAGCTCATTTGCTGCCGGGGGTACTACAACCGCGGGGAGCGTTACTGCAACCACGACGGGCAACGTATGGCGTTCTCAAATGTTACATTCTCAACTGTTACATGATTTGTCATACAAAATTCCAATCAGAATCGACACGACCAAGCTGCTTCGCATGACAAATTCCCGAAGGGACAAACAGGATGGGAATCTGTGCCGAACCTGTAATGCAAAAGGCGCAATCTTCACCCTTGCATTTTTGCCATTCTTGCATTACAAATTCATGTAACAGCTGAGAATGTAACGTTTGAGAGCGCCATACAATGGGGTTCCCTCAGTTTCGGTGTCCGAAGTTCCACCGGGTGGCGCTGCGACGAACTCGAGTTTCGGGAATTTCACGTCGGGCACAGATTTCGGACAGCAACAGCAGCACAGAAATCCGGGGTTTGGCTTCACGAATTCGAATCACAATAACGACGACGGCGCGCGCCACAAGCCGCATAAGAAACATGCCAGTTTCACCGCACGAAACAAAGAGGAAAAGTCCCTTTTCTTCGGACCGGACGAGGACAAAAATCCTTTTAAGCAGCCGTTTCGACCGCCGGCACGGCCGTCTACACAGCAAGACGGTAATATGTCAGTTTTCGGCGCGCCGTCGCAACCGCAAGTGAATCAAAATAAACAGTCGAACTTTGGATTCGGTACTGCTGCAGTGTCGAACATTAATGGAGAAGCCAGAAACTTTGGCACGGCGGCTTTCAACACGAATGGCAACCGAGGATTTGGTTTTGGAACCGCTGCGGTATCCAACAACAACGTGAATCGTGCCCCTTTTGGTTCCGCCGCAGTGAACCAGAACCTCCGCCAGAGCTGCTTCGGGAACTTCGGCACTGCTGCTCCGCCGGCGGCACCCGTGAAACAGGCACAGAATGTGTTTCTGCAGCAGCAGTCCGCGTTTCACGGAACAGCAGTCAGTCAAGCGTTCGGCGGAACGAGTTTGCGTGCTTCGGCTTCGTATGAGGAATTGCAGTTGTTGAAAGCTGGAAAGCAGTCCTCCTCTGTGGCACCGTTCGGAAATCATGGCAACGGGAATAAAAGCGTGGCTCATGACCAGAATCTTCAAACGCACCACAGACAGTCAGTTCCGCTACAGCAGGCGATGCAACCACCAGCCCGTCCGCCATCAAGGAAAACGAGTTTTCTTGACAAGCACAGGAACTGGCAGTACCACGAGCCGGTGAAGGGAACGGAGGTTAATGCGAGCCAAAACGCGAAGAACCAAAGCGAAAGCCAAATGCAACCAACGAATCAAGATTTTGCTGGGAACGTCGCGAAGCAAGTTGGTCAGTCCCAATTTCTGGTTCCTCCAAGCAACGCCGCGTCCTCACAGTTTGGCGGGGGCTTTGGCCGTCAGAACCTACAACCGCAGCACTTTGAAGCTTCAGCGTTCGGTGGGCTGAATTTGAATTTGAACAACGACAAACCCAGAGGACTGCAAGGCCACGAAACCGCAAGCGCCGTACCGGGTGGTCAAAACAGCAAAATTTTCAACGCAGCCAACCATCAAAAGAACCCCAACCAGCCTACCGCCTCCGCCATATTGTTTCCTCTCAACAGCATTAACCTTCGAACCCACGATGCCATCGCTCATCGGGAGAAGGAGGCGAAGAAGAAAGCTTTGCAGAACGAGCTCGCAAAGCAGGAGAAAATCCACGGTCCACCGAGCTGGATCCAGCCGAGGCACAACGAAAACCTCGGTCAACATGCGAAAAACCAACACGAACAGAAAAATCAAAATGGAAACAACAACAAGCCAAGTAGTAAGCCCAAGCAGTACTACGTGGGTGCGTTCGGGACGAAGTATCCGTACAGGGAAACCTTAAATTTCCAGCACCTCTACGAGTTTGACAAGGACGCTTTGCGGGTGCAGCGCCAGGACAAAAACTGGTGCGCAACGGATCCGCTACCGAACGGAGACAAAGCGGTGTACTACGACCAGTTCAAGTGCAATTTGAACGAGGTGATGTCTTTATCCGAAGACCCCGATAACTTTTCCGACGTCTTTTTCGGCTCGAGCATCTGTGGGTCCATCGCACGACGACCCATGACCGCGAGAAACAATAAGCCAGTGGTGCATCAGAGAGTGATGTCGTCGAAGGCGGTTGGTGGAAGTGGAACTGCAAATGCGGGTCAGCAGCAGGCACAGGCGTCCGGGAAGATGACGAGATCCCCCTTGATGCAAGGGAAGAAGGTGGCGCGGACGACGGGGACAACAAGGCCGGAGACGGTATTTACGCCGAGTCCGGTCAGTAAGGCGAAGGAAAAAGGGGAAATTGACAGGGAACTGTTGGGCCTGGGCAATGGGAGGTACTGTTGTTCTGTTGTTGCTGTTTCTCCTATCTCGATGATCCTCATCTTTTTGTTCGATGTTCTTTCGTTTCAGGACTAGAAGCACATCATCCATGAGGCATTCGGATCTGTTGTTGACTCTGTTTCCACCTTTTTTTTTGAGTTGATATTGAATGAAAAAAACCAAATCAGGCCTTCTGAAGTCGTTGACCTTACCGCAGAAGACGACGATGAACCCTCCGCAGAGAAGCGCGTTTTCCCGCCACCATCGAAGCGACTCTTCGAGCGGATTCCTGGAGCGTCACCACCGCTGAAGAAGTTCTGTCCAGACGAGAACGAAACGGTGGGGCACAAGATTCACCAGCACCATCAACGCAATACCGTCGCACACATTGATCCGGAGGAAATCAAGTCTGCCCTGCACTGGCTGAAAGCGCAGATCAAGACGCAGCTCTGGATTATCGCGAAAGCAAAGATCGACAAAATTCTGGCTGCGATTGGAGAAGTGCTGGTGAGAGGAGAAAAAATGCCAGTTGCGATGCTCACCTTCGAGATCCAAAAGGTGATCAGCAGTTGTGCCCATGATGGCAACGAAGCAGGGCCAGCACATGGTCGCTCTTCAGCACTTCAGATGAAGCACCAGGAGCTGATCAGTGGGATTGTTGAGAGACGGGCTCATTTGGCTCTTGCGCTGCAGGAGTACAACATGGTGCAGCAAAACAATTGCAGAAAGCAGGAGGGGGCTGCGCAAGGAGCTGAGATTTTTAAAGCTGCTCCGGATCATGTTGTGCCGCGATCGGGCAATCGCCATGGAAATGGTTCTCTACATCGAGCTGCTGTTGATCAGCACGAGGTCGAAGAAAATTCTGGCTACAATGGCGTCGGCTGCAAGATCACGAACGTGATGTTTCAACCCCTGACCGTGATCAACCCGAAAAACATCCAACAGAACAAGGAGAGGCAGTTCGAGAACAAGAGGCCGCCACAGATGCCGGATGTAATGCCCTACCAGCAGTCCACCGCCTTACAACTGCAGCAAACCTGCAGCAGCCATATGGTTAAGAACAACTCTGGTGCACCGCAACCTCTCCCTGATGAAGCACCACATCAAATAGACTCAATAAAGATGAACTATTTCGCCGCGAAAAAGAAGTATTCTCAGTACAAAAAGCAGCTCCGCGAGCAGATCCTGCAACAGAACCTTCCCCGTCCGACCTGCAAGTGCGGGGTGACGACGCTAAAAGCCATCCGGATGGGGTACAGCTACATGTACGTCTGCCACAACTACCGGGAGGACCAAGGGAGGGGTGATTGCGACTTCATCCAAGCCTGGAAGAATATGGAGATCGATGTGGGGAAAATTGTCGAAGAAGTCAACAAAGTGGAGCAGAAGGAGATCGAGAAACAACTGCACGAGATCGACAACATCGGAAACTTTCGGAATTACCGGGACTTGGAGCCCGGTGTGGAAAAGGAGCTGCGGGGGTCTTTATCGAAAGTGGATACTTTCGAGAAATTGACGTCGGGGAAAGACAAAATCGACGACTTCGTTCCGAACGGGTTTTCGGAGAAGGCGCGGGAGAAGTTGATCCAGGAACAGCCCGGGATGTTTATTGCGGGGAACAAGAAAGATTCTGCTCGGCATAAAAATCGTGGCGCTCATGCGACCTCCTCCGATCTATTGGATGTGGATGACGAGCTCCGTGCGTCGATGGCGAATGTGAACGTGATTGGGCCGGACGATAGTGTGTCGAACTACGTGCCGTCGCCCGAACGGAGGATGGACAATAGAACGTCGCGGAATATTCACATTCACGAGCAGAGGCACAACTCCAACCAAGGTTTAGCGTCTTCGAAACCGAATCTCTTCACATTGGCAAACGGGAACGCGGTCCCGCCGGTAGTTCGGAAAAATGAAAACAAGAGCAGTTTCGCCGACGCTCTGTTTGGCTCTTCGAGGAACGAGCGGCAGGCACAGAGCAGAAGTAATGTAAACTACAACGTTGACAGAGACAGTTTTGGGTACAACAACAGCCAAAAGCAGCTCAACGCTCGATCGGAATTTCGGCCTCCGAATCGTACGGATCAGAAACAGCCGTTTCGCATGAATATGAATCCGCCAGCGATCAACAAGAACCGGAACAATAGGCAGAAAACTTCTGAACAACCGATAATTCCCGTGCAGCAACAGCAGCAGCCGCAAGTTTCGAACTGCCACTGCGGTTTGAAAGCGAAATTCGTCACAACCGTTGACGCAACGAGGACACAAATCTACGGGTGCGGGATTGGCATGGCAGGAGTTCCAAAATGTGGGTTTCAGTGGGAGTGCTCAGCTGCGGTCGGAACGGGTTTACCCCGGAAGGGAAGTTCTTCTCTTGCGCCCGTGCAGCAGTACGTGCAAGCGAGACCGGCGGGTCTGAGCTTGAACGATTACGAGATGCAGCGGTTGCGAGAACAGGAGGAGGAGGATCCGGAGTTGAAGCGGAGACGGTTGTATGTGGGGATGGATTGAGCACAAAAAGAAGCTCTGACAAAATTCTCTAATCTTGTTTATCAATAGTCATCGTTTCAATTTTATCGTTTGTGAGAGCTATGGTATGATCCTGTGGCTAGCTTTACAAGTCACATTTGCAATATTCCTAGAATGAATTTTAACAATTTTATGGCGAGATCCAGAGCGCCACCAATGTCCTTTACTGTTTTGGTACACTACCCTAGCGGAACTGCGGGATCCTTTACCGTTTCGAAAGCTCAGGCTTGAAGAATCAACTCTCTATCTAGTACTCGAAGGGGAAATTAGTTGCAAATGTGAATACCAAAAAATCAGAAAATGAACTGGCCAGTAGACAGCACCTTCACGAACTTCTTTCTAGAGAACTTGTTTATCCTTTCTTCTTTATTTTTTCAGTTGCAGCTGCTATGTATTGCATTTGCAGTTACTCTTTGTCCTGTTTCAGAAAATAAAGCTAGCACTGCGTTCGTCTTCTAAATTTTCATGCCCTCGAGAACTTTTCTTCTTTTCCAAGAACAATTTTACATTTTTTATCTCTGGGATTTTACAAAGCAATGTCATCATCTCTCGCGCTGATCGCACTCCATCACCGGCCGGAAAAAAAAAAAGAGAAAGCAAATTTCTATTTCAACAGCAAATTTCTATTTCAACAACCAAATTTGGGAACATATTTTGATTTTGAGAATTTCTTTCTAAAGGTCAATCAGACGCCGAATATCAATACATTTGGTTTTATTGATGGAGATGGCGTTGCTACTCGATTTGTGAACTTTTTTCTTCTTGAATGCTTGCGGCCAGAAAAGCTACTTAAAGGAAGCAGAACTGTAAAAGTCAATGTAGAATAGATACCGAACGAGGACCACAACAATAAGATGAAGTTTACTACAAATTCAAATATTTATTATCGGTTATCGAAGTGGAAGTTAAAAAATTGAGCTAATATTTGGTTCCAGTTTCGATTGCGGAAAAATTTAAATGATTTTCGGCTTGGATAGAAACTCCTGTCTGTGACTGGTGCTACAGAAGAAAATAGAAATGAAAATGATAAAGTTTCAATTTGCTTTTTTTGTTCTTCATTAGCGGAGCAGACAATTAAATGGTGGCGCCGCCTGTTCGACGTGTGATTTTGGAGGGCGTGTGCAAGTGCGTCAGGAGGTATTGAAGGTGATGGCACCTGTGTAGAATGAACTTCAACCTGTTTCTGCTTCACAAAGCGTGCGTATGTGGTGTACTACCCGGTGGATTTTTGTGGAGAGTAGAGTGACACGATCTGTTGAATATCAGCGCAGTAGAGTCGAGCCTATCGGCTCCTTAGTGTGTTTGCAAAATGGCAGAAAATCGTACCAGAAAGCAAGAAGTTCTTGAAAAGCACACGACTCGGACTCGGTAAAGTAGAGGATCGAGAGTGAGGTAGAGAATCACACCTCACATCGAGACTCCGAAGATGAGCCCCTTGAAGCAGACACGAAAACGCCTCTCAAGTTGAAGAGGCCACAAACCCAACGTGCTGGTGAAGATCAGGAAGACCTTCAGAACTAAACGACCACGGCGCGGTCCTTCGCTTTCCAACGGAGTCACGACCATCTCCCACGATGGGCATGGGTTCGGCCGGTGGCGGTGCCGCCACGGTCCCGCTCCGGACAAAAGGCGGGGTTCGCGATTACATGACCTGCGGCCTCTACTCGTGGACGGGAAGTTTGTCCTCGACCTACGGCTTCCACCTGCTCGTCCTGATCTTCACCGGGCACCACATTTTGAAGGGTTTTGTTGGCGGCGGCGGGTCTGGGGGGATTGTCGGCGCGGGGATGGAGTATCACTTCCGAGATCATAAGGTACTACAGGTGCTGATAGATTAATACCGATTGCGTCCTCGCTTAGCGCTCGCGTATGCATGACAGATCCCCACACGACCCACCCTGCTCTGATTCTCTTTCAGGTTTCCGGTTCCAGCCTTCAGATTTACCAGTCCGTCGCCTCCCTCCCTTGGTCGATCAAAGCCATCATGGGCCTCGTTTCCGACTCCTTCCCCATGTACGGCCGGTACTACAAAGCCCCCTACGTCGCCTTCACGACCATGGTCGCCTGTGGCTGCTACCTGTTCGTCGGAAGTCATTTCGTCAGCGTGCAAATCAGCACAATCTGCTTCTTTTTCGCGTTTTTCCAGATGTCGCTCGCGGACCTGATGATCGAGGCGAAGTACGTATCCACAGAAAAAAACCCATCCACATCCAATTTGTCATGCAAAACACGTATCAAATCACGTGTTTGTCATGCAAAAAACGGATATGGATGGTTTTTTTTTCTGTGGATAGTACGCGGAGCAAGTGAAAAAACACCCCGAGAAAGGCCCGGACTTGATCTCCTTCGTCTGGGGCGGGATGTCGTTGTGGACGCTTTTATCCACCGTGATCGTCGGGTATTTGATCGAGAACCTCGGGGCGGACAGCTGTTTTCTCTTCGCCCTGCCGTTTGCGGCTTTGATCTTACTCCCAACCCTCGGCGATTACTTCGAAGAGGGCGCGGAGTACGACGAGCAGAGACTACGCGAGCAGCAGGAACACGAGGAACAGATGGAGGCCTACGCGGAATATGTATTGCAAAAGCATCGTACTAGCATCAATCGCAATACAAATTTTTTCACAAAGAAAAATGGAGTTTGTAATGCTGATTTGGCCATGAAAGCAGATTTGTCATGCATGATTGCAATCAGTATCAGTACGAGTGCGATACTTTTGCAGAGCATACGGAGCAGCAGCCGACCATTGAGTCTGAGACAACGCGACTCGCCGATTCCGGCGCCGCGTCGCAGGCGAGCGACTACAAGGCAGCCGACACGTATGGAAGCGTCAGGTTTGAAATCGTCAAAGTTGAAATAAGTTGTAATGCATAAGATGCATGACCCGAGGCACGTGCGTTGGAGAGCAGGCAAGTGAGGCCGATTGTGAGCCTGTTTGGGGTTACAGCTCGAGCTGCTAAAGTAGCATGAGAAAATCACTCCTCTTTGCCTAAACAGCATGACAAACTGGACTTGGGGACCACCGAAATTTGTCTTGCGCGACTTGGAAACTGGGTTCCAACTGGCATCCATTTAATGCATGACAAATTATTTCAACTTTGTCGATTTATTCAACTCCGACGCTTCCATAACACGGCGAGCGCCGCGGTCGCACTTCAAAGGACCAGTCCGCAACTACCGCTTAACAGCGCGTCGTCTTCCCCAGAAGACAATACCGCATTAGTAGTACCAGGTGGAGGAAGTGCTGGTGCTCGTCCACCTTCCAGCTTGGTGAGAAGCGAACCCGAGGGGGAAAACGCGATAGCGAGTCAACGAACCAGCACATCCTCCGTGAAAAACAGCCAGCACTTGCTGCAAATTGAGGAGAACAGACCGATCTTCTACCTCGCGATTTTCATGGGCATTTCCGGCATTACCACCGCCGCGTTCTCCGTGCTAGTCACGTCAAAAATCCTGAATTTCATCGTCGCCTACGGCCTGGGCCTGACCGTGCTTTTCGGGTTCTCCGTCTTCCTCCGTCCGATCGTCGCCAAAATGAACGCGTTTTTCTTCATTCAGAACGTGCTCGCGGTCTCCGTGCACGGGGCGGCGTTCTACTTCTTCACCGACACGCCCGAGCAATACCCCGACGGGCCGCATTTCGAGCCGCATTTCTACATCTCCGTGATCGGGATCGTCGCTTCGGTGTTTAGTTTGATCGGGATGACGACCTACAACATGTACGCCAAAGAGTGGAACTACCAAACAATCCTGATGTACAGCAACATTGTCGCCATGTTCCTGCAGTTGGTCAACTGCATCGTGTTTTTGCGCTGGAACGTGAAGATGGGCATACCGGATTCGTACTTCATGGTCTGCTCCACGGGGATCACCAGTGCGGTGTTTCAGTTTGGGTACATTAATGAATATGGGACTGGTGTTGATCTTTTTAGGCACTACATTTCTTGTGTTGTTGTCCTCGCTTGATGAGCTCATGTCTCGCCTTCTGATGTTTGTGTTGATGTCGAGACTATGCTTTCTCAGTGTTACCACCAATATCAACAGCTGGATGCCTGGTACCGTCATGCTCGCGCAGATGGTTCCCCGCGGCTTGGAGTCCACGATGTACGCCTTACTCGCTGGCAGCTTTAACATGTCGACCATGATGTCCAATTACAGTGGCGCGCTCCTGCTCGAACTCCTCAATTGCCGACCCAACGGCAGCAAGAACGAGGGGAAGGAGTTCGAGTACCTCTGGGTGGGCGCGCTGGTCGGGTCCGCGCTGCCGTGCGTCACGCTGTTCGCAATACCGTATTTGATTCCGAACGCGAAACAAACGGAGAAACTGTTGGTGGAAAACCCGGAAAGCCCGACGATTGGGTCGGTCTACAGTCGGTATTTGAAAGGCAGGTACGGGCGGTTAGTCGACGACCCGAGCAGCGCACCACCAGGGGGCGGCGGGGCGGAGGTCCTGGTTGTAAACAGGGGGGAGCAGGAGGAGAATCACCGTGTGGTGTCTCCGGTGCTGGGGCGACAACGCAGTCCGGTTGCTGCGGGGGAGAATGCGGTGTGACGAGGTGACGAGGTCAACACGACGGTAGCACTGTCCGTAGTACCGTCGTCGTGAGTGTCATCAGCGCCGTCTGGTCTGGCTTTGGCTTCGAAGAAGTGCTTGCGGAAGAAGGTCAGGCTTCGTTGCCCGGGGATGCGACGGTGATGTGTTGATGATTTCGATTTGTTCCTAGGAATACAGTCTTGATGTTTCGACTGCGGCTGCCGTTTGCATTTTTTTTGGCAGTGGGAGGCAGAGGCTTACTGGGTTGACAGATAGAAACGTGAAATGAACTACTTGATGTTGGAAAAATTAGTTCTACCTATATATAATGATAATCACTTGAGAATACAAAGAACCGCTGAGGAAAATGATTCCAAAATTGATTGTATGGACCTGCAAGCGTAATCCATTGGACTGCCGGGAAACGGCGGCCTGAATCTGGTAAACAGCAGCCATGGAAGCACCACGTGCGCGGCTTGCTTGTTCTGGAAAAGCACATGCTCTGCGACCCTGCCGGAGTTGTGTTTTCCTAACACGAGACGAGGGGCCGGCGGCATTGAGTGATTCTATTTTATGTCCCGAGAAGAGTTTGTGGCCTTGAAGGCACCAGAAAGTTGTTGTTCGGAGCGTGAGGTGGATTGTTCCTAGTTCTCTCTTCAGCAGACGGCGAGTGGGACTTGGCTCAGTAGTGACGCAGACCGAATGAGTGAAGGGAGTCGGCCGCTGCCGTGCAGATCCATCCGCTTCGTGCGCACTTGCCGGGGCCTTCCCCGCATGTTTCGCCGGAAGGTGGCGGGCGCCCGCTTCGTCGCGTCGTCGGCGATCGGAGCACGGGCGCGCGCGTGGTGGGGGCGATCTGCAAAAGACCTCCAGTAAAGCACCGGGCTGCAGGGGGCCGGCCAGATCGGGGGGCCAAAGTACACTACTGGCTTGCAGCGGGGGCCGCCTTCTCAACTGGCAGGCCCTTACTGCGCCTGGAGCGGCCTCTGCGCACGAACGTCTCCTCCACCGAAACACAGGAGAGCCCTCTCGCGCGGTATGTTGCTGAGCACGCGAGCAGCCACGTAGCGCAACCGGTGCGGCCCCCGACATTGCAAACCCCCACCACCGCGCGCCCGCGCCGCGGGCGCTCGCTTCCATCGATCCTTGCGCGGGCCAGCCTGCTGCTGGCAAAGCCGGCCGCCAGCGCCTGGGCCCGCGCCGCGGGCCCAGGCGGAAACCAGAGGAGGACCCCACCGGGCCTCTCTTTGTTCGGTCGCTTCATCTCGTCGCCGGGCCCGCCCAAGTTGCGCCCCAGGATTGGGGGGGCTCTGTTGGGTAAGCCCGCAAGCAGAACTCGCAGCACGCAGTTGCTGTTGGCGCACCTCGGCGCTTTTATGTTTCAGCGCCAGCCAGGCGGGCTCGTCATCGTGGGCGCGCATGTGGCGCCGCCGGTGTTGCTACGCCTCCCCAGCTTGTCAGAGGTTGCGCCGCACGGGGAAGTAGCCAAGCGGAAAGTCGAGGTCGAGGACAATGCCCCTGGTCTGTTTTGCAGTCGTCCGCAGGATAATTGTTCTTTGTGGTTGTTCTTTGTGGCAGTGTGTCCGCTATGCTGAGTTGGTGACTGTTTCGATGGTCCTGGTCGGCAGAGCCCGCATGCACTTGGCCGAGTCGGCGCGTATGAATGCTTCATGTGTTGAACGCATGAAGCAGAGACTCCTGTTGCAAGCGCACTGAGCTGAGTTGTCTTGCGTGCTTATCAAGCGAGGGAGGCAGTCAGGAGGAAGTTCAGCGGGTGAGAGTCTACGAAAGAGAGCGCTTGTTCGATGTGCTTGTGCATTGAAAAAGAAGCGGTCTGAGTCTTGATACCGTGGCGAGGCAGCTATTCGTGCTCCGTCCCCATCAACACCCGGCTCGACGTCCTTGGTCGCTAAAACCAAGCACACAACCAATCCTCGCTCATCCATGGCCCTCTCTCCCAAGTTGGAATGGAAGGCCATCCTGAACGACTCGCCGCCGCGCCGGCGGAGCAGTGTGGACGCCTCTTGCAGTCCCGTGATGCGGTTCCGCGCCACGGCGCACGCGATCGGCCCGCCCGGATCATCCAAGACAGATTTCTCCTATCATGGAGGAACAACTCTCACGGCCGCAGGGCTGCAGAAGAAGCAGATGGAAGCGTTTCGACTGGCTTCCGCAGCGTCCTCGCCCAACAGCACGGGCGGAGCGAAGCAGTGCCTCGTCGTGGACCTGAACGCACTAAACCCTGCGACACATCAGCATGATGTCATCCCACAGTCCTTGCCAGTGCGGCGGCTGTTGCCACAGGTACCATTGTTTTGTCATCTGTTATTAGAAGTACCAGTCCGCACCACGACCTGCAGGAACAGGCACAAGTGCCATATGCTTGACTCGGTGAAGTAGAACTCACGCGTTTTCATTTGTTCAAACTTTGGTTTCTTCACGAGCTAAACGCACTTCGACAGAAGTAAGCGCGAACTACAACCTCGACCTACCAGGCCGTGCAACGATACCGGCTTCAAGGTGGCGGAAGCTCGGGCTCTTCCGCAACTCCGCTCCAAATTTATCTCCGCGCAGACGCATCTCTAGATGAGGCGCCTTGGCAACCGAAGAGCACAAAAGTGGCGCCGCCGCACAACTGGCAACGGGAAATGTCGGTGGAGCAAGCGGGGTTGTTACACGACATTCCATCACAGTACTTGGAGGTACTTCCAGACGTGGTTAGTACCGGTAGTTCAAAAACGTCGGGGGCCGCAGCTGCATCTCGGTCTTCCTCCTCCTCGCCAAGCAAGAAAGCGGGCAATAAAAAACGGCTGGACGCCCTTCTGGTGAAAACGAGAACGGAAAACGTTTCGGAAGATTTCAGTGGGATACCGAAGGCCGGGCCGAATGACTGGAACGCTTTGCACGACGAAGAGGGCCAGAACGTTGCCGAGTTCGTGGAGCGCGTGGTATCACGACGGTCAAGACCGGTTGCGCGATCGGGAAACAACAAGCCAGTACAACGGGCGAAGATCTTCCTCCTCCCTTGCGGAACAGGGTCGAGTTTCACTGTCGCACCGCACAAAAACCAGGCAATGAGCTCTGCATCGGCACCTGCGTCAGCAGGAGCAAACTCCACTGTTAGTCGTGCCAGTAAGCAATCAGGCTTCGCCGGGCCGTTCGGCGGCTTTGTGCAAAAAACCACCAGTGCTAGCGTCTCGCCAAGCAAAACCGCCGCGCGTTTTCGGAGCGCCAGTCGTTCTTCGACGAGTTCTCCGGATGCGAAACTACGCATGCGCGCAACGGCAGCTTCGAGCAGTGGTGCTGGTTCGCAAACGCAACAGCATTCGGAGCAGGAAACTTCTTCCACGAGATCCTCCAGCATCCCGGCATCTTCACAAGCACGGGGCCGGAACACGAACACGCGAAACAGAGCTGGGACTCTGCCGGGCGAGGATAATTTGGAATACGATGCGAAGGCCTTTTTAGAACAGCTTCGCCAGTACTGCGAAGCTTTTTTCACTAACGCAACAGTCTCTCTTCTCCCCTACCAACGGTTCACGGACGTGCAAACGCGCCTGACGGGAGGGAATACGATGAACAGTCCGACCGTGAAGCAGCTCCACGCGGGGGAATTGCTGAAAAAGCACCTGATACCGCTGAAAAAGCGCAATGGGTTTTCAACATCTACGGGCGACACTAATGCGGACGACGACAGCTCTTGTGCGCCCTACGCGGTTATGGCGATCACCTACGAGGATCTGTATCCCTGTGAGGACTGGCCCTTCGTATCTGGTCTCTCCGACACCTTGCAGCGCGTCGGGGTCTGTTCGATTGCGAGGTACGTACTTTACCCGGACGACATGCCCCTCCTCGGCGGGTATTGCTATTTGAAACTCCTTATCCTGTGCAAAAGTATCGTACTCGTACTAATTGCAAACGTGCATGACAAATATTTTTCCTATGGCAAAACAGCATTACTTTCCTTTTTGCCAAAATTTGTCATGCAATTTATACTTAGTACGATACTTTTGCAATGCATACCCTTGAAACGCACGTTCCGCTTGATCACGCACGAGCTGTGCCACTGCTTCCAGATGAAGCACTGCGTCTACTTCAGCTGCCTGATGAACGGGTCCAAAAATTTTCATGAGGCCGAGCAGAAGTTCTTCGATTTGTGCCCGGTGTGCCTGACGAAGCTGTACTTCATGCTGGAAATGGACGTCCAGGAGCGGTACAGGAAGCTGCACCACTGCGTCGGGAGTTGCAAGCGGAAGGCATGTTCGAGTTCTACGTTGGGTTCTTTTACTTGCAGCTCGTCTGCAGCGATCAGTACTGGGGCGTATGAAACAGCTTCAGCAGCTGCTAATACAACAACTTCTGCTGCAGCGAAAAGAGCAACCGGTTGTTCTGCTGATGTCGTCTTCGAGTGTGACGCACCGGCTGCTGCGCTTGGAATCGTCGGCGATGGCAGTGATTATGGCGGAACGTTGGGAAGAAGCGCACTGTGCCCGTCGGAGGTGAACGCGACTAATCGTGTTCTTGCATCGTGGACTGCATGGTGGGAAAGGAGACTTGCAATGTTTTGACGCATCAGGTTCAGGCGCAATGCAGTTTGTAATACTTCTAACTTCTCGCTGCAGGAGGATGAAGACCTCGCTGCGTAAGGCATGACTAAAGATTGTGTTTCAATACGTGTTCATCAACATTTGAAGGCTTATTTTGGACTCAGGAACACGAACACATAGAATCAGCCTCCAATTCTCAAACAAGTGATGAGCCACTCTTTCTTTGCGACTGAGTGTGAGTTGTAAAAACGAGCCGCAACGAAAGCGGATCAGGTTCGATGCAAGCTTTTTTCTATGGGAATACGTAACTCATAGATCATCATAAGCAAAAGAAAGTCAGTTGTGTAGCAGGAGCGACAAAAGGCGGATTGGTACGCCAAAAAAATGTAAGCTCGGCCCAGGAGCGGGTCGGGCGTGCCAGCAGTGGATCCCTTTAGGACAAAAGGGACTCCACTGATTGTGAATTTATCCACACCGCGATGAAGCCCCCCATCCATGCGAGCGGGTCCTCGTTCGTGGCGCATCTTCCAGCTGCGCCGCCACCATCCGGAACCGACCGGCTGGGCTTCGCGAGATTCGCTGAGCTTAATCGGCTGTACCCGATCATCTTCGTTTTGGGCACGACCATCTACGTCTGGACTGTGTACGCGGCGTGCTACCTCGTTCCCAGTCTCGGCTTCCCGCAGCACACCATATTTGAGCCCGGGGTGACTGTGACAGCAGAGGGGAAATTTACGGCGCAGGTATATGCAAGTCTTACTGGTCGTGCGCTTCTCAGTTTGCCAAATTCGTATATTCTGTTTTTCGTGATGAACATGACGTGTGGTGGGACTGGGAGCAAAACCTCCTTCTGAACTAGCGTGGCCTTGTACTTGTTCCAGGGACGGTGATGTCGAATGTACTTCTACGCACTTTAGATGAACAAACCCTCGTCCTCCAGGTCCAAGGATGGTTTTTTCTTGCGTCCACTCTGCTGTTCCTGCACAGCTATGCCAACGCGATATTCACGGAGCCTGGGTTCATTCCCGACAGCCGCGCGTGGCGGATGCACGCCAACAACGACGGCAGTGAACTTGCTCCCTTCCTGATCGAGAAAAAGAAGGACGGGTTACTCCGGCACTGCAAGTGGTGCGCCAAGTACAAACCGGACCGCGCGCACCACTGCCGCGTGTTGGGGAAGTGCGTGTTGAAAATGGACCACCACTGTCCCTGGATCTGCAACACGGTTGGGTTCTACAACCACAAATATTTCATGCTGATCCTCTTCTACGCCACGTGCTGCCTGTGGATTCTCTTCTTCAGCCTCCAGCCCTTCATTCGGCAGATCATCACGGAGTCGGCGACCGGGATGATGGAACTTCCCGCGGTCTCGCTGTTCCTGCTGATTTTCGCGGCCAGCATCGGGTTTCTGTTGGGAATCGTGGTGACTTCGTTCTTCGCGTTCCATTTGTACCTGGTTTCGATTAACTCCACGACAATTGAATTCTGCGAGAAGCAGGGCCAGTGGGAGATGCAGGATCAGTTCGAGTTGCTCGGCGCGGTTTCGCGGGCAACGGAAGAGCCGGTCTGTGGCGGGAACGCGGATTCAAGGTTCGACTTGGGGTGTTTTGCGAATTTCAAGGCAGCGTACGGGGAGAACTTTTTTTGCTGGTGTCTGCCGTTCACGGGGCCGGAAGGTAGAAAAAGATAAACAAGGTTTGGATGGTGTGATTTTGGCCTTTATTGTGTTTGTTGGATTTCCATTCTTGCAGTTGCATAACGATGGACTAGGCATCAATAATTGGTTTTCAGAAGAACAATGATGTTGATCAGAACAAGGGAGTGCCATTATGTTGATTTACGTAATCCACCCCGACTTCACCAGATGACGGCATCATCTACCCGCATAACCGGTTCCAAGGCGGGAGTTTAAGCAATGCGGCAACGAGCGGAACAAGTAGCAATCGAACCACCGACCAGCCACTGTTGCAGATGAGCAGCGGGATAAGCACGACGCGGCGGTCGGATGCTAGGAAGAACAAGAAGGATAAGAACAGAGAGAAACAGAATTCTGCTGCAAAGATGAAGCAAATCGAGGAAGAGGACAAAGCAGCAATTACGGCGGATCAGTTCTTCGCTAGGACCGATGCATCTCCATCGGCGCTTGGGCCGGTTGTAGTTCCTCCGTCCGGCAAAAATAAAGAGAACATGAAGTCAGCACATCTCCTTCCTACCGCACAAGGAGTAGCTCATAACATAGCCGAAGCCTCGCTCGCGAAGGTAGAGATTACCGACGGGGGCAAGATTTTTGAGAACGGGCACTACGAGGGGGTGCACAATTTGATGAGTTCGGTGGGGGTGAATAAAGGGGCAGGAGCTCCGACCGTATTAGCAGGAGACGGCGGTGTGATCGATGAGGAAGATACGCCAGACAGTTCTGCAGCTTGCGCCCCGTCCTCCAGCAGAAATCCGACCTCGTTCTCCCATCGCAGTGGAGGTTTAGAAGTGCAAGAAGAAGAAGAAGAACTACAGAGGGCGACGTCCGCAGCAGAGCAAACATCTACATCTTCCGCGGCACCAGCTGCACGGGGTCGACAGCGATTCACTGCGTCTGTCCTGGCAACCACGAAAGACGAGGAGCTATACTCCACCTCCGAGACTCGTTCGAAGTCGACTGCGTACCCGAGCAGCTCGTCCGCCAACAAGAAAAAAAAGTAAAAATAAAAAAAAAAGACAAAAAAAAAAAAAAAAGAAAGAAAAGCTATATAAAAAAAAAAAAAAATAGAAAACTAATACAAAAAAAAATATTTAAAAATAGAAAAAATAAAAAACAAAAAAAATCAAAAAAGAAAAGAAAAAAGAATTAAAAAAAAAAAAAAAAATAAAAAAAAAAAAAAATTTATAAATAGAATAAAAAATAAAAAACAAAAAAAAAGAAAAAAAGAACAAAAACAAAGAAAAAAGAAAAACAGAAAAAAAACAAAAACAAAAAAAATTTAAAATACAAATAAACAATAAAAAGAATAAAAAAAAAAAGAAAATCAAAAAAAAAAGAAAAAACAAAAGAAAAAAGAAATAAGAAAAGAAAAAAACAAAAAAAAAAAAAAAAAAAAAAAAACAGAAAATACAAAAAAAAAAAGAAAAAATAAAAAAAAAAAAAGAAATAAAACTAAAAAAAAAAAAAAAAAGAAAACAAAAGAATAAAGAAAAAAAAAAAAAAAAAAACAGAATAAAAATGAAAAAAAGACACAAAAAAAAAAAAAAAAAAAAAAAAAAAAAAAAGAAAAATAAAAGATCAAAAACACCAAAAAAAACAAGAACAAATATTAAACAAGAAAAAAATACAGAATATACTAGAGATAAAAAAAAAACGAATAAAAAGAAAAAAGAAAAAAAAAAAAAAAGAAGACAAAAAAAACAAAAAAAACTACAACAAAGAATACAAAAACGAAAAAAACCAAAAAAACAACAAATAAAAGAAAGCAAAAAACAAAAAAAAAAACAAAAACAATACAAAAGAAAAAAAAAAAAAAAACAACAAGAAAAAATATTACACAGGAAAGAAAAAAAAAAACAAAAAGAAAGAAAACAAAAAAGTAAAAATAAAAAAAAAAAAAAAAAAAAAAAAACAGAAAAAAAAAAGATAAAAAGAAGAAAAAGAAAAATTATAGAAAAACCAAAAAACAGAAAGTAATAATGATAAAGAAAAAAAAAAAAAAAAAAACAAAAAAAAAAAAAAGAAAAAGAAATAAACAAAAACAAAAAAAAAAAAAGCAAAAAATAACAACTCAGAAGAAAAAATAAAAAAAGAAAAGCAAAAAAAAAAAGACAAAAAAAATAAAAATAGACAAAAACAAACAAAACAAAAAAAAAAAAAAATAACAAAAGAAAAAAAAAAGCAAGAAAAAAAAAAAACAAAAAAAAAAACAAAGAAAAAAAATAAAAAAAAAAAACAAAAGAGTAAAGAAGGAAACGAAAAAGAAAAAAAAGAAACACAAAAAAACAATAAAATAAATAAAACAAAAAAAAAAAAAAGAAAAAAAAAAGTGACAAAATAGAAAAAAAAAAAAAAAGAATATAAAAAGAAAAAAATAAAAAAGAAAATTCAAAAAACAAATTAACAAAATACAATGAAAAAAAAAAAAAAAAAAAAAACAAACAAACATAAAAATCAAAAATTAAAAAAAAAAAACAAATATGCAATGAAAAAAAAAGAAAAAAAAAGAAAAAAGAAAAAAACGAAAAAAAAAAACGAAAAAAAGAAAAAAAAAAAAATAAAAGAAAAAAAAAAAAAAAAAAATAAAAAATAAAAAAAAAAAAAAAAAAAAAAACAAAAAAAAAAACAAAATAAGCATAACAAATTTAAAAAAATAAGTAAGTAAAACAAAAAAATAAACAAAAAAAAAAACAATAAAAGACAAAAAATATAATAAAAATCAAAAACATAAAATAAAAAAAAAAAAGGACAAAAACAAAAATAAAAAAAAAAAAAATAAAAAACAAACTAAAAAAGAACAAAAAACAAAAAAATATAATAAAAAACAAAAACAAAAAAAACAACCAAAAGAAAAAACAAAAAAGTAAAAAAAAAAAAAAAAAAAAAACATAAAAAGAAATAAAATAAAAATTAAAAAAAACAAAAAAAAACAAAAATAAAGAAACAAAAATAAAAAAAAAAGTAAAAAAAAAAAAAAAAAAAAAAAAAAAAAAAAAAAGCATAAAAACAAAAAAAAAAATAGAAAGAAATAGAAAAAAAAAAAAAAAAAAAAAAAAAATAATAAAAAAAAAAAAAAAAAAAAAAAAAAAAAAAAAAAAAAGACAAAAAAAAAATAAAAACAAAACGCACAACTACAAAAAAAAAAAAAATAGAACAATAAAAAACAAAAAAATAAAAATAAAAAAAGAAAATAAAAGGAAAAATAAAAAAAAAAAAAAAAAAAAAATAGAAAACTAAAAAAAAAAAAAGATTAAAAAACTGCAAATAACAAAAAAAAACAACAAAAAAAAAAGAAAGAGAAAAAAAAAACAAATAAAAAAAACAATGAAAAAGAAAGAACAAAAAAAAAAAAAAGAAAAAATAAAAAAGTAAAAAGAAAAAAGATTAAACAAAAAAGAACAAAAAAAGAAAAAAAACCAAAAAAAAAAATAACAAAACAACAAAAAAAACAAAATAAAACAAAAGAAAAAAAGAATTAGAATTAAAAAGAAAAAAATATGAATAAAAAAAAAGAAAAAAAAAACACAAAATAAATAAGAAAACACAAAAAAAATTAACAAAAAAAAAAAAAACGCAAAACAAAAAAATAAAAAAAAACAAAACAAACACAAAAATAAAAAACAACTACATAAAAAAAACAAAAAGAAACTGAAATAAAAAAATAAAAAGAAAAAAAAAAAAAAAAAAAAAAAAGCAAAAAAACTCCACGAAAAAAAAAAAAAACGAATAACAAAAAAAAGAAAAAAGCAAATGAAGAAAAAAACAAAAAAAAAAAAGAAAATAAAAAAGAAAAACCAAAAAAAGAATACATTAAAAAGTAATACAAGCAATAAAAAGAAGAACAAAACGAAAAAAAAAAACAAGATAGAGGAAAATGAAACAAAGAAGAAAAAGAAAAGATAAAAAAAAAAAAAAAAAAAAAAAAAGAAAAAAGAAAAAAAATACAAAAAAAAAGAAAAGAATGAGAAAAAAAAAAAAAAAAGCGAAATAAAAAAAAAAAAAAGATAAAAAAAAAAAAAAAAAAAAAAAAACGAGAACAAAAATAAAAAAGAAAAAAAAAAAAAAAAATAAACGAAAAAAAAGAAAAAAGAAAAAGCAAAAGACAAAACAAAAGAGACAAAAAAAACAAAAAAAACAACAACAACAGCAACAAAAAAAAAAAAAAAATTACAATCAAAAAAAACAGGAAAAAAAAAAAAGAAAAAACCGAACAAGAAAAACAAAAAAAGGAAAAAAAAAAAAGTAAAAGAAAAGAAAAAAAAAAAAAACATGAAAAACAAGAAAAGAAATAAAAAAAATAAAATACAAAAATAGCAAAAAAGAACAGAAGATTAAAGAAAAAGAAAAAATTATAAAAAAAAAAAAAATAAAATATAGAAAAAAAAAAAAAAAAAAGCATAAAAAAAAAACAAAAAAAAAAAAAAAAAATAAAAATAAAAAAAAAAAACAAAATAAAAAAAGAAAAACGAATAATAGAAAAGCAAAAAAGAAAGAAAATAAAGAAAGAACAAAGAAAAAAAAATAAAAAAAAGAAAAAGAAAAGATGAAAGAAAAAAAAATTAAACAAAAAAATTTTCAAAAAAAAAAAAAAAAAAAAATAAAAAACATAAAAAAAAAAAACAAATAAAATAATAATAAAAAAAAACAATAAAAAAAAAAATAAAAAAAAAAAAAAAAATAAAAATAGTAAAAAAGAAAGAAAAAAAAAAAAAAAAAAAAAAAAAAAAAATAAGAAAAATTAAAAATAAAAAAAACAAAAAAGAACAAAACAAAAAACAGAAAAAAAAAAAAAAAAAAAAAAGAAACAAAAAAAAAAAGAAAACATAAAAAAAACAAGCAAAAAAGAAAGAAACAAAAAAAAAAAAAACAAAAAAAATAAAAAAAAAAAAAAAAAAAACAAAAAAGAAAAGAAAAGAAGAGAAAACAAAAAAAACCGAAAAAAAGACAGATAAAAGAAATGAAAAATAATACAAAAGAAAAAAAAAAGAAAAAAAAAAAAAAACCAAAACAGAAAAAAAGAAAAAAAAAGAGAAAAAAAAAAAAAAGAAAAACGAAGAAAAAAAAAAAAAGAAAAAAAAGAAAACAAAAAAAAAAAAAAAAGAAAAAAAAAAAAAGACAAAAGCAAAAAAAACAAAAACAAAAACAGCACAAAAAAAAGAAACAACGAAAAAAAAAAAAGAAGAACAAAGAAACCAAGAAACAGAAGAAAGAAAAACCGAAAAAAAAAAAAAGAAACAATAAAAGAAAAAAAAAGAAGCAAAAAAAAACAACGCAGTAGAAAAAAAAGAAAACGACATAAAAACAAAAAAAAACGAAAAAAAAAAAAAAGTAGCAAAAGAAGGAAAAAAAAATAACAAAAAAAAAAACATAATAAAAAAAAAAAAAAAGAAAAAAAAAAAAAAAACAACAAAAAAAACAAAAAATAAAAAACAAAAAAAAAAAAAAAAAAAGATTAAAATTAAAAAAAAAAAAAAAAAAAAAAAAGACAAAAAAAAGCAAAACGAAAAAACAGAAGCCAAAAAAGGAAAAACAAAAGAAAACAAAAAAAATACAATAAAAAAAGAAAAAAAAACGAAAACTAAATAAAAAAAACAAAAAATAAAAAACACAAAAGGAAAGACAAAAAAGAAAGAAAAGCAAAAAAAAAAAAAAAAAAAAAAGAAAGAAAAAAAAAAAAAAAAAAAAAAAAACAAAAAAAAAAAAAAAAAAAAGAAAAAAAAAAAAAAACAAAAAAAAAAATAAGCAAAAAAAAAAGAAAACAAAAAAAAAAAAAAACAAAACATATTCACAAAAAAAAAGAAAAAAAAAATAAAAAAAAAAAAAAACAAAAAAAGAAAGAAAAAGAAAATAAAGAAAGCGAAAAAAAAAAAAGTATCAAATGTAAAAATGTCTGGGTCTGGAAGAATCCAACTTGTCATGCTGATTTTGGATTCTAAAAAAATCTGTATTGCGTGAGCAGCAAAGAGAGTCCAAGTTTTGCTACACGGAAAGAGCATTTGTCATGCGGTATAGGCATCAGGAAGCCCTCACAAAATCTGTGATGCTAGGGCATGCATCACAGACATCAGGAGTCATGCAAAATGTGCATGACAAACCTGGCAATCTTCTTCCAGACCCAGACATTTTTACATTTGATAACAAGTTCCCGACAGCAAGAAGCCGCAGAAGCGGTCGCAGTACGGCATCAACCCCGACCACGACTACAAAATGCAGCCGCTGAAGCCGAGACACGAAGAGGTCTACATCAACGGGGTTCGAATCCCGAAGAGGAAGTTCGACGAGACCTTCGTGTTTGCGGAGAAGGTTTTGAAGCGCAACGAACCTTTGACCTTCCCCTTCCGCGGCCTCGCCTGCGTGTGCGGGAAGCGCCGGACGGAGACTTCAAGGCAAAAAACCGTGATGGCGGGGGTCGAAGCGGCGCTCGCTCTGCGCCGGAAGGCGGGCGGTTTGACCGTGTCGGGTTTGGGCGCGATGACGAATTTGCTATCCACTAAGGGGTTTGAGTCGCTGCAGAACAGCGGGTTGCTCCAGGCGAAGGGCATGGGCACGTTCGGGACGTTTGATCCGACGGATTTACCGCCGTTGGACACGAACGAGATGAACCAGCCGCACATGCCGGGACGCATGCTGAACACGCAGCACAACCTGCTTTCCCTGTACAAGAACCGGCTGATGCGGGGCGAGGATTTTGACCGCAAAATCGTGGACGACGACAACCATCTCCGCGACATCGAGGTGGAGATCATGAAGCGCAAGCGGGCCGAGGACCCCGAGGAGGTCGAGCGGGTCCAGCGGGACGCGGAGCGCGCCGACCGCCGGTTGAAGCGGGAAGAGAGACGGCGGTTGCGCCGGGACCGCCGGGAAGGGCGCAGACAGGAGCGGATCTTGCTGGGGCAGAACCCGGACGACATCAGCAGCGACAGCAGCTCGTCCAGTTCGAGCAGTTCGTCCCGGTCCTCCCGGTCCGGGTCCTCCCGTTCGCGCGGGCGGCAGCGCGACAAGTCCGAAGACCGCGACGCGCCGTGGGACCCGATCGAACGCATGCGCCGAATGAAGATCGCGGACGAGATCAAGCGAAAGCAGGAGGAGGAGCGGGAGCGGAAGCACCTGGAAGACTTGGAGAAGTTGGAAAAGGCACTGCAACTGGAAGCGGACAGGAAGGGCATCACGGTGGACGAACTGCGCGTGTTGCAGGCGGAGGAAGCGGAGCGCGAGGAGCAGGAAAAGGCGGAGCGCTTGAAGAAGGAGGCGGAGGAGCAGGAGAAGCGCCGCCAGGCGATCTGCGCGGAGAAGGGCTGGGACATGCAGGAACTGCTGGAACGCGAGATTCTTGCCGCGGAGAACAACTTGACCTTGGATCAACTGGAGCTTGCCATGAAGAAGGCGAGCTTCTGGAAGAAGAACAAAATACCCGACTGGTTTTTGACGGGGGACGATATGGAGGACGACATTAGCAAATCTTCCCGGTCGGGCTCGCGCAGCCGATCCCGGTCCAGCAGCCGGTCCCGCTCTCGCTCTCGCAGCCGGTCTCGGTCCCGCAGTCGCCGCAGTAACTCCGGTTCATCTCGTTCCCGGCGTGGTGGTCGCGGGGGCAGCAAGAGCAAGACCTCGCTGTCCCGGGGCAGGAATAAGGAGCGGTCGAAGAAGCGGGCTCCGTACAACCCGCGGCGCGCGATGGATGCTGACGACGACGACGGCCCGGTGACCACGCTGGACCGCGAACAGGCCCAGCGGCTGAAGGGCAAGGGCAAGAAGGGAGGGAAAGGTAGTGGTAAGGGGAAAGGCAAGGGAGGCTTCGACCCGTTGACCGGTCTCGCGGTGGAAGAGGAGGAGGAAGACATGCACTTCCCCGGGTGGAACGTCGTGGAAGAGGACGTGGAGCGCGGCAAGAGTCTGATGCCGACCGTTGCGGGGATTCTCGGCAAAGACAAAGTTGCTGCGGAGGAGGACGGACCGTTAGGTGGTGTGCTGGACACGATGGCCGCTCCCGAGCAAGACTCGGTCGCCGGCTTCCTCGGCGGCGCGAAAAAGCGGCGTGGCAACCGCCCGGCCCGGCCGGACGAGATGCCGATCCCGGGCAACAAGGCGGCGGACTTGCGGGCGAAGAAGAATCCGAACTGGTTTGAGGAGAAGGGCGAAGGTGCCGAAGAGTTTCTGCAGGCCGCTGCGAATAAAGCGCGGGAAGAGTTTTTGAAGAAGGCTTTGAACTCTCTGAAGAAGGGTCAATCGCTCGAGTCCATCGACTTTGCCACGTTGATGAAGGAGGAGATGGACGCCGACGTGGACGGGGAGGACCAGCAGGAGAGCATGACGAAGCAGGGAAAGCGGGTCGTGTTCGGCGTGCAGAAGTCCACGAACTACCAGTACCAGGCGCAGCGGCAGGCGGGCACGAACGCGGGGACGACCACGAACCAGAAGCCGGTCGTGGGTGCGGGCATGAACACGCAATTTGCGCAGATCCAGGAGCAAGCGCGAATCGCGAAGGACGAGGCCACTTTGCGCACCATGGAGCAGATGCAGACGTTGCAGTCGATGGGCGGGTCGCTGATGGCGGGCGAAACGCCCGAGGAGGCGTTGATGCGACAGCAGATCGAAACCCACCTCCAGGGCGCGGGCGGCGGCATGGCGGCTCCGCGCATGGGCGAAGCGGTGCCTCTCACCGGTGGTGCGCAACTCGTGATGGCGCCGGCCCAGCCGAACCACCAGATGACGCTGGTGGACCCCCGGGCGGAAAAGAAGCGGCAGAAGAAGGAACAGAAGAAGAAGAAGCAGCTGGCCACGGCGTTGCAGAACTTGGACGCGGGAGACACTTTGGAATTGGACACTCTGACGCTGGAAAACATGGATGAAGAAACGAAAAAGTTGATGACGAGCGATCTGGTTATCACCTCCACCGGTTCCGGGTGGATGTTGAAAAAGGTCGGGGACAAGGTCGTCAACCCGAACGCCGGGAAAAAGAAAAACAAGATTACCACCGAGGCGCAGCAGGCCGCGGCCGACGAGATGGCCGAGCAGCAAGAACCCGCGCCGGTGATCGACCGGAACGAGATCACGTTGGACGACATCACCGACGACAAGATTGCGGCCTTGGAAGCGGAACAGAAAACCAAAATCGTGTCTTTGGACGATCGTCTGCGCGCGATGGACGCCCTGCGCGAGCAGCAGCAACAGTTGAAGGACCGGCGAAAGCAGGAGCGCGCCGACCAGGGCTTGCCGCCAATCGAGGAGGGGAACGAGGAGGACGAGCTTGAAGGAGATGATGATGGCACAGGGGCGAATAAAGCCCCGGGCCTCGAACCCATGGTTGGCTATGGGCAGGAGCAGGGCCCCAGCATCCCCGCGGCCTTCGACAAATCCGGCGGGATCACGAAGAAGCGCAAGAACGAGGCTACCAACGAGAAGGAGGTGAACCTGGGGTCTATCTCCATCGTGGCGTACGGGCAGCAGGGCCCGCGGGACATGCTCAACGTCGAGGTCGACGAGGAGGGGAAAGTCACGACAAAAAAGAAGGACGATAAATCTAAAGCTGCTGTTCCTGCAAAAGACGATGCGAACAAGGATGAGTTTGACGCTATGGTCTCCTCCAAGTTGGAGAAGGAACTCGCCGGGCAAACGAAGAAGGTCGGCCAGATCCTTCCCGGGTTCTTCGGCGGCAGCTCGAAGCAGAAGGAAGCTGCGACTCTGAAGCGCAAGTCGGACGAGGGGACGAGCGTCAGCGTCGGCGGCGCGGTGCCGAAAGCCGGGGGCAAGAAGCTGAAGATCACCACGGATGAGGACGAGGCGTTGCAGGAAGGAAAGAAGAAGAATTCCCTGAAGCGACAGAGCAACGACAACGTAGGTGATGAAACCGCAACGAAGAAACCCTTCGGGTCGGTGCCGAAAGCGAAGGCACCAGTCAAGAAGGTGAAAAAGTTCACAATCGGGGGCGACGACAGCGGCAGTTCTTCGAGCAGCTCTTCCGACAGTTCCGATGACGACGAGTTCCACGACGCGAAGTCCAAGCCGTCCACCTCCCCGAAGGAGACGCCGGAGGAGGCGGAGCGCAAGCGGGCGGCGCGCGCGGCCCGAAAGGAGCGGGAGCGGCAGGAGAAGGTGCTGGCAAAGGCAGTGCCGAAGTCGGCGGCGGTTTCGGCGCAGCGCCCGGGCACGGAAGGACAGGCGGTCGTGCAAAAGGATACTTATCAGCTGACGGACAACCAAAACACGGAGTCGTACGACCCGAACGAGGGCGAGGCTATGGACTACGTCCAGCAGCTGCAGATGCAAAACATGATGATGCAACAGTCTTACGCCTCCGTGATGCAATCCATCACCGACGAAGCCGCCGGACCGGGGGCGAACGGGCCGGTCCTGGGGCGGAAGATCTACAAGACCCGCATGTGTCGCTTCATGCACGAAAAGGGCTGGTGTCCGCACGGAGAAATCTGTACCTTCGCACACAACGTCGAGGAGCTGCCGCCATCGTACAAGAGGGAGCTGTGTCAGGCATTTCAGCTGCTCGGAACCTGTCAGCACGGAATCAACTGCAAATACGCACACGGTAAATTATATGATTCTTGGATCTTTTCTTCATCTTCGAGCAATCGAATGATGCGATAGATAGATTGCCTCAGTACATCTTCATGTTGTACGTAGTACATAAGGAGAGCCAGCATTATTTGTTTTTGCATTTTCCCAGGAGCACACTAACATATAAGAATAACAAAAAAACAACAGGTGTCGCGGAACTCCGTGGTCAGCGTACGGCTGCTGGCGGCAAGTTCGTGGAGGACGACGACGAGAAGATCGTGTGCGAGGACGTTACCGGCTTTGGTTCCGGTGCGAACAACGTGCCGCTCGGGACCCCCACCTTTAGTGCCGACGCCGCGCCCCCACCGCCGCAGCGGCAGCAACCCCCACCAGCACCCGCGAAACCCCTGCCAAATATGCGCACCCTGACGGAGAGCTCCATTCCGGCGGAGAGCCACATTCCCGGGTTCAGCCAGACTATGCTGCAGGCATCTATGGCGCGGTCCCAACCCAAGGCCGCGGGTTTAAGAGAGAGAATGGGCGGCGACGGGACGGCGAGTGCCGTGATGCGCGATGTCGATGACGAGGAAAGAAGAGACCATCGTCGAGGAGGAGATCGGGAAGAGAAGGGCCGAGACGGCGGTGGGAGCCGAAACAAGGACGTATCAAAAGGAAAAATCCCCCCACCCCATATCGAAAACGTATCCGTCTGAAAATTTGTGATGCGCATTTGTGACCTCAAATCCTGTCTGTCGTGCAAGAAGGCAAGTCCAGAAAGCCTTCCGCATTTTGCAGGCGGTTTGCCATGCTGTTTGGCTTAGAGCATACACGTTTGTCATGCTAGGCGCCTACGTCAAAGCCTCTCGGCTGAGGCTTGGCATATGCCTGCACTCCTCTACTGCAATACAAATCTGATTTGTGTATGGAAATCCAGCATCAGAAACTTCGTTTCGATATGGGGAGGGGGGATTTTTTCTTTTGATAGGACGGCTACTGGGACAAGAACGGCGAGTTTCAGTTCACTGGTGGAGGCAAGAAACGCGAGGAAAACCTATCAAATGTAAAAATGTCTGGGTCTGGAAGATTTCTAGATTTGTCATGCATATTTTCCATGACCCATGATGTCTGTGATGCATTTCGTAGCACTACAGACTCTTAGAGCGCTTTATGATACCTCTACCGCATGAAAAAAGAAATGCCTTCTCCGCGTAGCATAAACTGGAGCCCTCTTGCTAGTCATGCAATACAAATTTTTTCAGAATCCAGAGACAGCATCACAAGTTTAGAATGTTCCAGACCCAGACATATTTGCATTTGATACAACCGGGAGGACGACTACCAGAGAAGTCGCCGGGAAGAACGCGAGAGGGAACGCGACTACGGGAGATAAGGAAATGGTATGGAAATATCATCATGGAGTTTATGGTCAACCTCAACATACTTACAACTACATCAACAACGTCTGTTCATCTTTTTCTTTGCATTCCTCGCTCTCTATCTAAGTCAAGAACCAGTATCCATGTCAAGCGTGGACGATATGCCAATCTGTATCTATGCCGATGGATCATGATTTTTATTTCGATTCGTTTGTCTAAGTTCAGTTGACAATTGAAATAAAAACAAAAACAGGTATCGCACGACCAAACAAGTAGGGAATTGCATGATCGACATGGAGCTACTGGAATCACTACCGATACGATTGAGGTATCACAATTACAACCGCAACTTGTCGTGGATCGTGATGTAGTTGATGCAATACTTCTTGCTAAGTTTTACGTGATCGACGACACATGAAACTTATTCTCAGTGTGATTGAGCAGATTCAGGAGGACAAATCAAACCTTAAGGTTAACCTAAGTATTATTCTACACTGAATTAAAGGTACAACTACAACCTCATGGCGACAGCACGGGGAGAAACGAAAAGGAACACTGAAACCCGTTGTGGAAAAATCCGATTCTACCGATAACGATGTCATGCTCATGCCTATTAGTCGCGAAAAATTGATTGTCCACAAAACCGAATAGTAAATTTTTCATTTTCGCAGAACAAAGACAAACATCATCGTCAACATCAACTTCAACAGAAAGCAAGTTTAAGTGTAGTTTATCTGAAGCATCTGAGTCGGTGGATCTTTGTCTTTCGACAAAGATGCTTCATCTTCTTGTGTCAAGAATACAGAATTGTATATTCTTCCCGATTGCAGTAAAAGCATTTATTTTCTGCAATCGAGTAACCATACGTCAGCGACCAATTAATACGAAGATAGATGAAGCTGTTGCTGCCCCCGGCAGGTGCCACGAAGACAACAGTTTCGAAGAAAAAAATGTCATGGGCATCACGACCAAAAAAAACATCCTTTGAACATCAGTTGGGCGCCACTGCCATGACTCTGGACTATTGCCAAAATAGTTTGCAGAAGCAGAAGAAGCTGATCGTATTCGATGATAGTGGAGCAAGATAGATGACCTTCATAATTTCACCGCTTAACTTCATCCAACTTGAGCCTCTTTCCTGATCTGTACCTATTTGAACCTGAATTTCACCGCTACAAACTGGCTACAGCTAGAAGACTTGTATTGTCTGACTGATGAAAATATCAATTTCATCTCAGATTTTTTGGAGATAATGCCTTTTGCTTCATCTCTTGGTATAGTTGTTTGGAAAAGAAAACACAAAAGCGAGCCCGGGTTTCGGCCTGGGCATCACCTGCGCCGATGCGTCGGTAGTTTTTTTTTCGCCCCTCTGCGAGAGTGTTCGAGAGCTTTTTTCCAAAATGGCTTTGATAAAACTTGATGCACGCGTGCGTCAGTCGTCAAAGCTTCCGCTGCGTTATGTTGTATTGGGGGGTCTCGGTGTCTTGGAATGCAGAAGGTCGCCTTGGAAAATCCATCAGCAAGAAACAGTGCGCGAGCTTGTACCGGACATTTTTTTTTCATTTTTGAAACTGAGTAATTCGCCCTTTCTGCAGATGGAGCAAATTTTGCACCACGTAAAAATGCTCAAGACGCGCTGCACCCCACTTGATGAATCCTTTATAGATCCTGCCGCAGGAGCAATTGTTGCCTTTTTGCAAGCGATCTAAAATATCATGCATGCAAACGTAGAAGAACCAACACCAAGCTGCAGTCATCTTGTAGTCTTGTCTTGTCTTCGGACGCTGCACTAAATCATCGCTTCCGTCGGATTGGAACTCGTCGCTTCTAAAAATGCGAAACGAGCGAATGTAAGCAGCTTAAGTCGCGACTTTGAGCATCGCATGAGGTTGCATTCTCCATCGAGTTTTCATCGAAAAGCAATTTCGCGAATTTTGCAGACATCGTATCTATACGTACTGATCGAGTTCTTGCACAACCCATAGAAGTAAAACAAAAAGTCCACCACTCCATACCATAAATCACGAAATTTGCCACCTAAGCATGAAATTGAAAGTGAATACTTTCATCCACTGCGAAGCAGCAATATTTCACGTCTATGAAATTGAAAACCTATTAAGATGAAGTAGACACTGATGCATAATGACACCAGATGAGTACTACGACGAAGTGCGACGAGAACAAAAAATGAATTTTGATCCTGTTCACCAAAACCTGATGCACGCAAAGGTCCTCAAAATGCGAACTCTTACCCCCTACTTCTCGGTATTACAACGCCAAATCTATTCCATACCCGCACCAGATTGATCGCTCTACTTCCATGCTACCCTGTCCAGACAATTTCCAGCAAAAAAAAATCGACCATAGCTGCAGCGAAAAGACAAAAGCAACCTTGAGGACTACAACAAATTTGAACTGACGTCCAGCTACAACGAACTTTTTAGGCTCAACAAACTGATTCATTTTTGTCTATCATAAACACGGATATAATCTCGTACCCGCTCCGAATTTGGCTTGCTTGTGTTTGCATTTGTCAGTTTCTCATCTTCGGATAGACATTGCTTTTGCCTTCTGGTGTAGGACCACGACTGCCTCCTGTCTGGAGAAATCGCAATCTTAGTTCTATTGCAAGAATCTCTACTTCTACCACCAGAAACGCAAAGGCAAAGTCTCCTTTGAACAGAACTGAACGACAAGCGCTGCATAAAGCATTCCAGGAATTGGGAGTGGTGTACGTAGTGTTTTCATTCCAATAAGACCGATTTCGGCTATGCCATGGAAAACTGCGGAGCATATTAACCACGAGGTGCCCCCCAGCAACATGCAGACGACAAAATCGAAATCGAATTCGCTCTCCCGGTCCCGCGGGCGGCGACGGTCCGGCAGTCGCAGCAGCAGCAGCTCCCGTTCGCGCGGTCGGGGCAAGAGCTCCTCCCGCAGTCGCGGCCGGACCCCGTCGCGCGATCGCGGCCGCCGGCAAGATAAAAGTCGCAGGGAAGATTCCCGTTCCCGCGGAAATCGTCGCCGGGATCAGGAGTCCCGGTCCCGCCGGAGAGAGGACGAAGCTGCGCGAGGCGGAAATGCCAAGGGGGACAAGAAAGGCAAGGGTAAAAAGGGAAAGAAGCAAGGATACAGCAACGACAATGAGCAGGATCATGCAGCTCCCGGCTCCAAATTCGACCCTTTAGCCGGTCTCGGCGGCGACGATGAGCTCGAATTCGTGGACGGGAAGGACGCTCGCGGAAAGTCGAGGAAGCAGAAAGAAGAAGATGAGGAATACAACGATGAACGTGGCTGGAATACCGTCGCGGAACAGGACGAGCAGAACATCAAACCCGGTACGTCAGGAAGTGATGATCAACCAGACGACACTGGCGCAGCGGAAAATAACGACGACAACGGCAGCACCAAATCGGCGGAGCAGCTTCTGAAGGACATCGCGAACAAGGCGCGGGAAGAGTTCCTGAAGCGCGCCTTGCAGGGCCAGTCCGTGGACTCGATCGACTTTGCGAGTCTGATGAAAAGCGCAGCGGCAGGAGGTGAACAAGGGGAGCAAGATGGGGATGACGAAGAACAAGACAGCAGTTCGCCAAAAGGACATCAGAATCAAAACCCGTCTTCTCCGCAAGGAATGAATTCATCGTCGGGAGGTATCAAGCTCAAGATCAAGCCCGCGGGTGCGAACACCGTTTTCACGAATTTACAGGAGCAAGCGAGACTCGCGCGCGAAGCCCAGGAGAAGATGAAGGAGGCGCAGGACGGGATGAATTATCGGCTCAGCGGCGAAACGGAGGAGCAGATGCAGATGCGGCTGCAAATCGAAGAGTTTCAGAAACAACAAAGGGAGCAGTACTTGGCAGCGAAAGCGGCAGCGGAGGCAGCAAAGGCCGAACAGGGCGAGGAGGAGGAGGCGGACGAGGTCGTCGTCGAGAGGATCAAAACGCCAGCGGAACTCGCGGCCGAGGCGGTCCGGAAAAAGCGCAAAAAGGAGATGAAGCGCCAAAAGCGCATCGCGTTGAATATACTAGGTTTAAAGCCCGGCGACTCCATCGAATTCGACAACGCGAGCTGGAAGGGGTTGGCAGAGGCAACGAAAAAACTGATCACCGGCGACTTGGTCCTAACCTTCGCCGTCGGCGGCTGGGTCGTGAAGCGGATGGGAGAGCCAGAAGCTGCAGTAGAAGATGGTGATGGTGAAGACCAAGATGTTGACCAAGAGATGAAAGATAGCAGTGAACAACAAAATGAGCCCGTTCTTTCTACTGGAGACGCTGAAGTAGAGGAGAAGGTGGACATCACCGAAGAAGATGGCACGACCACAAAAGCTGCCGCCGCAGAGAACGATGAGGAAGGTGAATCAGAAGAGACGAAAAAGGACGTCGTCGAGAAAAAAGCAAAAGCTCCCGCTCGCCCGACCGGCCCAAGACAGCTGAAAGTGACTGCGGCCGACGAGATCTCCTCTGACGAGGAGGAGGATGACACAGGGGTGGCCACGACCACTGGGACGAACAAGAACGACAAAACCACGAGCTTGAAACGGCCAAAGGAGGATGTCGATGTGGAACAAGACGAAGTTGAAGACAGCAACCAAGGTCCGGACTTCGAAGCCGCGAAGGAGTACGACGGCAGCCGTGAGGGGTACGTGTTCAAGACGGGAAAGAAGGGGCTGGGGTACTACCGAGACACGTTTGGAAAAATCGAGTCAAAACCGAAAAAAGACAAGCCGATGACGGAAGAAGAGGAAAAGGAACTAAAGAAAAAGAAATTAGCCGACGCCCTGACCAAATCCGGCGGTGCGATTTCCCGCGCGCCGGAGATTAACACCACCGGTGTGCTCGCCCGGCAGATGGAGCAGGAGGTGAAGGAAATGTATCCTATGTAAAAACGTACCCACACCATAGTTGTAATGCAAATCTGCATGCTGAAAATGTTTCTCATGCGGAGCCCCATGAGAAGCAGTTTCTAGTCGTGTTTTGCAATTTGTCATGCTCCAATCAGCATGGTATGCGAGGTCTGTGATGCTGCTGAGCTAGCTCAAACAGCACTACACTACGAATCCAAATTTGTGATGCAAAACAGCCAAAACTTGTGGATTTGTCTAGCCGATTCCCCATCTTGACTATGGTGTGGGTACGTTTTTACTCAGGATAAAATGCAAAACATCTTCTACGACAAGGACGGCAAGCCGGTGCACATGTCGGACACGACTGGTACGCAACGGATCGATTTCGAGCAAGCGGGGTTGAATGTGGGGTCCGTGGTGATGGCGGATGGATACTCCCTCGCCGCGGTCGAACACGACGAGTACCGACCGACAGACCAGGTTGCGGACAGTTGGGCGACGCCTTTGGAACAGGAGAAGATGTACAACAAAACCAACTTTGACGAAAAGGGGCGGTTCCCGATAAACGTCGAAGCCAAGGCGAAGGTGGCCGCCACGCGGGTCCTGCGGAAGCCCAAGGCGCAGGCGTACGCGCTGGGCGAACGGATGGCGCTTGCGAAGGCGAACGCCAAGGCAGCGGCAGAGGCGGAAAAGGCAGCCCAGGAGGGAGAACAGGTTCCTGTGGACCAAAACAACGTCTATGTTGATCAGCAACGGCAAGGTCCTCCAGGTGGAGTCGTCGCTCAGGCCGAAGAGGGCGTTCCTGGAGAAGAAGATGGTGAACTAGAAGTAGAAGAGGTGGAGTCCAGTAGCTCGGAAGAGCGCAGCGACGACGACGAGGAGACGCGGAAGCGCAAGCGGAAGAAGGCCAAGAAAAAGGCCAAAAAGGAGAAGAAGCGGCAAAAGCAGCTCGAGCAAATGGGCAAACCCATCCCGAAGTCCGCATCGGTGTCCTTGCGTCGACCGGGGATGGACGGACAGACGGTGATGGTACAAAAGGACGAGTTATGGATTGCAAAAATGTCTGGGTCTGGATGATTGCAACTTGTCATGCTAAATCTGAATCAGGCAAAAAACTGTGTTGCATGATTGCCAAAAGTGGCGCACTTTTGACCTAATCGAGAGGCAGTTTCTCATGCAGGATACGCATTAGAAAGGTCCTCCCGCAGAATCTGTCATACTATGTCCTACATATCAGACCTCATGGGTCATGGAAAACCTGCATGACAAGTCTGGCAATCTTTCAGACCCAGACAGTTTTGCAATCCATACGAGTACGAACTGAGCGATAACCAGAACAACCGCGTGTACGATTCCGGCGACCCGAACGAGGGCGAGGCCATGGAATACGTGCAGCAGCTGCAGATGCAGAACATGATGATGCAACAGTCCTACGCGCACGTGATGCAGTCCATCACGGACGACGCGGCCGGGCTGGGCGGCACCGGGGCGGTGTTGGGACGGAAGATCTACAAGACGCGAATGTGTCGGTTCATGCACGAGAAGGGCTGGTGTCCGCACGGAGAAATCTGTACCTTCGCGCACAACGTCGAGGAGCTGCCGCCATCGTACAAGAGGGAGTTGTGTCAGGCGTTCCAGCTGCTGGGAACCTGTCAGCACGGGATCAATTGCAAATACGCACACGGTAAGTCGCGTCTTCTATCTCATATTGCAAGTTCGTTCTTGTGAATCAGCACTGCTAAGGCAGCAGTAGCAATCTCAAGTCAACTACTAAAGTCAAACGAACCTGGTGCTTAAGGCTTACAGAAATTAGTTCCTACCCTTGTTCCCGAAAGCTTAGGTTTGAAAAAAATGGAGTTACAGATATTAGCTCTCAGGATTTCCGCCGCATCACGAAATTCTTGACGCAGCGAAGATCCTGGAAATAATTTCTGAAAGCTACCTGCGTAAGATTTGTCTTCTCACTGGTAATACCGATCTGGGCACAAATCTTATGCAGGTGACTTACAGAAATTAGTTCCCAGGATTTGCGTGCTGCGTCTCCAATCGCCTCACTTGGACACACTGATGTCAGTGTGTCCAAGTGAGGCGATTGGAGACACAACACGCAAATCCCAGGAGTGCATTTCTTTGAGGCACGAACGCTGAAGCTGTAGGCGCGCGAGTTCTGATGTGCTCTTACGGAAGAAAGCTCGCGCAGCAGCTTTTTCCTCCTGGCCTTCTACAAGTGTGCTGCTGAACACATGTACAGAGCGATCTGCTTTTTCTTCTAGGGAGAAGACGCAGCTTCTGCTAGAAGAAGAAGCAGCTTCTTCTAGAAGCTGCGTTTTCTAGAAGAAAAAAAGTCTGCGTCTTCTACAGGAAGACCAGTCTTCTAGAAGAAGACAAAACTTCGTTGCGTAGGATTTGCAGTCAGGTCGGGATTACCGATCGAAATGCAGATCCTACGCAACCGACTTACAGAAATGAGTTCCCAGGATTTCTTCTAGAACAATCTCAAGGCGCCTCTGAGGCACCTTGAGACTCTAGAAGAAATCCTTTGAGAGTCTAAAAGAAATCCGTTGGATTTCTTTTAGACTCTAAAAGAAGTCTTCTTGACTTCTTCTTGTCCAAATGGGGTGATTGCAGAAAAAAAGCGGAAATCCTGGGAACTCATTTCTGTAAGTCCGTTGCGTAGGATTTGCACTCAGCTGGGGATTACCGGTCGAAACGCAGATCCTACGCAACCTACTTACAGAAATGGGCTCCCAGGGTCCCACATCCGAGAATTCCTCGGATGTGAGTTCACATCCGAGGACCTCCTGGATGTGAGCTGACATCTTCCGAGAATTCCTCGGATGTCAGCTCACATCCGAGAACTTCGCGGATGTGAGATGTCAGAGAACTTTCACACGCAAAGTGCCAAAGTTTGGCCCCCTGCTCGTGAAAGTTCGATCCACGTGTCCAAACGAGGCGATTGTAGAAAAAAAGCGGAAATCCTGGGAACTAATTTCTGCAGTAGCAATCTCAAGTCAACTACTAAAGTCAAACGAACCTGGTGCAGCTGCCTGGTTAGGTCCAAACTAAAAACTTCCCATCTCTTTGATACTTATAACATGTACCTGTAGCAGCTACAGCAGTTTCCAAACGCAAATCCAACATTTTTGCGGATGACCACATTACAATCAATGGAAAACAGGTGTTGCCGAGTTGCGTGGGCAGCGTACCGCCGCGGGCGGTAGATTCGTGGAGGAGGATGAGGACAAGATCATGTGCGAGGACGTGACCGGTTTTGGCGGTAATGCCGCCCCACCCGCACCCGCGCCTGGCGGTCTGGCACCGCCAAGAGCGGATACCACGGGGCTGAGACGGCTCCCAGGTTCGGGAATCGACAGCACGAGCATGATTCCGGGCGCGATGAGCTCGGGCATAGGTAGCTCGATGATCCCCGGGGGCGGCGGGGGCATCGGCAGCGCGTTGCCGAAGGCGGGGTCGCTGCAGAGTCGGATCAACCGACCCATGGGGGTGGGCATCGCCTCCGGCATGCTGCCCTCGAGCATGGGCACGGGCGTGCCGCCGAGCGGGATCGCGAGCGGCATTTTGAGCGGGCTGGTGTCCCACGGAGCGCTAATCCCCAACGCCGGGTTCAACGTTGGGATAAACACGAAGAAACCGGAGTTCGAGGGCAAAAACAACAAGGACGACGGTGACAAAAATGGAAGAGGACGCGGCGACCGCCGGGTGCGCAACGCGACGGACGACGTGCTGACCAAGGCGTACGAAGACGAGAAGGCCCGGGCGATGGGCGCAAAGTCCTTCTACGAGCAGGGCGGCATCGCGTCCGCCATCCGACCCGATTTGGCGTTCGGCAACCGGCAGTCCGAGCAGTCCAAGCGCGAGGCCCGGGGCAGGGAGCTCCGAGGCGAACGGCGAGACCGCGATCGGGATCGAGACCGCGACCGGGATCGCGATTACGACCGCGACTATGGGAGAGGAAGAGACAGATACAACGACGGTATCAATTCCTGTTTCATTCATGTTGATCGACAACTGTTTTCTGTAGTTGATGCATTTGCAGGTTGTAAGAACACTCATCTTAAAACTTAATCGATATGTGTATGTGGATCTTCAGCATTTTCGTTTTGGATGCGCGACATGCTGACCCCGAGCAATTCTGATTCCACTTCTCTACAAAAACAGGCATCGCATCGAGATCGGGGATCTCCTCTACCTACGGCCGACGAGACGGAGGTAAGACCACGAACAAGTTATTCCGTTCATCACTATTCTCGAAGAACGCGTATCAACAAGATTTCAATCTGCACTTCGAAAGTTTCGATTTTGATGTTGCACCACGCAATGATCTATTTTTTTATGCACGGCATCATCATGCTTGAAAAAAAACAGGTTCCGGAAAATCCGGTACAATTTTTGTCGACGACGAGCCGTTGCGGGAGGGTGGTCGCGATGTGCAGGAGCGCAGACGCGGGGGTATCAGCACACCGCAGATGGCGTCTGGTACGTATCACACCTTTGACGAGTTTGATCACAAGCGGAAGTACCACGACCCATTGGAGAAGCACTGGCGTCGAGGACGATAAAAAGAGACGTGCAAGCAGGTTGATTCAAACTGTTCAAAGAAAAGCGTGCTCGACGACACATAGCAGGAACAAGGCGACGACAATTTTTAAACTGATTGATGTTCTTTTACCAGGTGTAAAGCTAAAGGAAGTTGTGACTTTTTCAAGAATACAGCAGTTGTCAAGCTTGAAGAACATCAAGAACCTTTGACAACACTTTACTTTAACTACCAAAAGTTAGTTGATCGGACATAAATTAAAAGCGACTCTTTTACTTTTTACCTCCACCGTTTCTAAGAAATCTTTGCTTTCGTGATTTCGCCCACCAAAAACTGTACTTCACTTTTGGCGCATGTGCTGTGAAACGACTTCTACCCGAAGTCTGGCCGGGAGGTGCTTGCAGAAAAAACGACTTGTTGATCCTGTTGTGAACAAGCACCGCTACAAACCATCTTGATTCTTTGTCTGTAATCTTGTTTGGATATGACTATCAGTGAAAAAGAAAAAAGAAAATAAGTAAAGCTTATGAGAGCATCAGCTCCTGCTATTGTTGCACCACAAGGCGGCAGGACTGCAATTGCCAGCGCGACGATTTTGGTCTTCGTCTTCTTGTTGTTCCTCCAGATCTCTTTTGCCGCATTGGAAACAGGTTGCTATCGTGAAAATTTGTGCTTTTGCCCTTTCTCTCCTGTCTCTGTTAGTTTATCCAGCATCCTCATTTGAACACAGCTTGCTTTCCATGTGAAACGCGAAGATCTATCAAGACCCTGTTCCTCCCTCTTTCCTGCATCGCTTTCCTACGAAAGAGCTGATGCCGCGCAAACCGTTATAGTAGTTTTAACACTTATTTTTCAACAAACGAAACAACAACGAAAGCCTGCATCTATTCGATTGTCAGGCCATGGCTACGTGAGTGGCGGGTAGAAGTAGTACCATATAGTTTTTCACTTGTTGATGTTTTTGTTTGGTCTAGTAGACTGTCAGATAGAAGATAACGCTATTTGACCTTTATTGTCCCTTCGATAAAAACACAAACTTCCCGAGCCAAAATGTCCGAAGTCCGCCGGTTTCTCCTGGACCTCGGCCGTGAAATGGGCCGCACGGAGCAGCAGATGGAGCCGATGATTGCGAAACTCGAGGATCAATGGTATGACACGCTAGATTCTCTGCGAGCAGTCACGGATTGGTCGGCGTTGGGATTGCCGCAGAGGTTGGTCGATACGATGAAGGAGCGACTCGGGGTTGGTAGTGCCGGAGCCGCAGTAGTTGTCACCGGAACCAGCCCGGCAAGCTCATCCAGGGGCCCCATGCAAGCAGGTGGTCCAGCACAACCGGGGAAAGGGATTAGCCCGGTAGAATAATACTAACGCCGCATGCTTTTGCTTTGTTGTGTAGTTTTCCGCGAGCAGCAACTGATGTTGTAGTTGTTGAACTTGAAACAGATAGAGATTGTGATTGATACAGGATGTGGATAACACCCATGATGATGATTCGAGTACTTGATAGTTCCATTTGAATGAGTTGTGTGACAATTCAACTGGTATTGTTGCTGTTGGAGCGCGCAGGAGAAGATGCTATTTGAAAACAGCCCCGCGCGGCAGCGCAGCAGCAACAGCCGCCGCCTTCTAAAGCCAACGCGTCCTCCTGGGATCTCGCGCCCGAGGAGATCGCGTTCCAGGGGGTCGATGTGGAAGCCGTGGCGGCTCGGCTCATGAGCCTGGCGAGCGGGGAAGAGTTGAGTACGTGCGTCATGACCTTGGTCAAGCTCCTTGATGCGGTCCTGAAGTCTCCACAAGACGAAAGCAAGCGCAGCATCAACCTGGGCAACGAGAACTTTCACAAAAGGGTATTGTGCGTTGTTGATCATTTGTCCAATAGCAAAAGTAATCAACAAGAACCTTCGTATGATGTTACCTATGATACTAGAAAGTCCTACGTTCTTTCTGTCGCAGCTTGTTCCGCTTTTGTGACATTTGCATGCGGGAGGTCCTCGCTGCAGGAGCACCAGCAGCACAATTATAATCAATAGAAAAAAAATTAATTGCATATTATCAAAGGTCGGGCGCTTCCCTGCGGCAGTCGAATTTCTCGAGGGTGTTGGATTCCGAAGGGACCCTTCCGGCAGTAAGATTGTGATGGAGAAGGCGTACATCTCGCGACTGACAGACGCGAGGCAAATTCTGGCGCAAGTGAGCAGCCGCAATGGCCTGCAGATCCAACTGCCGCCCATACCAATGAATTTCAACCCCTTTGTGTCGTCTGTATCCACCACGGCTGGGTCTTCGGCAGGAGGCCCACAGGGCCGGGCGGCTGAGAAAAGTATTTTAGAAGTCTTAGAAGGAGCAAGGCTGATGCTTCTCCTGATGATGATGTCGATGTCGTGTTTTCGTACACCTATCAAACTAACAACTACCAAAAAATGCTAAATGCGTGTCTGCGAATAGGTCAAACCCGATATTATTGGAAGGTTTTTGGCTACTATTCTCTTCTCGGTTCATCTTGGTCTTCAAGGCCGTGTTTCCCCGTTTCGACACATAAAAAATCAAATCAGGAACCCAAGAGGCCGCGCAGCTTCAGGAGGAACTGTCACGGAAGCGACAGCAGCTGGAAGCGATGGACAAACCGGATAATTCAGTGGACGACTCAGTCCCGCGGTTTCTCCTGGGACCACCAAAACTCTGCTGGACTCAGGATCTAGGTTTGTTTTTGTATAATACGGGAGAAGTTTCATCACAATCACTCAATCATGTTCATGTGGTTTACGGGATGCAGCGTGAAGATTTCTGCATGATGGCGAATTGAGTCGTAAAGTATTTGTCTACGGACCACTTTTGCGTAGTTTTAGTACGCATCTTTATTCAGGTTCCCTGAAAGACGCGATTCGTGACAGCGCACTGGATTTCGTCGGTGAAGACGAAAATGACGAGGATATCGTTCGCGATCTGGTCCGCGGCATGCAGGGCACCGGCGCGGGGCAGTTTAAGGCAAGGGAAAAATCAGAACTGGCCGAGTTCCAGCGGAAAAAAGTCTACCAGGTCGTGCTGATTCGGGTTTTGTTTCCCAACAAAATGATCTTGGAGATCAAGTGCAAGCCGAATGAAACGGTATAGAGCAGGATGAGTTTTGCTTTATCGATGGGCCCCTCGTCGTCCAGCCGAATTTACTGTGCACGGCAGCGTCGATGGGATCTTCGACTAAGAACTGCGTGGCAGTCGTTCTGCCGAACCGTCGGTACTGCAACAACATGGCAAACTCTTTTTACAAATCTCACATTTCGATGAACTCGATGTCGATGAAACCGTATTTCTATTTTTAGGTCCGCGCCCTGTACGCCAAAGTCGGTTCCGTGTTGCAGCTGCAGCCCGATACAGACTTTTACCTCTACGACACCCCGCCCATCCGCAAGCTCACCGTCCAAAGCCGCAAAACCCTGGCTGCTGAGGGCCTCGCCCCCGGGAGTAACCTGCACCTCGGGCTGCATCCGACGTCCCAACGGCTGCAGGACTACCAGCGGGATTTTTTGAAAAAGCGCGAGCTTCCGACCGTCGGGGCGAAGCGGCCGATGCAGGCGAGCCATCAGACCGTCGCGCAAGCACCGCTGCCTATGGACGCGAAGTTTTACCTCAAAGGGGAGTGGTTTTCCAAGTTACCTCCGGAACCACTGCTGGACGCATCCCTGGGTGCGTCCAGCTCGTCGTCCCACTGGACCCCCACGGCGAGTCACGCGACCTCGGTCGATCGCCGGGCCCAAAACATGGCGGCGGTGGCCGCGAGGACAGGAGCGGCGAACGGGGCACCGGGGAGCGGAAGTTCTTCTGGGAATACGTTGCTTCCCATGGATACGAGCTGATTGCTGAGCCTGAGCGGTCGGAAAATAGTGGCGTGGGTCAAAGAAGACTCCATAGACGACTCAGAGGCAACTTAGGGTAAAAATCGCAAAGGCTTTGAGTCGTTCCGCACCGACAAGCTGTCGCAATTTTGTGAAAGGCGTAGACGTGACGCGTTGTATTAGCATGAAAAAAATATGTGACTGGACAAGCAAGAACGAATGACGTGCCAGACAACGAAGGGCCCTCAGCACTGGACCGAGCCACCTCCGTGGTGCAGTTTATTTTTTCTCCTGTGTGTGCGTTTGGGTTTGGGATTCGCATTCGGGGGAGGCGCGCTTCGGACTGTTCTATCGCGCACCACCCGCGAGACGGGGGGAGGAGGAAGGAAGTGTAGCTCCGCCCCCCTGCTCATCCTGCCTTTTGTAATGAGCGCCGACTGCATGTGAGTTGCAGCCGCTGGCAGCGGCCCGGAATCCGCAAAATCAAGAGGCTTGCAGCACGTTGGAACCCGCGGAACGGTGGGGCTGGCAGGATGCGACAGCCCAAAGCCTACAGCGGGCGCCCATCTCATGACACGGACCGCGGCGCCGCATGCCTCAGCTCGCAGGCCCTCCCTGCGCGCCGGGCGGGTAAAGAAGTGCCAGCGCCCGCCGGGGGTCGAAGGAATCGCAGAGCCCCCCCTGCGTCCGAGAAGTAAAGGAGCGCCGGGCGCCGTACTCCAACGCGCCGCGAGTGGCGGGGCAAGCGGACCCGTCGAAGCATGGCGAAGCACATGGCGCTGCGCGAAAAGGTCGCGGCGCGCCGGGCGCGCCCGGCCGAGCTCAGCCGGGGCGGGCATGCCGCCGCAGGCTGGGGGGCCCCCTCCCCCGACCAACGGGCGCGGGAGATGTTCCGAGGCGAGAAGTTGCGGAAAATTTGCAGGGCTTGTCACATTACGCCGGAGCAGGCGCGCGCCCGCCGGACGGGCCAAGAGAAGACCACGACCGTCCTGGTGTAGGATGGGCTGGCAGGCATGTATCCCCGGGCGGAGCTGGTGGCGTGAGCGTGTGTGTGCGGCAGTATCGCGAGATGAAGGAAAGCGCGGCAGCCCAGTCGCGTGCCCGCCCGCATGCGGCCCGCTTCGCGCACTCTGGCCGCCAATTGAAGGCAAGCGGGCCGGGCGGGTTGGGGGCAGGTTCCGACCGGCACAGCCCCAGCAAAAAACCCGGCGGGCCCCCGTTGGCGTCCCGCGCGCCGTCGTTGTCGGAAGCCTGCCGCCAGGGGGGGGGACACACACTGGACCCGGCCGCCCGGCGTGACTCCGGTCCGTCCGCCCCCTGAAAGCCTCCGGCGGTTCCAGCGCTGCTGGTGCCCCCTGCTCCATCTGTGGAAGGGAAAGACGAGCAAGCTCGAGGAAGTCAAGAAAGAGGCGGAGTGCGCCGCTCGCGCTGCCTTGGATGGATGCCGGCCAGCCTGCCCCCCCGTTCTTATCTCCCCGGCCCGGGTTGTGCCCTGTTTCAAGCGGGCGCGTGCCCCCGCCCCCGTGTGGCCTCCGGCGGTCGCGGCGCTTCGCGCGCCTTTGCGCGGTGGATGTTTGTTGGCAAGAAAGAGGCGGGGGCAGCCGGGCCTCCTTTGCTCCTCGCGTGGCGCCGTTGCACCCGGCCGCGCCTCCCTGCGCCGGTCAGCCTCGTGGCCTCCCCCGCGCGCCCGCGCCCCCTATTTATTCAGCCCGTACCATGGGGGCGCTCGCGCCCGTTGCCTTCGCCGCCCTGGCGGCATTGTGAACGAATGCGGCCCCCGGGCTCGTTCCTATTTGGGCGGTGGCCGGGGCCCACCCGACCTGGTTGTGCCGGTCGGAATTCTTCGATTGATAAAATTGACTGAGAAGTGCCAGCGCCAGCGTCTGGGCCTGCTGGCGTGCAATGTGTTCTTCACAAATTGCTTTTTTAGTTTTAATTTTTATTCGTTGTTGCTTGGTGTTTATCGTGATTGTTACCCATTTTCGTTTTCCTCGTTCCGAAACCGAGTCCGTGGACGTGGAGATGGTCACCGGTTCGCATATTGAGGGATAACACTGCAGGTAGAGATCCGTCGAGTCGTGGGTGCGACGGACTAAAGGTCGAGGCCAGCGGTCGTGAGTGTTTGTGTTTGAAGTTAAGCTGTTGGAGATTTTTATCTTCCCGTAATTCCTTACTGTGCTTATGATTGTGATTATCCTATGATGTGAGTGAGGATGAGCAGAGCGTGCTGGAACTACTAGCAGATGAGTGCTTTAAGAACTCCAGCTGGTATGATTGTGCGAAATACAAAGAATGAAAATCGCCGGCGGCGGGAAAATGCAAGTATCGTCATCTAATCCCCGGAAATTGCGCGACGTATTGCCATGGCGGTTTCAACAGAGCCGGTTGTCAACGAACGCTACTGGTTCTTCTCTGCCAGACCACTCGCCCACCACGTCAAACGGCTGCACCTCACTGAGAGAGTGGCGCGAATCGCTGGACAAACGCTGTCAGATTCTGATCGACAGTATCGATGCAGACCTCCGTTTCTATTCCGACAAAGCCGACGTGGAACTGTTCATGGAAACGCATGACCTCGTTCTAGTTTCTCTCGCGCCGTTGAATACGGGGCTGAAACACAGGAACATTGTTGCAAGGAAACCAATCGTGCTAGCACGAGAGAAGAAGAAGCGGGAAAGGGAGGCGGGGTCGGACGCTCCACAGCTAGTAACTGCTGCTGCAGAAGATGTCGACGACATGATTCTTGCTGCCCCCGCAGCCCTGCAGGACGAGAAATGCCTCAGCGACCGCAATCTTGCGATTGAAACGGTGTGCACGGCTTTGAAAGTGGCCTGGCTTGCTACTTCTTCTATGAAGCTGCAGAAGGGAAGAGAACAGCACCTCCAGGGCGCTCTTGCGTACTACCAGCCAGCAGAAGACGCGGATCTTTGCCACCACGAGGACAACTCGTTCGAACACGAGAAGCACTATGTGGTAGAGGCGCTCGATGAGCTGATCTTTCTTCCAAAAGGAAAAGGGAAAATAAACGTCACGGCATCGACAATCACCCGCCCGTGGTCAACAGAGAAGGGAGAAAAAGAACCACGCCCTGAAGAAGTTGGACGAAAGGCCGACGACAAAGACGCAAAAGAAAAAGTCCTAGTGTTGCGTCGCAAAAAAATCTTCGCTCACCAGATCTTGCAGGACGGGTTCGAGGAGTTGTTGGATGAGCTGCAGAGTTACGTCTTCCACTGTCTCCAGCTCCTACAAGGCATGGTCCTTATGCGACGGTCTCAAAAACACGTGTGGCGTGTGCGCAGGGAACAGGCGTTGATCCAGGACTACATGAAGAGGGCCGCTGCGGATGCGCGTTTTGGAAATAAAACCTCCGAGGTGAAGTTCTCGATCGTGTTGAACTATCCTCATGACTTTCGTCACCAAGAAGTACAACAAGTCGAGGTGAACAAGGCACAAGCAGCCGCTACGGAGCTTTTTTGCGTCCGACACCTTGCGCTCTTTGGTTGCGAGGGGCGCGAAATTATGGCTTCATCTGACGCGGCGGTGGCGACGGAGGGAGGTTCAGTTCGCGAACAATCAGCGAACCGCGACACACCAACTGCAGAGTCGTGCGTCGAGATCTCCAGCATCCAGTTCGGAACGCCTTTTGCGGAGAAGCGCATCTGCATCGGGGATCGCCTGACCCACATCAGTGCCAAGCCATGGATGCGTGTCCGCGAGCAGGTGCCGCTCGGGAAGGTTCTTTCTTTTTCGTCTTCAGCCGGGGGCAGCGCGGTGCCCGCGATAAAAACTACTTCGCGACCGATTTTCTTGGAGTTTCGGCGACCAGCGGCCGCGGTTGCCGAGGTTTCCCAGGGGAGTAAGCGGACGCTGGAGAAGCCGCGCTTTCTGAGCGCTTTTGTTTTCGGAGTAAAAGGACCTGAAGATGTAGATGATCGGTTCAGTGAGATGAACACAACAAAAGTCGGAGTGGTGCCTGATACTGGTTATACCTCCCCGCCGGACCGACATTTTTACCTGGCAATCCGGCATCCAGCGGAACGGCGGGGGGAAATTTTTGCTTTCAGAGCAAGCGAGGGACCGCAAGTAGGTGACCGCGATAGAACAACCGCTGTACAAGACGGCGTAGATGGTGAAGCCAGCGACGCTCTTGACGCAGTGCTGCAGCGCTTTTTTTCGGAGAAAGCGGACCAAAACTTCCACCAAAGCCGCCCTGATGCGTCTATTTGGGAAAGCTTTGCGCGCGATAAACTCCTGCGACACAAGTCTCGGCGCATTCTGACTGAGAACGACTACGATTGGCTGGCTCAGTGCGAGGATGAATTTCTCGGAAGTGTCCGCCAGCGCGACGCGGAGCTCGTTGCAGCGCGAATCACCAAGATCGTGCAAGATTTCGCTACAGGAACAGCAGCAGGCGGCGATGGCAATGGGGCTTCCAATCCCGACCCTGGCGATAAGTCCTCCAGCGCCGAAAGTGGGGCTCCAGCGGGCGCTGGAAAAGAGGAACGACAGAAGAGCGGGCCGCTCCGCCAATCTCGGTTCGCGCCCGTCGCTGTCGGCCACGTTGCGAGGACGGCCTGTTCGAAGCTTCTGCACACGCTGCTGCCAAGAGTAAGTGCCAGGTCGCCGCCCAATACTGTTGCGGCTGTTGAAAACAAAAAGGACGATTTGGTGTGTGAAGTGTTCGAGTCCGACTACTTTCCGAAGCTGAAAAATAACAGCTTTTCAGTATCATCTTCTTCTTCCATAAATAAAGGCAGTACAACTACACGTCGAGGAGACACAACCCCGGCAAGGGTAGTTCAAAAGAAAGCGGCTACTTCAAGCGCCCTCGTCCGTCGCGTCGTCCTGGAAAACCTCTCCGCCCTCGATCCCACTTTTCTGTTCGACGAGGAGGCGCCCCACAGCGTTTTGTCGGTCCAGCACGCAAGCCCCGTGTCCATCGCCGGTGTGCTCGTCGGCGACGAACTTTTGGCGATCAATGGCCAGAGGCCAAAGAAGTTTTTGCAAGATTATCAAATGGAAAAGCATCGTACTCCTACTAAGCGCAGATATGCATGATAAATCTGCTTCCCAAGGTAGATCAGCATGACAAATTCCATTTTCCATTCTGAGGAAATTTGTCATGCGATTTATACTAGTACGATACTTATACTTTTGCAATGCATAAAGATTCGAATTCGACGAATTCCATGCGACAAAGGCCGCTAGCGTTGTTGTTCCTGGATTCAGTGAAATTGGCTGGATTGCTGGCGCCCTTCCTACCGGGCGTGGAGACGATGATGCGGCGGCAGAGGTTGAAGGTGCAAGTAGAGAACAAGCAAAGTAGACGTGCCGCTCGCCCTGCAGGTTCGTCCGCAGCGTCGAGTGCACAGGCGCCACAGAAGACCAAGGGCTTCGCAACTGCTTCGTCGGAAAGGCCGAGGGGCGGACATGCAAATGGCAGTTCTATTGGCACTAGCACTACACCCCCTTCGAAATTCGCACCAAAAGGCCGTCAGCTTGTGTCTAGCAGTGGTAGTGGAGCTGGCAGCAAAGCCGCAGAGAGCGCGAGTCGCATGGCGCGTCAGGGTGACGAGAAAAGTCAAGCACTCTCGAGCACCACAAACATGAAAACAAGAGGAACAAAAACGAGTGAAATGATCGAACCTACGAGCAAGACTCAATGCGAAATAGCAAAGCCGAAATCTGAATTCGCGGAGCTATCACCGCAACCGAAAGTTGAGAGCTCCGGGCCAACGGTGAGGGGCAGAAATCGGCTGCAGCAAGGGTCGCCTGCGATACTACTTGCTACGGAGCCATCGCCAGAGGGTGCAGGAGCTTCCGCTGGAGAATTTTTCGATGAGGAACCTCCCAACAGACCTTATGGGGCTGAGCGATCTACGTTTCAGCCATTCATCAAAACTCCCGCACAAGAAAGGACAAACGAAGCCGCTTCGTTTTTGAATGCTCTCTACGCACCAAAAGCATCTTCAGATGAAACTACAGCGGCCGCCCAAATTCCGCTCTGTGTCGTCAGCAAATCGTCTTCCCTTGGTTTCACGTATTGCGGCTCAGTGTCCGCCGGCCACGTTCTCGTTCGGACCGTTTTGCCCGATTCGCTCCCCGCGCTCCTTGGTGTCACACCGGGCACAGCAATCGCGTCCGTGAATGGAGTGCGTGTCTCTAGTACAACGATTCGCGGTGGAGTAGAACTTCAATCCGAACATCATCATCTTCATCAAACCGAAGATAGCGAAGATTTTCTCGACCAGCAGCTAAGCAAGAGACCGTGTGTGGTCGTGTTTGACCCACCCTCTTCCTATTCCGTGAAAATTAACCATCCCCATCCATTTTGTGCATGACAAACAGAGGATTTTATGTATGTTTTGCATGACAACCTGGATGGGGATGGTTAATTTTCAGGGGATACTTCCCAACACTTGCGGCAGCTTGAACTGGAGAACAAACTTTTTCCAGACAAAGCAGAGAAACGAAAGAGAGTCGAGAAGGCCATGCGGTTCCTCGCTGAGGACCTTTTTCCTCTTTGCCCGAACGTTTTCGTGCAGAATGAAATTGCGACTTCGAAAAATTTGAGCTCGTCAAAACGGGAAGAAGGATCTGGTGCCGCTGCTGCCGATGCCGACGCTGGCCGGAGACACGAAATCCGTCTCACTACCTCCTTTGCTGACCTAGCTACTGTCTTGTGGCATAAGGAAAAGCCAGCGGACTCGCTAGCTGCTGGCACGGCATCTTCATCGTCTGCATCTTCAGCGATTATCAGACCTACCACACGGGAGCTTGATAGTACTGCTGAGGGAAGCGGAAGTAGAAGCGGCGTTACGAGCAGGACAGACACTGCTGCACGACCTCCAACCCTTTTCGATCAAACTTCAGTGTCGGACGTGGGGATCACGCTGTGGGGTCACCCATCGGACCGAGTTTTCGTGTCCAAAGTCACCTACCCGTCGGTTGCGGACAGCCACGGAATTCGAATCGGGGCGGAACTGGTGAAGATCAATGGCTTTCCTTTGCCGTTGCCGTTCCAGGACTTGGAAAAAGTCGAGGCTGTGGTCAACAAAGTAGCGGCCGATGGGATATCGACAGAAGTGAGCAATTCAGTCGCGTTGGACTTTTTGCAGCTGCGAGGCTAAGTCGTTGTACCACCGCGCGCTCATCATCTTCTCGCGATTTTATACTTGAGGAGGAACATAATCACAAATCGTAGATGGAAGGCGAACAAGTTCGAAGAACGAAAAGCCTGCGCGAACCTTTCCGACGGAGACTCAGACTGTTTTTACTTTCAGTCGCAGCCACTCGCAGCAGCAGTGGTTGCGAACATGGATACGACAGTGTTAATATGCATGTAGATGTACAAAGCCGATCATCGCGACCTGTTGATCTGATGGACCAGGATTCAATGTTTCGAGGAAGCCGGAGCTGTTCTACTTCTATCCCGTGCCTGCGTCGGTTCTTGTGTCGCCTTGCGTGTAGTAGACCATCGTACGTTTCTGTTTCAATGCGAACCTCTATTCTCGTAAAGATGCTGTCTTTTTTTCCCGTAAAATGGCTGGTCTGTCGGTCTGCTCGTTGTCGGTAGGTCTGAATTTCATTTCATGTACCCAGCTGCCACTGCTCGGTACAACTACACCTTCAATACTATCTCACTCAGTTTTTTTGTGCTCGTCCTCGTTGTGTCATCGTCGTCGAAGCTGATTTGAGATGCGACTGCAGCAAGAAACAAGGGCATTTGCCCTGGTGGACTCAACAAATTATTATAAAAGTAAAGACCTCGTCGATGCAGCGCATCAGCATCACATCACGAGAAATTGCTTGATTCTTCGGAGCGATTTACTTGTACGAATGTAAAAGCTTCGGTGAACACAAAAATAGTAACCCAACCCGACATGGCCCCACTGGATCCGCGCCAGACCGTGGCGCTGTCGCCCGGCAAGATGCCGGGGAGCACAATGCAGGAGCAGTTCGGAGAAAAGCTCTGCAGCCGAATGTCGATCGTGAACCTGCATCCGACGTCCGACCGGCTAGAGCGACCAAAGTCCGCTTGTGGAAAACTCGAATCTCCGTTTGGAAAACTGGTTCGAAGTTTTTTTTCAAATGATCAACGGAGTTTGAATGGAATCTGTAGCGCGTGTCTTTCTTGACTACCTGCCAAGCAGTCGTGCTTCTTATTTCTATAAGGACATACTTTCCCAAATACAACAGGTCCGCACCTCCCGCTGGGTCGAGCACGCTGCGAATTACTTTGAAAGATGTTCCAAGCTCGAGCCCAACCGGCAGATTTCCGAGGAAGCCTTTCTCAAGCAGCTTTCGGACGAGCACGAGCGAGAACGAATTGCGGCTGCAGGAGAATCAAGCGCAACTGTTGAGGCAGGACAGGCACAGCTGGATCAAGAAAATTTACCTCCTGGTGGAAACATCACCCCGATATCGGCCGCGTCTTCTTCTGCAAAGGGAGGAAGTGCTGGGATGATTACAAACAAAACGGGTACAACAACAGCAGCAAATCCAAACTCGACTAAACCTGCAGGAGCCACCAGCACGACCGTGAAACTCCCCTCCGGAATCATCGAGCTTTCCCCCAACACCGGGTATCTTATCCTCGAGGATGGCGTGGAGCTTTGGGAAGTTACCACCGTCGACCAGGACTGGCTTGACAACTGGTCCGCGCTGCCGATCAAGAGTCGGCTGCAGGCGGAAGTGAAGAGCATGGACGGGAACAAGGTAAGCAGGAGATCTCTGCTAGTGGAGCCGCCAACGATGGATGGACAAGCTGGTGCGGGTTCGGCTTCGTCGAATATTAAACTGATGAAGAACAAACCACTCTCTCCACAATCTCCTCCCGGAGACGGCATGGGAACAAGTAGCAGCGCAACAAAAACTGCTGGCGCGGCAGTACTAGCACATCCTGCGGGTGAAAGTGACAAAGACCCAGCGGCCTCGTCCAGTACCACCGCGCCGATGCTCAAATTGCTTTCCCGCTGCTCCGTCGCGGCCTTGGAAGCGGAAGGTGAAGCCAAGGACGATGTTGATGAAGCGCAAGTACAGCCAAAAAGACTCGAGTACAGGGTCGGGCGGCGGAGACTCCTTCAGTGTGGGAATTTTGTGAATGAAAGGCTCGTCCTCGGGCTAGAAAATCTCGAGAAGCTCCCCTACCAGCGTCAGTTTCTCGTGTATCAAATGCCGCTTGAGGAACAGGAAGAAAAAATCATAGACGAATTGGAGGACTACGGGCCCTGGAGCCACGACGCGGACGCGAAGAAAAACAGCATGAGTAAGCAAGTCAATGTCCGGATGAACAAGAATAAAAAGATGCTACTTCAAAAGCAGAAATCCTCTACTTCGCTAGTGAACGAGGCGGAGCACGTCGCTCTGAAGTTTTCGCGAAAGGAGTTCGAAGACAGTCTGACCGCCGCGTTTGGCGCTATGCATGGCAAAAGTATCGTACTAGTATGAATTGCATGACAATAAATGTTTCCAAAAGGAAAAATGAAATTTGTCATGCTGCTTCAGGTGAAGAGCTAGATCTGTAATGCACGCCGGGCATTTAATATACGAGTACGATACTTTAACTTTTCTTGCACGGGATATGCGCCGAGCAGCTCCAAAATGAGGTCCTCAGTACTTCTGCCACGACACCGGGCGGTATAACAGTGCACAACTCCCCCTCCCCCTCATTTGTATAGCATGAACGGCAATACAAGCATCAGCAAGAATGCCGGTTTTGCATGACAAATTTGCGGTGGAGTATGGTGCTATTTGGGCTACCAGAACTTGTCATGCAAACAGTGTCAAGAGGCAAAGGGTGGATTGGGTATTTTGCATGACAAATGAGGGGGAGGGGGAGTTGTGCACTGTCATAGGCGGTGCGTCTGGTGTCGACAGCACGGGGCACCAGAACAAAACTGGCGCTGCTGGACTCAACCAGCAACAGACCGCGATCCAGAAGACCAAAACGGTAATCGCACCGTCGAACAACCACAGCCCGGTGCACCGCGAGATCTCGCGGGAGTTCGTCCGCGGGACGACCAGTCGCGACCGGGCGAAGCTGATGCAATTTGTGTTGCAAAGACAACAGGAAAGGTACGACCGATTTATGGCGCGAGCTGCAGCGGCTGCTACCAGTCCTATGATCCAGCCTCCACGACAAGTGAATGGCGCCGCGGTTGCCCGGGTGGCTTCGTACACCAACGACCTGGAGGACGACGAGGAGGATGAGGACGATTTGGACCACGAGGGCTTGGGGAAACTACTGCGGGGCTTGAAGCACGTGTACGCCACGGTGGTGCGCTTGGATGCGTTCCAGGACTGCAAGGAGAGCTTCATTTACAGCATGGTGTTGTACTGTACCGATATCAAGACCTATTTACCAGGTACAGCTTTTCGCTGTGCTGGTGCAGCTCCTAGTAACGAACATGTCCTCAGCAACATCCAGAGGGATATGCTTATACTATGCGTGTCCCTATGCAGTGTTGTATCTAATGCTCATCAGAATCAGAGCATGAACAAATTAAACTTTCACCATCATCCAAAAACAGGCGAATCGATCATCCGACAGGGTGATACGGGCAGTTGGATGGGTATGATCATTTCTGGTACCGCGAACGTCGAGGTAAACCGCAGCACTGAAGACGAAAAGGACCAGGATGCAGAGCAAGATCAATACGGTCATCATCTGTCTACCCAGCAACAGAACGCAGTTACGAAAAAGCAAACAACCGCTTCTCCTAGCTCGGGTCTTCTGACAGCTCCGCCCTCCAAGCGGATCTTTGTGCGCTCCCTGTTCGACGGGGCGGTGTTTGGGGAGCTTTCGCTTCTCGGAATCGCGAACGTGCGGTCCGCGACCATCACCGCGAAGCTGTTCACGAATTTGTGCATCCTGCGGCGCGCGGACTTCATTTTGCTGTTGCAAAGATTTCCGGACGCGGCAGCGAGTTTGGCGAAGCTGGCGCGGCACAGAATCAAGGACTTCTTCGTGAACCACCCAAACGAGGCGAAGATGCTGAAGGACTTAGCCCTGTTCAAGCAGCAGTGCTCGACTCAGTTCTTGGACTTGCTTCAGAAAAAAGTGACGTTGAAATTTTTCGACGCGGGCGAGGTCATTGTGACGGAAAGGTCCCGTTCGGACGGAAACATGTACGTGATCCAGTTTGGGTGCTGCTCGGTTTCCATCCGAGGGACGAACATCGCGACGTTGCAAGACGGGGAGTATTTCGGGGAGCAAACGGCGCTGGGGATGAGCGACGTGTATAGTGGAACTACTGGTGCGTTGATGTTGGTATACCATTCCGTAGAAGACGAACTTAGTAGGCCAAGCAGATTACATTTGATCGAAAACAATAGACAAAGCTATAGTAAGTGTAAGCTGCTACTTGCATTGCAATTCTTGCACCATCATGTAGTCGTGACGACTTAGAAGAAAGCGTGATGTTCTTGTACAGGCACAGCGCACTGACTACCCCAATCCCATGTCTTGAAGAAATAAATCTCAATTAGCTACACCGCCACCGTGACCGCGGGGTCGATTTGCCTGGTCCACATCCTCTCCCGGGAGTCCATTCAGGAGGCGCTGAACGTGTGTCCCTCGGAGTTGAAGATTTTCAAAAACGTCGCCGGCCGCCCAAACCACGCGTTGAAACTGAGTCAGATCCCGTTTTTTCAGGATATAACGCGCTCAGGGGTTACAATCTCAAACGTTGCGAATAGAATCTGGAATTTCTGTTGCAAAGTACGCAAAGTCTGGTCTACTCCAAAAGGAGCGCGCGTGACAAGTTTCGGAGCTCCAAACCCCATGAGAATCTGACAAAATTTGTATTGCGAAAAGCCCAAGTCTCAGTATGGTACTGATGCTGTTCATGCAAGACAAATTCCAGACTCTATTGTAACGTTTGAGAATGTAACGTTGGAGAACCCCATACAGGACCTGAACCCGGAATTCTGCCGGATTCTACAGGACACAACCATGGACGACATGCTGGTTTTGCCCGGGGACATACTGGTCCGGGAGTCCGCACTGGCCGACTCCATGCTTCTGCTGCAGAGTGGGAGTGTAATAAAGGAAGCAGCTTCTTCGCTGCATGATGATGATGTTGACATATGAGAAGATAATTGGTGTGCGTTTGCGTGTAAACACGTTCATGCAGAAGCTGTGCAAGTTATAGAAGTAAAAATCTTCATCCCTTTCCCTACTCAGGTCGACGTGCTGGTGAACCGCGGGCACCACAAGGTCCGCGAGATCCAGGCCCCACCGGTTCACACGTTCGGCGAGTTTTCGCTGGTCGAGGGGTGGAGCAGCCGCCGGACCGCCACGCTGAAGGCCAACACCGTTTGCTACGTGCAGGTCTTGCACAGGTCTGTCGTGAAGAA